TCTTCGTTGGTTTGTTGTATTGTTTTTCTTTGTCTCGTCTGTGGGTGGTTGGTTTTCCTGTTTATGGCTTGGTGGTTGGTGGTTTTTTTTTTTTTTTTTTTTTTTTCTCTTCTTTTTCTTTTTTTTTTTTTTTTTTTTCAAACTTGTATTTTCTTAGATCAGTAGAATATGTGTTCTACATACAAAGTAAATGGCAATGTAAATGTACTCTGTACGAACTAAGTGTTTTGTAAAACCATCGATCTCATAGATCTGAGATCTCAACGCTGATTTGCTAATCGCGGGTATGCTGTCATAATTCGTCAGCCCTCAAAGCCTGGAAGTCGCATACAATTACAAGTACAAAGCTTTCTTGATCTACGTGGGGTTTTACCATTTACAACTATCGCAATGTCCAATTCAGACTTTACTTCAAAGAGAAAGGTATTGCATTGTCTACTGAAGGAGATGCAAGTGCTGACCTATTGCCAGAGCGACGACACGCATATAGATAGAAGCGCATTGAGTCGCATATCTAATGAAGGATTTGGGCCAGACTCGCCCAATCCGCCAGGGTACTATCGCCGACTTCTACATGATGTCTTCGAGGCGATACGATCAGATCATGGCCATCAGCAGGAAATACTGCGAATGATCCGAGATCATGTTCCACTGCATCAGATTCGAACCTATCTAGATCAGGCTCTGCCAGAGACTCAGGCAGTCAAAACAGAAGAACCCTCCAAGAAGGTGAAAGTGCATGAGATTCCTGAGGATGATACACCGCAACCTCGACCGCATGCGATGGACATTCGCTACTTATGCGACAATGCTCCCTGCAAAGTCCCAGCCAAACCATGGACCAATGTTACAGATGACGATGATCTCGTGTCGCATCTTGTCTCTCTCTATATGACGTGGGATTATCCATTTTATGCGTTCTTTGACCGCAGGACTTTTTTGGAGAATATGGAGAAAGGAAATTTGAACTCGGACTTTTGCAGTCCTTTCCTTGTGAATGCCTTGTTGGCAAATGCATGCGTAAGTGGAATTTCATTCTGTGTCATTCTGCTATATTGAAAATTATTTGCAGGACTATTCACAGTACGCCGAGGTTTACACCATCGCAGGAGATACTAATACCAAAGGTGCTGCTTTCTTAGCCGAGGCAGAGGGTTACATGAGAACACACTCTTTTGAAAGAGGAGGTGGCACACGACTGGCTACCCTGCAGGCCACTCTACTGCTATATGAAAGGTGTGTACGTACTTGGATATGATTGAATGTTGAGTCGCTGATCTTGGATTGGCACAGATACTCCGTGCTAGGCAATGAAGATTTTGGCTACACCATGCTTCATCGAGCAATAGAGATGGCAGAAGAGCTTGGAATCGTCAATTCTGAAAAGCTCAGTTTAAGGAGCCACCAACTGTCAGAAGACATGATCAGGTCTATCCAGCGTACCGCCTGGGGTATCTTCCAAATTGATACGTGAGCATTTGCCAATGCTTCTCATTCATTGGGGAGACTGACCATACATAACAGCATTGTTCATACTAACTTTCTCAAACCGAGTCGTGTACGCGAAGTGAGTGTACCTCGACTCCCACGAGAAGAGAATGGACACGAGGACTGGGCACCGTATCCGATATCCAGCCACTCTCAGCCGTCCTATATGAATCAATATTTCGATGAGGCATGCAATTTGTCTTACATTGCCCGGGACATTTCCCGAAGTGTGCAAATAGCAGATGAGACGAGAGTCAGCTTGAATCAGGTTAAGCAGGACGTATATAATCGACTTTGTCAATGGGAGACCGATCTTCCGGAGATATTTGATCCCAAAGGACATCCAGCACCGCATATCCTACTACTCAGGTAAGACCATATCAAAAACCTTTCTTTGACCACGACTAAGACAACTATGTCTAGAATGCGATATCATGCCCTTATGATCAATCTATGTTGTGATAACTTTGGGAATTACTCTTCGTTCGCCACCATGGAGAAACGAGTGCCTATGAACCTGGATCCAGGGAAGGGAACTACTGCACCCGAAGTGGCACTTGCATCTGCACGACAGATCTCGCTGATAATTCAACTGATGCGGACACAGTATGGCATGAGATACGTGCATCAGTTCGCCATGTACGCAATAAACGTCGCGATATACACCTTGCTTGAGCAGGCGGACTTCGACATTCTCGACCCTGACTTCCTCCATCTCACTAATGCATTTGCGACTATTTCGAGTCGCTCGCAGGTAGGGAAGAGTCTCTATCACTTTTTCAAGCTGTCTGTGCGGTCTCGAGATTCGGGTCAGAGACTGGCTACCCTCGAAGTTATTCCTGCTGAGCTCAAGGAGATTTTCGCACAAGCTCTCCAAGCTGGTGGAGCCAACTCCAAGACAGGACGGTCAGATTCGAACCAGGATTTGAAGGACAATCCATCGTCTATGCCGTCTCCGGGGTTGAAAGATATGATTGGGGAGTATGAGAAACTCAGCGTCGGCAAAGAGGAGAGGCCTTTTGATCACCGTGAGAGTGGCAATTTTGAATTTTGACACTCTACTCATCTCCAGCCTTCGGGGATTGAGGTATTTGGGCGTGTGTAATAATGTGTACTACTATTTCAAGTCAAGTCAAAGAAAACAAAAAACCACCACCAACTTTAGAAACAAAGGACAATCTAAAGTTCAGGTATATGAACATCCAAAAACAGCGGCACCCTGAGACCTCCAAACCCGCCTCAACCCGAGAAACAAATATATACAAATCAATTCCCAACCCAATCACAACTTCAACTCCCAGCACTCCCCAACAAGCTTATACCCAAAAACCTCATTCTCATCCGAACTAACCAGCTCGAAACCCTCTTTCGCATAAAGCCTCCTCGCAGGGAGCAGCACACCCTGTGTCCAAAGTCGAATCCTATGATATCCGCACTCCCGCGCAAACGACTTGCACTGCTGCACCAAAGTCTGACCAAGACCCAGACCACGGGCACCCGGTTCAACGAGGAACATTCTCAATTTAGCCGTGTTAGGCTCGTCTCTATCCTTGACTAGGATGACGCAGCCGAGGAATTCGTCGTTGCGCTCGGCGATCCAGCACCGGTCGTTGGAGGGGTTGTAGTTTGCTAGGAAGTCTGCGCCAACTTGGGCGGCTAGTCCTTCCATCTTGAGGCCCCAGTCATGTTCTTTGTCGTAGTAGGTTGCGTGGCGGTGGATGATCCAGCCTATGTCGCCGGGACGGTGGGTGCGCAGGGTGTAGGGTTCGGACATTACGGCCAGGGTTACTGAGTACAATGGGTTTACGGGAGGGACAAACGCCTTTTAAATGGATTTTCTCTTTGAGAAAAAATGGGCTTGGAAAATGGCATAGTAGATCCCTGTCATTCGAAGGGCGTGAGAACAAAGAAATTCAGTGCCAAGAAAGTTAATTGACTCATCATGATGTGATGACATTTCGATCGATGGACTGACTGAATTCGCATATCTGCCTCCAATGTCTGCTATACAGATTGAGAAAACATACATGTTGGCATTATACCAGAGCATCTGAAACATGCCGTAAAGCCCGATCAAACCCCAACTCGAAGAAGTCACAGAAATGAGTGCCTGACCCAACTTGCACAATCAAGCATTGGGATGGAAAGTGGAAACCGACAGCGTACTCCATACAGATTGGAAATTATGATCCATCCTCGGTGCTCCGACCAAAACGGCCCCCAAAGCCACCGAGGTCGCGGCGGAAAAATTTACCAATGTTCCTCAGGTTGTCATTGAGATTTCCCGTTGTGCTCTCCGACGATGTGTGCGCATGATTAGGTTGGAGAGTGGAGCCCATGGGAGCAGGGGACGAGGCGCCAGACGGGCTGGTCATGCCAGACACGGACGAAGTGACTCCAGTGGCCCCAGCTACACTCGAACCCAAGTTGCTGAGACTCGGATTTCCGAAGCGGTCCACTCCATCCTTAGCTGCGGACATGATGGCCGAACCGAGCATTGAGGCATCAAATCGGGAGGGCATGGCTGTCGCGGCACCGCCGAGACTTAGACCCTGAGATACCGAGCCAGTGCCAACGGCAGTGGTTGCTGGGCCTTGGAGAGCAGCGAGGATAGGGTTGCTTTGTTGGAGACCGGACGCATAGCGGTCTGATGCACGGTGGAGCTGGAAGAGTTCAACGAGGTGATTCTGTTCCTGGCGGTTGCGGATGCCTTTGAGATCGAGGATTTTACGGAAGTTGTTATTATTGCTGTCCGCGATGTGGATGAGGTATGCCTGGACAAGAGCTTCTGGTGGTGATGGTCGGACTTGAAGGGTTTTTAGGAGTGTCTCGATCTTGGAGAAGCTAATGTTCACACGCTTGACAAAGCCAGCGGGCGCTGGAGCAGGGAGAAGAGACGATAGACCACTTTTTAGTGTGTAGGAGTCCAGAAGCATCTAAAAGAATGTTAGAGATGAGGGAATATACCTTCAGACAAAAAGGGTTCTTACTTGTTCAGCTCCTGTCTCTGGAACGGGCCTGCATTGGAACACATTGCCAATGAACTGACTTGAAATGAGCTCCACTAGATGATCGGAGAAAGCACGCGCATATTGTTGCTTGTGCAAGAGCTGTAGTATTTCGGATGATTTCTCCTTTGTCCGAGAAAGCATTTCACCCACATATGAGCTCTGATCACTAACCGCCTCAATCTTGGCCCACGGTGTATTGCGCATTTCGCGCCATGATGGCTCAAGATCGACCTCGACTTTCCGTACAAGGCCGCGCACAGCAGCAGATGCAATGCCCATGAAAGAGTCTGCTTGGCTTTGCAAATCCACAGATTGTTTCAAATTCTCATCTAGTCTGCCCCTGATCTTTTCTTCCAATTGGTTGCAGGTCGTGTAGCAGTAGTCGGCGGTGTTCAGCACAATTACCAACTCTTCAATCGTGGGCACTCTGGACGGCGTATGTCCGCTTGGTCGCTCACCGATGTAGTTCAGTAGAATCTGCTGGGCATACTGGTCCAGATATTTGGCAAATACCTTTGCCAGCTCTGCCAAGCTGACACCAGTTGAAAGCTTAGCACATTGTTGCAAAGAGTGGCGGTAGAAAGTGAAGAGCTCGGTGGACGATGAAATGACGATGTGTGAATTAAACTCCTCATCTGGAACCTTGAGGGGTTGACTTCGGTATTTGGGGAGTAATGCCGCAAGCTGTTTGTCTTGAGCCTCAACCCAAACACTGAGATACGGCTCAAAGGCTTCTGAAATCGACTGATTGAACACTGGCGGCTCGGCCGAGGCAAATGTATCGGTAGATGCACGCGAAGCAGGAGAAAAGCGGCGATCGAGGGAATGTTCGAATTCCAGTGTCTCTTGCAGACAGGAAAGCAGAAGGTTGACATCGATTGTATGTCCACTGCGGACAGACCGAGACAATATACCCTTGAAGTCATCACGCGTGCCCTCACAGAAGACGTTGGCCAAGATCTCATTCACCTTCCATGAAGCCGGGAAGATGGCTGCATTCTCCTCGTCGTAGATTTTCAATATGCGCCGGAACCAGGAGTACCGGCGGGATATGTTGTCCAAGGAACCAGCTTCCTCATTGTTTCGGAAGACCTGCCTATATTCTCGGAGTTGTGTATTGCAGTACCATGTCACCAGTCGAGACCTGGCATGTTCACCCAGAGCATCAGCAACTAGACATGCTTCCGCAAGCATTGTGCGCTTCGAGCCCACTTCGCCCTTGGCGAATGCAATCTCGAAGTCCTCGCAGACTTGTTCCTGAAGATCTCGCTGTATGTCCGCAACGTTCCGGCTGAGTATCGCAATCTGGTCAATCGATCGGTACGACTTGAAATGGGCCATGAGCTGAATGACAGCCTGGAGCAGCTGTGCACAGTCCCCATATTGCCGCGTTCGGCTCAAAGCTTGTAATTGATCGTATGCCGTCGTCAGCATCTGCAGACGCTTCAGTGCTGTCATAGACAGCGTGAGGTTCTTCTTCGCATTGTCCAATTGCTTGATGTCGGCGGTCATGTCGGTGATCGCTTGTTCCGTCTTCAACGCGCGCTCGCGCACATCATCGATCTTTTTGAACAGCTCCGACAAGTCCGCCTTGGCTGCTTGGATTCTTTCAACACTGTCGGCGTTGGAGGTCACCTGCTCCTCCACCAACAAGCCGATGTCATCATCGAGCTCATCTTCGCATTCGTGTAGGGCGTTGGAGACCTGGGAAACGGAGGAAAGGGTGGACGGATGAGAGAAGACGGAATTCAAATGCTCGATTGGATCGTAGTCCACTGCATGGAGTAATCACTTTCATGTTAGCATACATAGTGGTGGGCACGAGGACAATTGTTCCGCACCCGCATCCAAAGCATCGGTGCTTGGTTCCTCGATGGGCGACATATGGCTGGTTATGGCAGTGATCGCGGTCATCCCATCAGCTCACCAGAATCATCCTGCCCTTAATCCCGGCAAACTTGAGTGAAGCCAATGTTGTGATGGGGGGGAGGTCGGACGGGGGAGGTTATCGCGGCCCACATGGCTTTAGCGCGTCAGCTTGGCATCTTACGCAACCCTACAAGGTACAGTCCTAGAGGCATTGAGTGGTAATCTAGGATATATGCTGTCACTGACGTGATATAGAGTTACTTGAAGGGATCTTGACTCAAAAGTAATTGCAATTGCACAAATCAAAAGCCCGTGTAGGATAGCTTAGTTTACGGGATACGGAATACTACTTCGTCCACGGGTACTATAAGCGTAGTCCTAGAGTATTAAACATGCCCCTAGAGCAGAGCATGATGATATCGAGCAAAATGCCACTGAAATACCATTGAATCCTTGTGTGCTTACGTGAAGCTGTAATGGGCCTTTGCATCTCTATCCAAGCCTAGGCAGCTTTGGCGGCGTTAGCGGCGTTAGGCGTGCGCTAAGCCATCACCCAGGTGGGCGCTTATTACAAGTATACAAGGACGAATGCATCCATGAAGGCATACGAACTACTATTCAGTGGAGAATTGTGGTTATCGGTATGTATTTTTGGTTTTTGATGATTTTCACAAAGTTTCTGGCCCGTAGGCTCTTGTTCAAAGTAATTGCTAGCAACCCAGTGCCATTCGCCCAAGCCATGCATAAAGAGAGAAAAAAAGAAAAGTATTGAATCACATCAGAGCATCAGAGCTCCACGTAGCCTGCTTTCCAAGGAAGAAAGATGATAGGCTTAAAGCTAAGAACAGGAAGCAAAGTGGAGTGGAAATTTTCAACGAATTGTTGTGGTGGTTAAGCAAAGTGCTCACGAGGGAGTAAGAAAGGCGGTTGGGGGCAAGGTGCCAGAAGCCTATGAAAATGTTAGCAACGCACATCGCCAGTTTCTAAACCTGGTGGTACTCACCTTGAGCTGTTCGAAATTACCCCACGCAGCTTCGGCATTCCAATTGTTGCTCACAAGAGCCATTTCTGAATATTGAATAGTCATGCCGGATTTGGCACTCATCTGTGCAACGATTTGCTCTTGCTGGACCTGAGTGTCAGATTTTCCAGGTCCAGGCAAACCGTATCCGGCGGGAGGATTGGGGGCAGCCGGGGCAGCTGCAGGCGCCTCGGCGGGAGGTGCATTGGGAGCAGGCGCAGCGACTTGAGGAAGTGCAATAGAATCAGGGATCCATCCATCGTGTCCGCCGTAAGCACGAAGACAGAGCATATCGCTGATGATTCGAATGCCACCGGGTGTGTTTCCAGGCCCAAGGATGAAGGTTCGGTCGAAGCTGCGAAGTTCAAGTTTGCCAGCAACGCTCTCTTCCATCTGACCGTGCACTGTGAGCGAGAGACCACCAACACCGAAGGGGCTCTGTCCAGAGGGGTCGGGAAGACCAGGGAGTGGGTAACATTCAATCAGCCATTGATCAGCCTTGGTGGTCAAATCGGGGTGACGAGTAGGTGGGAGATCGTTGAAAATCTCGCGAATCCTGTCAATGCCCTTGTAGGTGCGTGACATGCGTGCAGGGAGATGGCTGATCTTGTCGAGGTTTCGACTCTTTTTGATGTAATCACTCCAACCAACTGCCTCGGAATTCATGGATCTTGGAGACACTGTGTTGATATTGAGAGAAAAGGTAGATTCGTTGTCGTAGACGTTGGGAATTAAGGCGTTGCGATCATTGTCGTAGCCAACAAAATAGGCACGGACGAAGTTCTCGCCAATTTGCGATTCATCGTGGAAGTGAGGGGGTTGGACTGGAATCGGAGTCTTTTTCTGAAGTGCGACCTCCTCTGCAGTGCGCACCTGAACGTTATTCAAGATTTGTAGCTTGGGATACCACTTGAGCATGGTGTCCTTGAAGTTAGGAAGGGTGGAAAAGTCGTTTCCAGTCAAGTCGAGGAAAACGAGGTTGCGGAACTTCCACCGCCATCCAATAATTGCCTGCGCATCCTTGAACTTGTTGTTTGAGAGGTCCAAGTTCTTGATATCGGGGACGGCTTGAGCAAGAGTAGTCACGACACTGATGTTGCTGAGGTTGTTGTTTGCCAAGCTGGCGCTTTCCACTGCTTCACGCCGAGCTGCAGAGCTATCGTAACGTGTCTCCCAGACTTTCATGAGGGCGGGGAAGAACTTTGATTCGGTGGAGGTGGAGTTGAAGATTCCCATCTCCTGCAGATCGAGGTCGCCTGCCAAATCCGACATGTCAAGAAGCTTGTTTTCAGCGAAGTATCGCTTATCGAGGATGGCAAGCATCTTGGTTTTGGTATCGGCAGTGGAGCCAGGAGCACCGTCCGCTGGTGCTAGTTCGCTTGCAAGTGCGTCATCCGCATTGTATGGGTCAACAGTGATTTTGACGCCGGCGAAGACATTTCCGTTGATTCGAAGCATCTTATCAGCCAGGTCATGGTGAATCGATACAAGCAGGGTATCAGGACCTTTCTTTTCGTGCTATTTTTATAATCAGCAAGGTGCCGAAAAAACCTTGAAAACCAATGACCACCATGCGCAAAGCTCCAAAATGCCCCAAAATATGTTGATCATCATCGAGAAAGGGTCCACGCCCGAGAACGAAGAGACACGAAAATGGAAGGCGCCGAGATGCATGCAAGGTGACCGTTGCGACTGTGGGACTTACCTGAGTGATTCTGATGCGGGGTCCGTTTTTGATGGAGGAGTTCATGCGTCGTTCGAGGAAGGCGACAAGAGCCTCACGGCCCTGGTCCTTGTTGCTTGCAGCCTTACTGCTTTTCCATCCACGGACACAGAAGGTGTCAAGGTTGCCCTTGTTCTTGCCGCCATCTCTCCTGTTTTGACGGAAGTTCGCTTGCGGATCGGTGCTAGCGATTGCGCGCTGGATCAAGTCGACGTTCCGGTTGTGGGCCTGAGCCTGAGTTCGACTGCCACTGCCTGCGGCTCTGCCACCGGCTCCTCCACTTGAGATGCGACCACCCAAAGCGGCACGACTAGCTTCGGTACGGTTCCTCCTGGCCCGAGAGGTAGCGGCATCCATGTCCATATCTCCATCTCGGTCAGTGCGAGTAGCACCCCGCTTGCGAATGCCCCCGCGATCACTACCACCGGTGCCACCGCGGCGAGACTTGGAAGATTTCATCATGGTGTCGACGGAAGGAGCCCAAAGAGGCAGAGGAGGGTAGTAAGTGGGTTCGAGAGTGAGGAATGCGTGATAACAATCCGAAGCTGCAGTAATACAGTGAGCAGTGCGCTATGCGCCTCAGATTAGGTGGAAAGAAGTTCGCATGCAGAGGCGTCGCAGTGGAAGGTGGTGGCTCAAGACGGTGAAAAGTGAGCTATTGACTGAGAGGAGAGGTTGAAGAGGGGAGAAGCTTGCAGAGTATGCAATAAGGCTTCTAGAATGAATAGAGACCAAAATAACCCAGAACAATAGAATCGTGAATTGTTCAAGTGAAACTAAAGAAAAAGTGACGATGCCTCACGTGACTCAAAGCGGATTGCCCACTTTGTTTGGGGCTAGTCCTGATTGGGTGATGACTCATCCGTTACTTCCCAGCTGACCAATCACAGGCTGTCGTCTGTCCTCACGGCGAAATCCCCATACATCGCAAGTATGCCGGGATGCTTCTGAATTGGCCAGCTTGTTCCTGACTCATTGTTGATTGCCTAACAGGCTTCAGTTGAATCACTTGGATTGCTTTGTTCCGAGGTAAGTGCGCCTGTTTGACTCGCTGCCCTTTGTCCTTTGCCTGTTTATTTTGTCTATCCATCCGAATGGGGTCAAGTCGAGCTTGCGCGTCCAATGACCACCAAGCTAATCTGCCATGTTATTCTTTGTCGTACAGACACTTAGGACACACCCGTTGTCCATCGACATTCGTTTGGCTTTTGCGCTCCACCATATGGTCATCAATTGACCGGCGAGATGCCCGCAAAGTCGCGATTCACGAGGCTAGACGCCTTCGCCAAAACCGTTGAAGATGCCCGCATTCGCACAAACTCCGGAGGTTTCATTACCATCGCCTCATTGTTGATTGTCATGTGGCTGGTATGGGGTGAATGGGCCGAATACCGACGAATCGTGGTGCTTCCCGAACTCGTCGTCGACAAGTCTCGAGGTATGAGCAGAGTCCTGAACGGATTGGACACCTCGGGGGATACCAGGACGGTCTGTCGAGTATGATTTGGCTAATCGCGCTATTGTACAGGCGAGAGGATGGAGATCCATCTGAATATGACATTCCCTCGGCTACCGTGCGAGCTTTTGACTTTGGACGTCATGGATGTCTCTGGTGAACAACAAGTTGGCGTTGCGCACGGAGTAAACAAGGTCCGCCTGAGCCCCCATTCTGAGGGAGGCAAGGCCATTGAAGTCCAGTCCCTGGACCTGTAAGTGCTGCCCCACCAATTGTTTCTGAACACGGGTCTGATTTACCCCTCACAGGCACTCCGACTCAGAGGCCGCCAAGCACCTGGCCCCAGACTACTGTGGTCAATGTGGTGGCGCTGACCCTCCAGCCAACGGCATCAAGCCCGGATGCTGTACTACATGCGAAGAAGTTCGCGAAGCCTACGCCCAGAAGCAATGGGCCTTCGGTGACGGTGGCAACATCGAGCAGTGCATGCGGGAGGGATTCGCCGAAAAGCTCAACCAGCAGCGCCGCGAAGGATGTCGGATTGAGGGCGTGCTCCGCGTGAACAAGGTGGTTGGAAACTTCCACATTGCGCCAGGTCGTAGCTTCACGACTGGAAACATGCACGTTCACGACCTGGATACTTACATTGTGAAAAATGCGCCCCCAGCAGACCAACACACCATGTCCCATCTGATTCACGAGCTTCGCTTTGGTCCTCAGCTCCCTACTGAGCTGGCAGATCGCTGGCAATGGACTGACCACCACCACACTAACCCACTTGACGACACTAAGCAGGAGACCGAGGAGCCCGCGTACAACTTCATGTACTTTGTTAAGGTGGTTTCTACTTCATACCTCCCATTGGGTTGGGATCCTCTGTTCTCCGCCTCTATCCACAGCGCCTATGACAAGGCCCCTCTAGGTTCCCATGGTCTCGGCTACGGTGCCCAGGGTAGCATTGAGGCGCACCAGTATTCAGTGACTTCGCACAAGCGTCCATTGATCGGTGGCAACGATGCTGCCGAAGGACACAAGGAGCGCGTGCACGCTGGTGGCGGTATTCCCGGTGTCTTCTTCAACTACGACATCTCGCCTATGAAGGTTGTCAACCGCGAAGCTCGCCCCAAGACTTTCACTGGCTTCCTCACTGGTGTCTGTGCCATTATCGGTGGTACCTTGACTGTTGCCGCTGCTCTGGACCGTGGTCTCTACGAGGGCGCCATGCGTGTAAAGAAGATACACTCGAACTAAGTGCTTTGCACTAGTGGTATCATCTAGCATTGAGCTCATGGTGATATGGACGCTAAGATTACGTCCATCCGCTGCTTGGATGGGTCTCATTGAAAGAGAGGCCTCTTGCCCTTACCGGGGCATGTTGGACGCGAAGAAAGCTGGCACTTGTGGCGTTTTTGGGATACCTTATACATGGTTTGCGATTACTGTTCCGGATCAGGATGTATCTATTCATCTCTCCATAGCGTTGAATTATTTTACGGAGTAAATCTTCAGTCCCCATATACTGGTAGCACCCCTTAGGGCTCTGGCTATAAGCAGCCAGTGTTGATTCTGAGGAAATCAGCGTACCAATAAAGCTTTTCCTGTCCTAGTAGCTTCACAGGGCTTTAGGCACTATGGTTTCAAGGGACAGATGTACAGCACAATTCTCATTATATGAACATAGACAATCCATCCTACATCATAACAGTATCTAACCAGTGATATCAGAACTAAGCACCAACAGAAGCTCTAACCTGACTGGCCCTCCGGCTCTCAGAATGTCTATCACGATCAGCAGCCAGCTTCTGGGCAAATTTACTCTTGGCCCTGATAGCCGGGCCCTTCCAATAGAAGACATAAATGGGGATCAAGACCAAGAAGCCCACGCAGCCAAGTAGTGTACTGGCCCATTGCAAATGATACTTCGACCCCATATTCTGGTACATCGGCGTCGAATACATGGTCGCGATACCAGCGAGGAAATCGCGTGCGAATCCATTGCCACCTGTTGCAGATGCAGAATACGGTCCGTATGCAGCGACCATGTAATCGATCGTCGCCATGTAGATGGCATAGTTTGCCATTGCAATCAGACAGGCGAATATGCAAGGTGCAATCCATGGAATGGGGGGACCCATGGATGTCCATGCGAAGCCAAGCAGACCTATTGGTTCGAGGGGTGCGATGAAGAGCAATAATAGGAGACGACGCTCTGCGAGACGACTTGCTGCGCCGAATTTGCGTCTTGTTTGGATCTGTCGATAGATGTCTGGTAGGAAGATTAAGTAGGCGAGGACATAGCCGATGAGGATTGAGCCGAAGGTCAAGCCTACGGCGAGGGTATTGAAGGACCATTGTTCAAAGACCAGGGAGAAAGACTCTGTGAAGACGAAGATCAAGGCATCGGAGAAACCAGACAGGAGAGAAAGGAAGAGAACGATAGGTTCGCGGATGAACATCTCGAAAGGACGAATCCAGATTCGAAGCACATCGTGAACATCCAACCGGGGAGTCTTCAACTCATTGGGACCCCATACATCGATCCCTTCCTTCCGACGCCGTCGAGCTTCCCGATCAACCAGAATCGACGCTCTAGTCTCTGGCACCATGAAAAAGTGTATAATCTGCGTCACGGCACCAACAATCAACTGCATCCAAAACACCCAATGCCAATCTAACCACTGCCCAATCATCCCACCAAAGAACGGCCCAACAGTTGAACCACCCACCGACGAAAGAACCACATAGGCAACGGCATAACCCTGATCATCAGCTTCCCACATATCAGCCGTCATACCCAGAGTCACCGATCCACCAGCAGAGCTCAAGCCCCCCAAAACTCGACACACAACAATTGTCCCGAAGTTCGGTGCCAGCGCACACGGAATCTGCCAGATATTCACCAGGAACAGAGAAAGCTGCATGATAGGCCATCGGCCAAACTCTTCACTCCATGGAGCCCAAAGCTCGCATCCAAATGCATAGGCGACTAGGAAGACGCACTGGCCTACTCGACCTGCTTGTTCGCTGATGTGGAATCGTTCGACGAGACCCGGGACGGCGTTGGAGTAGACGCCTGTGTTGAAGTTCATGGACATTTGAACTAGGAAGATTACAGTGAGGATGGTCCATTTCTTCCATGTTGGGAAGCAGAAGCCTAGCTTGTCGTAGCAGTCGTCTTCGGTGAGTTCGGGCTTGCCACTGGTTTGGAGCTTGGGCTTTTCCGAGTGTGCGTCGGAGTCGGAGGCATGTTCGGCGTGGGCATCGGTGCCTCGTTGGTTGATCTTGTCTATTGGGGGTTCGTCTTTGGGTATTTTGGTTTTCTCGGGGTTGGGGAGAGACATCACCGCTTTCTTAGGGCTAGTCTCTAGATGTCGCGCTTGAGTACGGGGTACATTAATGTAATTTAAAGGAGATACTTGTAGATTAGGCTGCGTAGAGCTCTGGAAGAATAGTAATTGTGTTCACGTTGCGATATTAAGCCATTTATAAACGGAGTATTGCTCAAGTGCCATGTTAAACCTGTTCGATATCAAAACCTCGTTCTAAAGTTGCCCGGAACCCTGGAAGTTACATCAGTTGATATACGCCAACCAATGATGTCTGCGATGACGGAAATGGACATGGTATAGATGTGTAAAGAGTACTTCTATATGATAGGCCGTAGAAGAAAACAGGTTCGCCAGTACAAAGTCCCAGAACGACTACGTCATAGACGTCAAACGGCCGTGGAGTCCGGAGTAACGCTTATGTTTGTGCATATACATAACACAACTTTAGAATGCTATTGGCTATTAATTGGCTATTAGTTGGTACGAGGGATACGAGTTTTGCCCAGGTGCTACACGTACTCGCTGACAGACCGGCATTCAAAAGAAAACGCCGGTACTACCGCAATATAGATATCTCGCAGCAATTACCCGCCAGGGTCTGATACTATGGCCACGTTATATGCATACTGCATGGCCCCAACGGGGTCTACAGGTGGAATGCTCTGTACCCTGGTCTTGGCGGCGCCAAGACGAATGCTATATTTACAAGGATACGAGGCTGTCGACTAAAAACCAAATGATCTTAACCTATCAGCCTCATTGATGCATCAAAACATGCATCTACGTCGAAACCTGCGCTATCTGCCCCTGCATGAGCCTCATTCTTATGCTCTTCCTACGCGCGCGCGACCGTGGTGGCGCACCCGTACTCAAGCATTCATGGATCGATATCAATGACTGTGATTATAATTGTGCTCTCCTACTAAACTCCGATCTTTAGTATTTATGATAGTTTGTTCCGTAGACAGTACTTGAACACATCAGCTCCCAAGCTTAGAACTGTTCCAAGGTTAGGGTTAAATATCGGATATTCTTCAGCATGCCGAGCCCTACCTCTCATGATGGCCACGATACTGTCATAGAGGAGAAACAATGTCCATATTCCTGTTTGTACACGCCGATCCGTTATCTCTCATGGCTCTATATGCAAATGATGCCCAGTTGACTGTGTGCTAATTTTCTAAGATGTCCCCCGTGACGGCAGCAGACGCAAAAGACATATGGCAAAAGGCATCATATGGAGTCTCGTCGTGATATCTGGATGCATTATGGGACTTGGAATTGGTATCATGGTCTGGTTTGCAGTGAGGACGGACAACCCCGACATCGATCTTAACAGCCTGGAATATGCCTTGTACAAGAATACCATGTTCAAGGACTGCTACAACACGCCCATGTCCAACAAAACATATGACTGCCTTGCTATCAAAGCCTCTTTGCCTACGAGGATGGGCAACACCAAATACTTGTTCCCATCGGTCATTTTCCCGCGAGATAATATCACCGGTTATCTCAATAGGGATACAATCTCGCACAATGACACAGGTCATCCTCGTTACAGCTGGTGCGAGGTAATGAGCTGTTTCAGTGACTTCAAAGTGATACCATCCACGCCACGTCCATCAGCCTTCTGGCCGACGACCCTTGGAGTAGTGAATCAGGCTACCATCATTCTCTTCTTCGCTCTTTGGCGAACAAAAAACGACCAAGCGGCATTCTACACCACTTCCCCGTGTAAGGGAATAGAGTGGGACGACTGGCTGATCATGGTCTGGAATCTCGGTTCCCTAATTTGGTGGTGGATTGGTCTAGGCAGATTTCTCAACCATCCCGATCATTACCCTGCTCCTTTTGTTTTGGGGTGGATGTCGCCATGGAGATATTGCGACGCCATAAACCACCATCCTTATGCTTGTGCCCTCAAACCTTCTCGAATAACAGCACGAATCACAAGACTGACACTCTCCACGTTGGTGGTTATCCAATGGGCATTTTCAATCTACATCCTGGGATATATGACCCGATTCGCTTTTGGGCGTGGATATCTGCCCCATCCTGCATACGAGTGTCTCGCTTCTCACATCCCAGATGCACCAGGAACCTCGTCATGCTCATCAGAGCAACTTTGCTCCAACGAGCCTATTTTCTATCCTTTGAGCCCGGATAGAGGAGAGACATCTGATCCGATGCTTCTTCTTTCTCTTTTCTTTGTGTGTTTTACTATTGGGGCAATTCCATATTGGAGTTTTGGAGTTACAAACTGGTGTCTCCGTTTGAGGAGATCGCAGAACGCTCAGATATCTAGTGAGCTTCTTGCTTTACTCACCGCTCTTATGGGTGCGAGTTGCCTACTCCTAGTTGCTGGTCTTGTTTTTCTACCTCAAGCCGAGGTGCTGAGATATCCTCCTACGGGCCCTGTCACAATTGATTGGAAATGCAACGCCTTGCATGTCAATCTGAGCCCAGGCAGGTTTTACCTGGATGTGGAATATCAGCTACCAGTGCGAATAGCCAAAATGTGGTTCAATGCATGAAAACAGGAAGATCACAATGCGGTGCCACTATGGGAACATACGCTTCTAAAGTTGTCGATGAATCGTGATTATGTGTGATGTTGGGTTATCTTGACCAGTAGTAGAAATAATTAACGTCCGGCAGGCGTAGACTCTGTCTGGCGACCTCCCTAGGGGTATTGGGACGTGCAAAGCAATGGTTTTATGTACATGAATAGCCTCCGCCACTGAACGCAACTCTAAGCCGTAGCTTTAGCTGATGCATGGTATCTCCTCCTATCTTCAACATATGGGACGGGGGATTCGTGGGTCGCAAGCCGTGGGGTTTTGAGGTTGTCGGAGGTCCGTAGGACCTTGGCTCGAGCGGGTTGTCCGCAATGAGTGCTCCGGGTATCAAAAAGCGCAAGAGTGTATGAACAGAAAGAAAAGCCGAGGGCGAGGGTGAGGGAGTAGGCAGGAACGGGGGTTATTTTGACTGCAGACTCGGTTTGCATCTTTATTTCTTTTCTGTCGCATATTTGCTGAACTTGAGAACCTTTTAATATAGAATACGCTCATCAACCAATTGGGATCTTGCCGAATTTAAGCTTGCACAAGTAGGGGTCCGGAAGAAGTATGATTACGATTGAATCGCCAAGGGCACCTGAATTGGTATGCTCAATCTAAACCCCATTCAAAGAGACACAGATATGCATGATGATCTACATGCACGAACCAATTGGCAGATAGATGAAAGAAGAGAAGAGAATAGAGGAAAAAAAAAGAAAGCCCTCGATGTAACGATAGATAAGCAAGGATGCAAAAAAACGAAAACCCCCATCACGCCAATCAGAAACTCCGGTTGGATGCGTGATGCAATAGAAGGACAGAAACGAAATCGACGAAAGTAAAGAGTGATGCTTGGAAGTGGAAAGGAGATGGACTGTGTAGTGCAGGTGGAGCCGTCAGGATGAGAGGAATGCGTGAATGACGGGTTGGACATGAGAGAAAATGATACTGGTAATGATGTGCAAGGAATGGAAATGCGTAGGAGCAGGTAGGAAAGTCAAGGATATGACAGAGAGCAAGACTTCAGGCCCAAGCACGCTTACTGGGCATAGTTGTAGTAACGCGAGTCTTGGGCGTGAGCTTGGGGGGCCTGGTGAGTAGGCGGGGTTGGTGGTGCTTGGGAAAGCTGGCCGTACCAAGAAGAGCGGCGGGGCACATCTGGGCGCATTGGTTGATTCAGAGCATCCCAAGTGTTGTTAGCTCCAGGCAGGTTGTACATGGACTCCTGATGACCAGTTTGAGGCGGGTATATATAGGCATTCTGCTGAGGCTGAGGTGAGAACTGCTGAGGTGACCAATGTTGCTGTTGCTGTTGCGCCATGGATTGTTGGTAGCCCATGCTGTGCTGACGCTGGGCAATGGCCTGTTGAACCATGTGATTCGACATTCCCTCCCTCATCTCGCGCTTCTCTCGTTCGCGAGCGTCAATCGCCGATACGAGGCCCATAGGGTTGACATGCGTCTGCGATTTGCGGGTGTCGTTTGACATGTTGAAGAATGACGAGCCGGTCATTCGGGCAACATGCTCTTGCTCGCGCGCGGACAGATGACTCGAATGATCGTTGTGGTTAAGCATGCTCTGGGCACCACGGGATGTGGGCCTCGGGGTATTCATGGGTGACTGAGAGCGAGCATGCTGGGTCCAATCTCCAGATGCGGGACGTGGGGTTATCATGGGGTTTGAAGCCGAACGGCCGTGAGCCTGCATTTGAGGACTTGGTGTAGCCCTTTGTTGCACGTACTGCTCTGGGGTGAGTCCTCCACCGGGGGTAACAGGACGACCGGAAGCCATTCCAGGCTGCCACAACACACTTCGTCGATATTCCTCTCGACTAGAAGGCCGGGCATTGGCCTGATCCATTTGATGGGTGGGAATAGCAAGTTTGGTGCCGGTCGAATCCTTCCGCTGGTGATTTTTGAGAGTGTCAGATGTGTTTGGGCGTCCAGTGGTGGGCATGTAGGTCATGGTAGGACCAAAATCCACGTTGGGGATGTCGGGATTCGAGGTTTGGGGCTTGTCCATGGTATAATGGGCATCGTCAATAACGAGATCCTTAGTCGCCGGGACACCCACGGTTTTCCGAACGCCCATCCTAGGCTTTGTAGACGCAGTGGACTTCTTGCTGTAAACAGACTCGTGGGTACTAGCATAGTCAGGCGAGGCTGTAGAGGCGTTGTCGTAAACACTTTCATCGTCATTTCGGTTTGGCGAAATCGGGGATGGAAGCGACACGGCGTGAGGAGCGATTGAGTTTAGCACATCTTCATCAAGGGTATGGCGAAGATCATCATAGCTCGGCTCGTCCTGTTGTTGGGATCCAAACACGTCTCGTTGCGGAAGCGGCTTGCGTCGCACAGACTTGACGGGGTCAAGTCCCATCTGTTGAGAGAGAGGCCGCTCCAAAGAAACACGGTGAGAGGTGTTCTGGGCTTTGGCACTTCCAGAACTACTGGATGTGGTCGGACGTTGCTCTGGCACCGTGGGAGGCAAAACCGGGCGTGCTAGAGTAAGGCCCTCGTCGCTTGATGAGTTGGGATTTGAAGCCTCCCCGGGACCAGGGTAGTAGACACCATTAATACTTCTTCCCTTCGGTTGTGGGCCGTTATTGTTCTGTTCTTGCTGCTGTTGTTGCTGAACTTTCCATGCTGCGCCAGCGGCTGCTGCACTCAGCCCCATGGTTCCGACCGAGGTAAGCTGAGTGAGAGTACCATGAGACATGCGGTTGTTTGCCAATCTCTGTTCCGAAGTCGGTTCTGGGCGGTTGGCAGGCATTTCTCTGGGTCCGTGCGAAAAGTCAGGCGGGTTTGCAACAGGGGCCGGAGGTGTTTGTGGCGGGATATGCTCTTCGACAGGCGGACCGTGCAGGTTTTCAATGCTAGGCTCGCTTTCAGACCCCGAGCTCTCTGCAATGGGGGCCACAGCGGGAGTCCCCCGGTGTGCCAAATCTTGCGAAGAAGAACCAGGGGAGTCCTCGCCCAGAGCTGCATTGCCGAACTTGGGCCCAGAGTTGAAGCCTGTGGTATCGGATACACCGCGGTTGTGGTAAGCAAGCGGCGGGCCATCGTTCCTAGGGACTTCGTGAATGATAGCTTCAGCAGAGTTGCTGAACTGTGGCTTGGACTCGATGGCGAATGGACGGCGCGCAGGATCAATAGGAACGTCACTATTCCGCCCGGACATGGAACGATAACGGGGTCGCACGCTGTTCACACTGTCGCTCCGGCTCCGGCCGGAGGATATGCGGCGCTGTGTTGCCTCTTTCAGTTGTTTCCTCCACTGAGCTTCGTTCCATTCTTGGCTTCCAGGAGTTTGAAGAAGATTAGCAATGTCCAACACATCAAGGTAGCCGTATCGCCGCTCCTTCGGGAAAGCAAACATGATGCTCTTGATGTGATTGGTATCTGCAACCAGGCGAGTAGGACGGCCATAGAGATTGAATGTATCAAAGGTGGGGAACAGGAATCGCAGCATCATCTCGAGCCCAGAGACTCCGGCGTGAGGCTCGGGCATTATGAAGACAAGTCCTTCCGAAGATGACTCGGGTGTATGTGTGGTAACTCGTCCTTCCAACTTGACCAAGGTGGATGTCTCGATCAAGGCCTTGGATTGAGGGTAAATTGCATATGCCGAGTATACCTGGGTCACCGTTGCGATAGGAATTGCCTTTTTCGTCTTCTTTGTCTCATAGAATCTGATGTTACCAGTGACCGGAATCGACAAGCGGTCGTATGCCGACTTTTTCATAAGTTTCCGCGCTTTTTGGAGCTCTTTCTCATCGGGCGGGTTGATCACAAACCAGCATCGCCTCCACGGAGTACCTGCTCCGAATCGCACACGAGCCCAGTCTTCGTATTTGAATTTGGCTGGTGCTAGAATTGAGTTGATGCCGTTCAGATGCTTGCCTTTTGCCGCAACTAGAGAGCCTGTGTAGGCTTCATAAAGTGAGGTGTGCTCAAACATGGCAAGACGGATGGCTGCCGTCCATTGGGTTAGGGAGTGGAAAGAGTTGAAATGCAACAAATATCGGTTCTTGCCCGCAGATGACAAGCTCAGTACATTCTTCAGTGGTTGCACCGCACCATTTTGGATTGGGAGAGTTTCAATCTATCACGAGTAAATCATAAGCTCGGGTTCAGGCAAAACAAAGATACGTCGAATCATACCATCTTGAGAGACGCATCGGCCAGGTTGATAAAGGTCGCCGGGACCTCTTCTCCGTCGGCTGCGTCCAGCGCAGCGCTGTCCCATAGTGAAAGGACAGTCCCGACTAGCTGTGCGTAGCATTCCACCCATTGCCGATCACCGCAAGCTCGCCCGTCTGCGCATGTTAGCTTCTGTCGCGACAACGAATGTCGGTTCACCTACGAGAGTCCAAATCATTCAATTTCAAGAAGTACCCTTCTTGGTAGACCTTGTTGGTGTGAATGTTGAGGAATGAGAAGATTGGCGACAGCTCTGGCGGGGTGTCGCCTGCCTGCTGCATGAGAGGTGGGTTGCGCGAGAAAATCATCGATGCCGGTCGCGACCCATTCCCTTCTCTCGGTCCAGCGCTCACGGGGGACAGTTCGGTGGACGGGGAGGGTGGATCGGGGGGAGGCGTTTGCCACCGCGGTGGTGTATCGACCGGGGTTCCGTTGGCTGGCGTAACGTTGCTCGAGGACTTTCTGCTTTCTTTGCTAGAGTCACTTTTCCCCCAGCTGGAAATGAACGAGCGAACTAATAAGAAATGTTAATACGGACTCTCCGATATCCGGCGTATCCGGGAATCATAGCAACTCACCACGCGAACGACCCATGACGTCGGAAGGTGGAAGATCACCGGACCCAGGCAGTTGACTTTGTCGGAAGATATGATCTAGACTGTGGAACGGCGTGAGAGAAGGCGGGATTTAAAAGGAAACCGGAGGGGCTTGAACGAGTGACTGTCAAATAGCGACTGCGCCGGAACAAAAATCGGCGAGAAAAAGATCTAATCCATGAAGAGAAGACGCAGGGTAACCCCAGAAGGCAAACGGAGGTTAGGATAGGCCCGCCACTGACGTTAACAGCCGAATCACCTATGGCTTTGAAGATGTTAGGAAAAGCGAGTGTAAGTCAGGAGAGAGAAGTGAAAAGGGAAAAAGAGAAGAGGAATGAGGCGGGCAATGGACCGTGGGTCTTGGGCAGGACCGAAGAAGGCATAGGCATCAAATCGCCCATTCTTCTACGAGCCAAGCCAATACTTTGTTATTTTTATATTTTTTTTACGGAGTACATTTTTACATACATTTTTTTCTCTTTTGGCCATGTCATTTGTCCCTTTTTCGCCATTCACCGTGTCTTAAAAGACTTAAAAGACTTGAGACAGAGGTATCAACCTTGGAAGTTTGGCGTCATCCCGGTCTCAGATCAGCGGACGGGACTATCAGGACTATACGCCAAGGACTCCGTAAACTATTCAATTGCTCTTTTTCTCCTATCCCCGCTCTTTTTCTTCCCTTTTTTTTTTTCTAGCATTATCTTGATGCCTTCTAATATCTGCCGAACACCCCCTGATTTTTGCCCCTATTGTCTCTGAGTCTCCGCCACCTGCCGGCTAAAATTGAGCGCTTGAACCAACCTGGCCGGAACCGACTTGGCGGGTTCATGAACTGTGGCTTTGCCACACGTTGGCGGGTCCAACGGACGCGTACCCCTAACGCTCATGGCTTTGCTGTTCCTTGGTTTTTTATTTAATTTACCCCGCTAACTCTTGAGGCCACAGCTCAAAGCGATTTATTCAAGCTTAGACTGCAATTCAGATCAGTTGCTGTAGTTACGGAGTATTTAATCCATACTTTGGACATGGCACCTCTTCACTTGGGCAGAGTCAATGGTAGCCTAAGAATAGACTGCGTCTGCAGCTTTGGACAGATCTCAAATGGATCTACTTATAGGCTGCATGAGATCAGCGCTCCAGATCAGACCCATCGCGTCATCGCGAAGCGCAGATCGCACATGGGAGGCCTACCTTATTTACTCCATCTTGCTACTTGTAACAGAGTACTTAAGTAGACATAAGTTAAGTATTGTCAGTTGAGTATTAAACATGGCATCTCTCAAGGTTCCGTGGGTTGTTCCGTAGTCTATTCCTCTTTGGGATAAGGTTATCGTCTCCAATCTGTACATAGTTCCCGAGGTCTACACTATCCAAGGGCTTGGTACTTACCTAGGTAGTAAAACCCCCAGAGCTCCAAGCTCCAAGAAGCTCCAAGACCTGCATGTCTTACTTGAGGCTTGGAGACCGTCCCTTTGATCTGCCCCATCTGCTTCATACTGAATTTCTACAACTCGTATAAACTCAAACTCACCGTCAGTACGAAGTGCATTGAAAATGATAAGCCCTAAACACGATGTGGGCCCCGACTCTGCCCTACGAGTACGGTGCATATTGTAGGACAAAGTCCTTAACTTGGCCTGCCTGTGGATACCCCGTGTAGCTTTCGTACATACAAGGCCCCCACTCAGTGGTCTTCAAATGCATCCACTTACTCAAGACTAGTCTTAGCTGTCAAACATTGAGCTCAGCATTGCCTTATGGCGTACTCATGTCATATGAGCTATCTGATTATCCAAACTCAGTGGTCGCTCTTCAGGGACTAAGAACCTCGGCGGCTCGGCGGTACGCTCTTACGAGTACGAGTACGTGCACGTTGTCAGTATTACACCGCACCTGGTCAGCGCCCACACAAGTCTCAGATCTACATTACGGACTGTTACGGAGTACTGATACCTGGAGATCGTGGAAGCACAGCCTCATCCCTGTGGGGATTCACCTCTCAATGTCTATGTCTTGATGGCTACATGGAACACGAACAAGCAAAGTTATGACACTGGCATATCGGAAATAAACTTGCTAAATGAACAATTTGGCTGGCATGCTATGCGCTAAACAATCATCACGGTCATAAATGGGATAGAAATGGGGATCCCTCACTCTTCCATGCTCATAGAGTAGGCGAGAACAGGATCAATCAATGCCATCTCGTCGTGGCTGGGTATCATAGAATCAATGTTGCCGGTGTCACTCCCGGTAGGGATATCTTGCATCAAATAATCGGCATTCAAGCCCGGCTGGGCAGGCAGATGAACGGAGTCATTGGATTGGGATCCAAAAGCAACATCCGACGAATCACCTTCATTGTAGAAGTGATGGCTATACTGGCCATCCTGGTCGAACTCGAGACCATACATGCCCAGAGAGTTCCCTGCGGAGCCCGAATTGTCGGCCAACAAGGCGCGCTGCAGGAATAGGTTCTCGACATTGTCTTCTGAACATTCATGTTTGGTAGTCATGTGAATCCACAGATCATAGTCACGGTGGAATCGGTGAGAGCACGATTCGTCAAAGCACTTGATCTGTCTACCGGAGTCTTCAACGTAACCTTGACCGGTCAGGGCAGACAAGGTGGTGACAGACTTCTGTGGTAACTGCGATCTGGGGGCCAGCCCCTGTCGTTCGCGGCGCATTGCCTTTGCGTTTTTGAGACCCATATGATGAGTCCGGATGTGATCCTCTAACGCAAGCTTGCTGCCGTAACGGTTGCCACAGCCAATGCCGTCCCAGTTTTCAACTTTCTTGGATTTGGAAAGGTCTGCTTCACCGCAGACGAATCTCTTTTCACCTTCGTGTACGGTGCGAATGTGCACAGTCAGGTTACCTTGTCGGGTGAAGTGACGACCACAGCCGTTGAAATTGCAAGGGAAAACCTTTCGATCTTCAAGGCTGATATCTCCATGGGCGACTTCAAGATGACGTCGCAGCTCTCGCGATGTGGAGCAGACGAGGGGACATTGAGGGCATGTAGGCGGATGAACTGTGCGAATGTGTTCTTGGAGAGAGGCGTAGGTGGGAAATGAGAAATCCTGATCGGAATCCTGTTCTAACCCGGGTTGTTGCGCAGACTGACTTTCGGAGCATTCCATGCAGGTGAATCGTTTCTCAGAGTGGACCCTACTCTCGTGGTTGCGCAGATTTCCGGCAGTGTCGAAGGCCATTTCACACTTCTCGCCGGTAACTGGGTGTAATTTGGTACATGGGAATGGCTTCAGATTTTTGTGTACCGTTGTAATGTGTTTTTGAAGCGTAGAGTGTTTTCGGAATGTTTCGTTGCAAGGTGGATATTCGGTGCAGCGATGTTGGTCCCTACCATCGTGGGCAGCCAAGTGTCGGCGAAGCCGTGAGCCATTCACAAAGCTCTTTCCACAGCCCGGTCGGTCGCAAGGGTAATCTCGAATATCGCTGTGGGCGCTCTTGACGTGATGAGCGAGATGGGACGGTCGTAAGAACGATTTGTCGCAACCTTCGAATTCACACTGGAAAATCCGTTCGTTGTTATGCGACCGAATGTGCTCCTGAAGCCGGGCGGGTCGATTAAATGCTTTGTCGCAGCCTTCGAATGGGCATCGAATGGTCTTGAGCTCTGATGGGTATCGAGAAGAGGTAGTTGACATCGGGGTCGCCGGAGTCTCGTGCATTTCATGGCTCATTGCACTAGGGGAACCCCGAGCCGAGTATGCGGGATCCCCATCATCAGAGTGTACAATTTCGTCGATTGAGTCTAAGTCTTGAATGGGCGTCAGCAATTTTATCGCTTTATCGGCTGTTATCTGACGATTAGACGTACCAAGATTGTCCTCGAGATGCTGTTTCTGAAGTCGCTTTGGGATTGCTATCCCTTCCGACGAGGCCTTCCGCTTCAGAGCCATAATGAAAAATCCCCAGAGGGGTCGACAAAAGTGAGAAAGAGATCTCAAGAGAAAACAGGTGAACGGTGAAGCCCAAGACTATTTTTTTATTCTGCCAAGAGGGCGGTGTGGAAGACGACGAGAGGAAGTTTTTCCGCTCCAAGAGATTTTAGCAATCAATCCCACCACGATTCCCGACTCGCCCCTCTCACACCTCCGGGTCTTTCATCGCTCGCTTCGGTTCATCTGTCTGCCGCTCCTTTACACGCTTACCAGCCACTATGTCTGACTACGGCAACGACGACGTCGAAGAGAAGTAAGCTACCTCCCTCCGCACCCAGGTTGAGCAAGGAATGGGCGCAAACAAGCTTTACTTGCTACTTTACCCCCAATGACCTTTTCAATGAGAGCGCATATGTCCAATGAAACATAATTTCTAATGTGATTGCGCGCGCAGCTTCGACTACGAGCCCGGTGAGGATGTCTTCGACGAGCCGGAGGAACAGGAGGGCCTTGAAGGCGAAGACCATATGGAAGGAGACGACTACAACCCCACTGCCAATGGTGAGAACGTTGTTGTCTCGGGCGATCCCAATGCCGGATACTCAGGCAAGGTCATGGAGCAATCTCGCGAGAAGAAGGTGCCCAATGACCAGCGCACCACCACCCCGTACTTGACCAAGTACGAGCGCGCGCGTGTCCTGGGCACCCGTGCTCTTCAGATCAGGTATGATTCCAGTCGGGGGGATTGCAACTCTTTGTCAATCCATAGAAGATCCATCTAACACCCATTGCAGTATGAACGCGCCCGTTCTTGTCGACCTCGAGGGTGAAACCGATCCCCTGCAGATCGCCATGAAAGAGCTGAACCAGAAGAAGATCCCTCTCATCATTCGCCGTTATCTTCCTGATGGATGGTAAGCATCGATTTATTCACCTTTACGAGCCATCTCTAACAATGCTTGCAGGTATGAGGACTGGACTTGCGAGGAACTGCTGTAGAGGGCCACACCCTCAGTGTTCTATGGGCCCGATTTCTCTGTTTTGATTTTCGGGTTTCAGCATAGCGTTTGGAGTTCTGGGATTCGAAGAAACCGTCAAAAAAAGAGTGACTAGGAGGTGGATGGACGATGAAAAATCATGGACCAGGCCTTGTACATCTAGAGACCAAAAAGATAAATAATATGACGCTTCAAACATGCCTTTAAGAAAAACATTTATAAACGATCTGCTCTGCAGGCAAAACATGCAAAACCATGCAGACCACGTGTAAAGTGGGATGCCAACTGTATCAGAGCTTGGACTGGAATGTCTGTACGGCATATCCCGAGATTCTCAATACTATTTCCTCTCTCCAGAACCGAGCACAGTACTTATGTACTCGCTAGGCTCTCAAAGTTGCCACACATCGACTGCTTAATCTAATACTCCGTACAGACAATGGATAAACGGCACAGTGGATGATTATTGGACATGGCCACTCTGCACTGAAACCCACTTACCCCAAGGATATTGCGAGTGGACCCTCTTCGGCCTCTTCCGCCCTTCAAGGCCCCGCTTGCTTTCGGGGTTTATAAGCAACTCCGGATTGGGAGAAAAATCTAGCGACTTACACTATTCCTCTTGCACGGGTACTACTCTGCTTTTCGTCTTCACTTGTGAGAGGCCTTTGGCGCGATCAATATTGGTCCGATCCCGGCGCGAAACAGATCATGGGGTCGACTAATGCGGATGTAGAAAAGGTGCTGGTGGATGAGCCCATCCAGAATGAAGCCAACTATCAATCGAACCCCTCAGACCCCGTTGCTGAGAAAGAGCCAGAGCCAGAGTTTGATACAGGCCTGAGGACATGGCTACAAGTGGTGGGGTCATTCTTTCTCTTCTTTAATTCATGGTAGGACTCTTTACTCTCTTGCTCTCGATATTTGGCTAACCAGAACCTGACAGGGGTATTATCAATACATGGGGTGCATACCAAACGTATTATGAGCAAGAATTGCTTGCTGGGACTTCATCTTCTACCATCGCCTGGATTGGATCACTGCAGTCGTTCTTGTTGATGATGATCGGAGTCATCACCGGACCACTCTTTGACGCAGGCTACTTCCGAACTCTCATCAGCTTTGCTGCCTTTCTATTGCCATTTGGCCTCATGATGACTAGTCTGGCCACCAAATATTGGCAGCTCATCCTTTCCCAGGGCGTTTGCATTGGACTGGCAGCAGGCTGTCTCTTCGTGCCTTCCGTCGCCATTCTACCACAATATTTCCGCGCCAAGAGAGGGCTAGCCAACGGTTTCGCTGCCAGCGGTAGTAGCATCGGCGGCGTAGTCTACCCGATCATGTTCGATCAATTGCAGAAGAAGGTTGGCTTCGCTTGGGCTACTCGGGCTCTGGGTTTCGTCTGCTTTGGAACCACTTGCATATCGGTCAGCATCATGCGCCAACGGTTCCAGCCCAAGGAAAAGCGCAAGCTCTTTCAGTTCTCGGTCTTGAAAGAGCCGGCTTTTACCATCTTCGCCATTGCCATGTTCATGGGTTTCCTTGGATTCTACAACTTCCTCTTCTACGTGCAGTCTTATGCCATTGAGACCGGTATCGTGGACTCGAATTTAGGATTCTACCTTCTTTCCATGCTGAACGCCGCTTCAACCTTTGGCCGTATTGCTCCTAACTTCCTTGCTGATCACATCGGTCCCCTCAACATGCTTACACCCGCTGTGACCATCACTGCCATCTTGGCCTTTGTCTGGATCCGCGTCCACACCGTCCCCGGCATCATCATTCTGTCGGTCTTTTATGGCTTCTTCTCTGGTGGATTTGTCTCACTGCCTCCAGTGGTCATGGCAAGTATGACTCCAGATGTGCGCAATTTGGGTACACGCATGGGTATGCTTTTTGCAATTGTTTCTATTGGTCTTCTGATCGGTACCCCCATTGGCGGAGCCATCTTGAACTCGACAAATGAATTCGTCGGAGTTCAGCTCTTCACTGCTTGTTGCCTTATTACATCTGCTGTTCTCATGACAGTTGTGAGGCTGCTGCGCACGGGTCCTAAGCTCCGCGTCAAGGCCTGAGCAGCCCTGTTGCTTAGTACACTTTTCTTGGGTCCTTTGATCATGTCTGCGGACTTCTTGCGCATACCCCGTCGATTGGACTGGCTTCTGTTTTCAGCACATATCATAGAACAAATTTGAAATGTGGCATAGTTCACATTCTACGAGCCCAATGAACTAGGAAATCAAAAGTACTGTTTCTTTCCCCTGGAATCCACGCTCTTTCGGAACATAGCTGTAATGGCTATAGTGAGTTTTACTCTTAGGGCTAGCTTATCTTGGCGCTTCCCCTTTCCCCTTTCTGGTCTCTTTTCGGGGTTTTTATTGTTCTCCATTTCTCTTTTCGGATTCTTGACATACTACAACGTTTATGCTCCGTCCTTGTTCCGAGGGTTGAAACAAGGTGGGACGATGCCAGTATTTCCTTGATGTCTCACCATCTCACATCTACTCTTTGAAGTCCATCTCAATAGAAAGTACTGTTGACACCCAAAATGGACTCAAAGATACATCAATCAGAAATTACAGAGTAGATGATCTATCGACGCCAACTCCGGTGGCAGTTTACCTCCATATATAGGTGAAGTGAGGTCGAAATCACCAGGAATATCAACGCACAAGTGTAACCTCGACAGCATTTAAATACTTGGCGGCTAAAGGTTACAGTCCGAGTCAATATTGAGAGCTGATTCGTAATCCACTTGAACCGTATTTATAATTTTGATCTTCATAATCGAACCCCTGGGTATGGAGTGCAGGACGCTCATGCAATGAAACGCCAAAAGAAACAGGCCCCTATATACTCTGTACCATCAATCATTAATGTAGCATTCTTACTACATGACATCCTCCGGCCCGACAGGGAAGTTCTCCCCATTTTCTCGCACGTGTTCAAGCTTCTTATCTCGACTACACGGCTTGCGCATGTCGAACGCATCTTCTCCAGAGTCAGACATGCCCGACGGATCATCACTGTAATAATTTACCACCCGCCGGAACACCGAGTACCTGCAGTAAAGAATATCAGCAAGCATTCTCCAATTGGCTCTGATCCAACACTCACCCCATCCCCTTGTACATTTCATATGCAACTTTGTTTCCAGCTCGCACGTATAGGTCCACGAACCAGGCATCGTTACTATCAGAGCCCCGCTCTAGCTGCTCGGTCAATCTGCGTGCAAATCCGAGTCTGCGCCAGGCTGGTGCCACGGTTAGCACTGTGATGTGTCCGTGCCATGGTGTGTAGTGTTCTGAGTGTCGCATGGACGGGTGTTGTTCTTCTAATTTGCCCATGACTTGAGGGAGTTAGCTATGCAATTTGCATGGAGGTTCATCACATACTGTAGCCCACAGTCCCGGATTCACGGTCCTTGATTGTGCTGAACAGTGATGGCCATTTGTTCAGGTAGTTGAGGTAGAAGCCGAGGTCATAGTTCTCGGTGAGAGGGTCAAGGTTTGTTTGGTTGAGGTTGAGGAGGTCCAGAGGGGACATGCGCTCAATTGAAGTCATGGTGAAAGATGAGCTATCTGTAGATCCCAAGTCAGTCTCAAGTGGGGGAAGTCGAAGCCCATCTCTTTTTTTGCCGCGGCGGTGAATGTGTCTGTATACGGATGTTTCCCCCCACCTGTGCAGATGTCTAATTCCTTTCAGAGAAGTCTTTCTTTTCTTTTTTCCTTTTTTTCCTTTTTTAACCCGGCTTGTCTCTTGTGGGCTTTGTCTTGTGTCTGTGAGTGTCAGAACTCGCCCACTCTGCGTCAATCGAGACATTGAGTCAATCCGGAGCTAACTGGCCTATCCAATTGAGCCCAAAACAACATACCCTTTCGCCTGTAGCTGGACTCAGACGACGTGTTCCTTATCGCTACTTATGTTGCCACTCTAGACACACTCGCTTGATCAATCACATTTACAAAAGTCCCGAGATCTCCGCATACAATGCCTGCCCCTCCGTCTCCCCTGAAACTCTCACACCGCTATCGATCATCAATCGACGACTCACCAATTTCCCCTGGAACAACAGGAAATGGCTTCGCCCTAGCCAGTCCCCGTTCACCACAGACTCCCCGTCTCTCAGCACCTCCCTCCCCCATCACCTCCCGTAACAATTCCACCGCCATGAGTGGGAACCGCGACTCCGGCGATTTCACCGGCGCCGACGGAGGTGGCCTGGGCAACCTGGCTGACGAGCTAGCTGATGCCTGGGAGGAAGATGAAGATGGATACGGGTATGCATCAGGGCAGGAAATGAGCCGCGCGGGGTCGCAACAGCTTGGCCAGAGCGACGGGGAAGATGCGTACCTGCAATCTGTGCGCGGGATGCGCACACGGTCACCATCGGTCTCACCAGAGAGAGAATCTCTCCATCCGGCCAGGAATAAGAACCGCGCAAACCATCTGCGACAGCACCGCCGGCAGGAGTCGCAATACGATGGTTCAGACTATGGGCCTGATTCGGACTTTGATGAGGCGGCAGATATATCCCCTGCTCTGGAGAACCAGATGGCTGAAATTGAGAGTCTGGTGAGACGTGGGATAGAGAATAATGGAAGTGAGAATGATCGTGTTATTCAGCGGACGGTGGATTCGCTGAAGGATCTCGGTGGTCAGAGCGGGATTGAAAACAGCGCCATGAGGTATGTCCTTTTCATGCATGATATATAGCAAGGGTTCAATGGTTAATTAATTACACACAGACTTATTACCGCCCATTCTTCAATCACCTCGCATCTGACACATCAAACTCGCACTCTCCAATCCCTCATTCACCCTCTTCTGTTCTCTTCTTTCCCCCTCCTCTCTGAAGACGCCATCGACTCCCTCATGCCCCTTATTGACGAAGGCCTACTGCCTAATCTCCCTTATCCATTCCCTGACCAACCCCGCCATGGCTCCAGACCAGTCACACCGCAATCCTCCGCACACAATCCCCTCGCCTCTCTCCAATCACTTATAGCCCAAACTGCCGAAATCACCCAACTACTCCGCGGACTCAGCGACACCCTCTACGAGTCCCGCCAATTGACCTCCACAGCATCAAGACGCCTCCGATCTGCCCGGGAACTCGTCGCAGATATCCGACGAGAAGAAGAAAGTCGCGAAGAAGGATCCCGGTGGATCGAGAGAGGTGACTGGGACCGTCGATTGAAGGACCGAGAAGCAGGCAAGGTCTGCGGTGATGTAGTCAGTGGCTTTGAGGCTGTTTGCGGAGAGTGGCGGGAGAAATTGTTTGGAGCTAATGCCGAGGTTGCTGCTGCATAGAGTTGTGTTGATTTTCACGATGCAGATCTATTGACATTTGAGATTCTACATTGCCATTCTCTTGATTTTTTGTCCTTTTTTTTACCTGTCAGATATCCATATTGATTCATGCTGGGCTATTGTTATTTCTGCCCGTGTTTATACTGCGAGTTTCAGATTACATGCATAGAAGCTCAGAATTATCATTCTATACAATTACAGTCTTGAGTTGCTTGGTCTTTCTAATGTTCTAGCTAGCTCATTTCTCTGTCGAAGTGTCACACTGAGAGTATTTGGTAGATCTGATGCCTGGATATTACGTATAGACCAAGTGTGAAGGCATTGTGCAATATGAAAAGGGGTCTAACTCCAGGGCTTACAACCAAGGTCTACACAGAATGAACAGAAAGATGAACATAAGGATCAGATCCAAGGAAATCTGACATTCTATATAGTATCCAACCCACGGCATGAGCAATACCATGAAACCTGGAAACAGGGAACGAGCATGATATTGGCATCACAGACGGCAAGAAAAAAAATCGCCATCTATCCTTTGAAAAAGAGAATAAATTAGAGACAATCGAAACGCAAAAAAACACAGACCATAAGGCCCCATAGGGTCAATGATACAAAGATGCAGAAAGGGTCATGAGAACAGCGCCAAATAGAAAAGAGCTTCGATACACTTTTTGAATGGGAAAGTCATAGCTATAAACTCGTGACCCGGTCGTTTACTGCTGCTGCTTCCACTTGGGAACCCACTTGCCGCCAGCGGCGGGCTTGGGTTCCCCGGAAGCGGCAGGGGACTGGGAAGAAGGTTCGCGTGCCTGGCGAGGAGCCCAGCGCTCAGTGGGAGCGGGGGCTTCGCGGGGCTCACGGGGGGCCCAACGCTCGGTGGGTGCCTCGCGGGGAGCAGGGGGAGGGGGTGCGGATCCAGAGGCGCCGGAGGCACCGGCACGCAGGTGGGGAGGGACGTAACCACCCTTGCGGGCAGCAGGGGCAGGCTCTTCACGGGCGGAGGGGGCGGCTTCACCACCGGCCTCCTTGGCGGCTTGGCGGTCTCTCCAGGTAGAGGGAGCACCACCGGTTCGGGGGGCAAGGTTGAGTCGAGGGCGGTCGCTGCTTTCTCCGAATCCACCCTTACGGGCTGCGAGACGGGCCTCGGCCTCCTCTTCTCTCTGTCGCTGCCTGATGGCCATCTCGTCCATTTTACTATTAGTGTTGTTAGCATGATGTGTTCGACGGTCTGAAGGGGGGGATACTAACGATCGCTCTTCCTCACGCTTGGCCTTCTCTTCGATGAGAATACGACGGCGCTCTTCTTCGCGGGCGGTTCGCTCTTGTTCTTCACGAGCGGCACGCTCCTCTTCCTCCTGGCGCTGGCGCTCTTGCTCCTCGCGCTCCTGCCTCTCGCGGCGACGGCGCTCCTGGACATCCTTGACACGTTGCTTCTTCTTGGCCTCGAATTCGCGCTCAGCAGCCTTGCGGCGCTTCTCGAACTCCTCGTGGCGCTTCTCGGAAACCTCCTTGCGGAAGTTGCTGAACTGGGGAACCAGACGACCAAGACGGTGCTTGAGAGCAACAGCCTCAGCGTGCTTCTCCTTGGACTCTTTGATGGCCATGGCGCTCTGCTTGTCGTAAAGCTCCTGGTCAGCCTTCTTCTGAGCATCGTAATCGGAGGAAATGTGCTTCAATTCCTCGCGACGGAAGGCACGCTCCAAGTGGTCGATACGCTTGGCGGTTGTGCGAACGCGGTCGTTCAAGTCGTTCTTCTCCTTCTCGAGCTGGGCGAGCTTCATAGCACGCAGACGGTTGGCATCCAACTCATCAAGGTCGAGCTCACTGATGTCAATACCCTTGACTCCGGTCTTGAGCTCCTCAATCTGCTTCTTGAGCTCCTCCTGGCGGATGCGGTCTTGCTCATCCTTGATGCGCTTAAGCTCGCGGTCACGCTGCTCATCAGCAAGACGCTGCTTCTCGGCCTCCTGGAGTTGGTGGGCGCGTTGACGCTTACGGGTCTCCTCCTCACGCTGCTTGCGCTGCAAGGCATCGGTGGCGGCCTCCTTCTTCTTGTCGATGAGGACGCGGCGAGCCAGAGTCTCTTCGTGCTCCTGGGCGGCACCGGCAAGGGCGCGGGCCTGAGCACTCTGCTTGGCCTGGAGACGAGCCTCGCTGTAGGAGGGGTCAACGTACATGCAGGAGATGTGAAGGGTCTTGGCAAGGCGAGCAACCTGGAAGCGGGCGATCTCGGCAGGAGTGTTCTGCAGACGCTGGACGGAGCCAGCCTCGCTCTCAGCGGAACCAGCACCACTGCCAGCGTGCATGGCCTTGGAAGAAGAGAAGATGTCGGAATCGAAGGTCAGGACACCCGAGATGTGGTCGACACGAATGGCGAGGTCACCCTTCTTGCAACCGTTCATGATGAACTTCTCAATCATGGCGGGAGTGATCTGGAAAGGATCGGGGAACTGAGCAAGCTCGTAGACGAACTTGAGCTCAACGGACTCGTAGACCTGAGACAGCTGCTGGAACAGACGAGTGAGAATGACCTGCTGCAAAGGAACAACGTACTTCTCCATCTCGGGATCGGCGCCAATCTTGGTCAAGATGGGGGTGATCTTCTTGCAGATGGACAGAGGGTGGAAGTCAACCTCCAGGATGTTGTAGAGTTCGCGGATCTCGGGGCGGACGTGGCGAAGCAGACCCTTGTTCAGAGCGTCACGGAACAGAACAGTACGGGTGGGGGAAGTGGCCATGCCGAGAAGGTTGGTCAGACGAGTGTTCTTGTTCTTGCGGGCCTCATCGACATCGACCAGAGCACCGCGGGAGCGGGAAGTGCTGATAACGGGGATGGAGAGAGCACTGAGGAAGACGAAGGAAGCGGCCTTGGACAAGGATTCTTCGGTGACGGCAGGGTTCTCCTTCTTGGAGCTCTGGCCGCTGGCCAGGGCAACGGAGGAGAGACGGAGGAGGTTGTAGTAGCGGTTGTAGGCGGCGGCGTGGAAGAGGTAGTTCTCGCTGACGAGGAAAATGCGGGCAAGCTTCTCGTAGTAGTTGGCCATCATGATGTTCTTGGCGGGGCGCTTGCTGAGGCTCAACAGGGTGTGGATATCCTCAATGCTGCGGAAAGCCTCCTGCCAGAGCTCCAGCTCAACGGCGACGTTCAGTTGCTGGAAACGGGTGTCGAGGTGACGCTGCAGGGTGTCGGCATCGCTGAGGTTGATGGCGTGCATCTGCGAGGAGTACTTGGCGGCGTTCTGGACGTGGTTACGGAGCAACTCGCAAAGACGGCGGAACTCAGTCTTGCGGGTGAACTTCTGGCAGAACTTGAAGGCCTGCAGGGCAGTCGACTGGTACATGATCTCGAGACGGGCATTGTTCTTGAGGATCTCGAGGACGGTGCGGTAGGTCTCCCAAAGGAACTTCAACCAGGGGGTGACAACGGCGCGGTCGGTGCGGTCACGAGACTGCTCGCCGGAGACAGTGGCGAGGAGGATAGTCTCGGGGGTCTCGATGGCTTCCAGATCCTCAACGTTGGTGGAGGGGGCGGCGGACTCGAGGGAGGACTGAATCTCATCGGCCTTGGCCTGGGCTTCGGTGACCTTCTGTTCGGCGAGCTCGATGAACTTCTTGAGGACGATCTGTTAAGATGAAAAAAGGTCCTAGGTTAGTTCCAGATCGAAGGTGGTTTTTTTTTTCGGGTTTGTTTTTTTTTTTTCAATGATCGACACGAACCTCGATAGTGCCGACGTTGGTGTTCTGGGCGATGTTCTTGTACTGGTAAAGACCATCCTTGGCGGCCTTGCCCTTGCGAAGATCGACGGACAGTTCAACGAACAGGAGCATCACCGGCTCGAGCGAGGCGATGGGGCTGTTGCGGGTCCGCTTGGAGGTAACATGTTCGTGGAGGACAGTCAAGGCGGCGGGGGCCTGCTCAACGGCGATGAGTTCCTGGGCCCTCTATTAATAATATAACTATTAGTAACTGTGTCTGGATCGAGTTTGCGACAGCGACGACGAGCTCACTTTGAGGACGTTCTCGGGCTTGATATGCGGAGGAGGCGGCATGATGGGTGGATGCCCCTTTGGGGGAATGGATCAAAGGGTTTGGACTGGGATAAAAAATAAATCAAAATAAGTCGTGAGTCCCAATGACACGGGCAGGAAGATTGCGATTAGACTGCCACGCGAAGACCCGATAACGAGGGGAAGATTCACAGTGTGCGTGAAGCAACGAAAAATGGAACCCGCCGCGAGTGTTCCCACTTCGGGCTAAGCGATGGCGATCACGTGTAGACACCTGAGGCATTATTACCGAAATGACATGACCAGCTACCGTGTTTAGTATGGGATGGAGGCATTGATACAGGTCATGTATTTCCAATAGTCGTTCATTTGGAGATTTTCCTACTATATTTACACTATTCTATTGCACTTTATTGTAGAAAGGATCAATTCAATTCAGTCTTCCGATTGTGGATTACCTGTACTCTATACATCATACTTTGGACTCTACAAATCTCTCCTGATGGGCTGAATCAATCGATGGTGAGATCTGGAGTATGGAGTACGGAGTACGACTCCGTGCAATGCTAGATGTTGAATAGCTGCTTCATCCTCGTACATTCAGGAATATTCCAATCCATTATTCTCAATAAGAAGTCAGAATTACTTCCAATGCTTCCAATGCCAGCTAGTCCGAAACCCCTCGTACCCGGTACCTCAGAATCAATGGTCCGACAATAGTATACCCCGACCCATCCGAAGTACCGGGTACCCCGTCACAGAAAAGAAACCCACGGACCTGTTCTTCTCTCTGCACCCTTTTTCATTCCTTTGTATATTCCCTTCAACTCACCTTCTTTTTTACTGATTTTTGATCTTTTCTGCCTTTAACCCATATTTTTGGCGTCACGGAGCCCCCTGAACGGACCCTAACCTAATTCTTGCTCCCTTGAGCCGATCCAGCGAAAAACCCCCCCTCCCCCCTTTCTCCCGTTTCGCGACTCTTCCCCAACCACCAAATTCCCACCATGCCTGCCTACGAACTCCGATCGGGTGGTGATGTCAAGAACAAGAAGCAGAGTGTCGCCGATTTGAAATACCGTCGCTTGACTGAACTCAATGCACGTTTGAAGGAGGATCTGGACCGTCCTCGGGTCAAGGTCTCCGAGGCAGCTCTCTCGTGCGTGTCAGCTTTCCCCTATGAGGTGGACTTTTCAACTGACGCCCTCAAACAGTCTGATCAGTTACTGTAACAACACTCGCGATTTCATGGTTCCTTCTGTATGGGGACAGGTATGCGACCGTCCTCTTGCTTCGCGCGCCATCTCTCTCTAACCCCCGTTTCTAGGTCGACAAGCGCGAGGACCCCTACGCTCCCCAACAGCAGGGAGGTTGCTGCACCGTCATGTAATGCACTCACGACGGAATTTTACTCGCCATGATAACTTCACCATCTTTCTCTCTTTCTTTCTCTCGCCCTTTTTTTTCTTCTTCTACTTAATTCCGGACTTCATGATCAACCTTTGGAACAACATCGCGGAAAAGAGTGAAATTTGTGGCCTGAATGAAAATCGTCTGCTGGTCCTGCACGAACCCTTCTACGCCCGGGATCTTCTACAATGACTCTTTTCCGTCGCTTCGCCTTTGGTCCCTCTCTCGCAGGCAGTGCACATTCGACGTATCTGCTGCACCTCACCTATTCTCCTCTGGATCGCACCATTCCCCCTTCTCGCTGTGTTTGCTTGGAATCGGCTATTTTTTTTTTATCTCTCTTCTTTTTTTTTTCTCAATATCTCCGATGTATCTTGTTACGGGTTCCTTTTCAAAAAGTCTCTCACTTAGGCGTGAGAGTCGGTTGCCATTCATGTATCATAGATTCGCATGACCAATACCATACCGATCTAATCGAACCTGCTATTATCTCATGCAATTGGCTTGGCTGAAACGGGTAGATTCGTTAGGTCACATTGTACTTTTTCGCACATACGAGTACTAAACAGGGCTAAACCAGGATAGCAGAAACTTCAGAAGTACAGAATACTATCTGAGTAACTTGTCTTCTGTACTCTGTACTCCGTACTTTGTGGAAGCTCAAGTACTCCCCCGCTGACATCATCCACATCCTACCCACTTCATCAACTCATCCTTGAAACACCTTACACCTACTCGTACTCACCTTACACCTACTCGTACTCCGTACTTGTACAGCCATGGACCCCTCAGAAAAGAAAACAGACCTATCCCACGTCCACCTCCCCCGCATCTCAATCAAATACTGCACCCAATGTCGATGGATGCTGCGCGCCGCATACGTACGTGACCCATCACATCCACACTCTCAATCCATAGGGAATACGGAATACCCAGTACTCTATACTCTCTACGTTGTAAAACAAACTAACAAGAACAGTTCGCCCAAGAGCTCCTGTCGACATTTAGTACCGATCTCGGTGAAGTCGCGCTGGTTCCTATGACCGGGGGCATATTTACGGTGACGATCTGGCACCAGGAAACCATTGAGGGACAAGGTGTGACGAGGGAGAATATACTATGGGATCGGAAGAGGGATGGTGGATTCCCTGGTATGTTTTCAAGGTTTTATATATATTGGATTTTATATCTTGATATATTGATCTTGGTGTTGTTGATTTGGTGCATGTTTGCTGATTCCTGGACAGAAGTCAAGGCTCTTAAGTCGTTGGTGCGTAATGTTATTGCACCGGAGCGAGATCTGGGACATACGGATCGGGCATTGAGGGCGCAGGGACAGGGTGGGACGTTGAAGGCGCAGCAGGGGGAGCAGAAGGAGAAGATGAAGGAGGAAGAGGCTAAGGAGGTTGCTTGTGAGGATTGTCAATAATTCAGGTTTGCATATTGAAATTTAGATTAGAACCTCCAGGGTTGATACGGAATGCATAAATTGCTTAAACCGAAGTCTTGATATCAAATACGCATACTCCGTACATATAGCTCCTATTCTCGGGGTTGCTTCGCACGTTCAAATAGCCGAGTAGACTATACACATCACATTCATTATCGCGTAGAGCGGAATTCTACTTAAGCCTCGTATAGAGGAAACACAAAAAGAATCAAACATGAGAGGGAGAGGATATCCAAGACCGTGGAAGAATCCAGGCCCGTCAAAGAAAAAGCCCGCTCCTATAGAGAAACAACGCCGCCACCGAACTCTAAGAGAGCTGCCCCGAACCGTCACACAGACGTTGGGATGAAAAGAAGGATCGAACAATATAAGAATGAGATGAAAGAGAGGCGAACAGAGTCGTGGTCGTCAAAAGGAAAAATATGGGGAGGAGAACCCAATGCAGAAAAAGTAGAGAACAGATGTACCACCAATGCCAGTATCCGCTCAAACGAATACACGATGAAAAGCGAAACTCTGTCCCCCAAAGAGAGGAACAGAAAAGACATAAGGCTCAATTTGATCGTCTTGATGGGTATGAACAGACATGTACGTATGCTTTCGTGTCTGAAACAAACCCAGACGTTCAATAATAGGTATCATTATCAACTTCGTGGGGTCATGACCAGGAGTGCCATTGCTTTGAAGGAATATCTCAAAGTCCGGCTTCTTCGGATGGTCGAGTCGTGAATTCATGGAACACCAGAGTGGCGTGAATCTCATTGTAAAATGAACCCCGGAGGTCCATGGCGGCATTACATGCAGCTGGTGATGGGCGTGCCAAAAGCAACAGCTAGAATGAAGAGAAATCATGTCTCGCCACGGACCTCGTGTGAATGGTTGCGACGCTTCCAGAAAGCAAGGCGAAGACGACTCCGCTTCTTGGGAAGCTTGCGACGTTCGCCGCGGGAGTCGTCTGTTTGCAAGCCTTCGTTTTTGCCGCTCTCGCCAGTAGTCGTTGACTGGGCTGAGCTTGAGGTTCCATTAGGTACCATTCGAGAGAAGTCTTTGCTGGCACCGTCTTCGGACCGCGATGTACCATGGCGGTGGCCATAGTGGCGGTCTGGGCTATAACGACCTGCAGGCTCAGATGCACCCGAAGGATACGCATCCGCGGTGCTGGGTCGTGTGCTATTATCATCTGGTCCCCCAAGATCACTGTGTGCCGCACTTTCCCCGGAAATGCGCTTTTCGTCGCCGCTATCCACGGCTAAGAAGCTTGTGGCGTTGGTTGCCGGAGAGATGGGAGTCATGTTGTTGCTGTATGTGCTCTGCGTCCGAGTGCAACTGTTACGGTTCGAGCCAGTGCGGGCAGAGGAGCTGTGGTGGGCATGGTGACGCTGAGAGCCCTGTGGTTGAGCTTGGCGAGAGCTGCTTGGTCTTTCGGCTTCAGGCGCCTGGTCGCGCCCCACTGTCGCCAGAGGAGTGCCTGCGCTCGCCGCAGAGTTGGCATACAAAACAGCCGCTAGAACAGCCGGGTCATCGGTGGCATTGGCTTGTTCGGCAAGAGGAGTGTGGATCTGGGTGCCGACTGACCCACGAGCAGACCCCGGGGCCCCTGGGATAGAGAAATATGAGAAATCCGGCATGGCGTTCGAGGATTTGCGAGAGGGTATTTCGGCAGCTGGGGCGAGAGGGGTGCCAGTGATCTCAATCTGAGGGCCATCGGTGTCTGGCGATACCACTGGTTGAATGGTGTTTTCATTGTACGGGGCACCGTCCGAGCCCACGTCTGTGGATGCCTCAGGCGATGTAAGCGGATCACCCGCACCATCACCAGATTCGAAGAGCAGTTTCTCGGTGTTGGTAGACCGGGATGCAGGACTATAAGATCGAGGCGAGACTGTGATTTCAGACCGTTTCTCGACCGGCAAACCTTGCTTCTTCAGCTGCTCATTGGAAAGTTCCTGCCACTGAGCCTGGTTGCGACGAATGTGCTCTGCAGTAAACTGCAATGGCGGCAGAAGATCGGAGATGCCCTCGAATAGTGGAAGAGCAAATATTGACATAAATCCAATTTGGCTGGTGGCCAGTTTGTAAATGTTTCCAAGCTCAGGGGGACCACCAAATAGCGCGGTTTCCATTCCCACTTCCCGTTCCATTTCACCCTGGTTGGCGAACTCTTCTTGCAATATCAAGGTCCACTTTTCGGCGACCTTCCAAGGCCGTGCCACATTACTGATGTCGGCGCACTTGATCAACAGGCCGCAGACTAGAGTCTTGTACATGTCGACGTCCTGTGGCTTCCACCCATCCACAGATTTGCCGTTTTCGTAGAATTTCTCTTGGAATGAGCCCATTCGCTGCATGAACTTTTGGTGAACGCCCATGTCCGTTGCCAAGATCGAGCTGATGAGAAGTTTCCGGAGCTGCTTATCCTTGAATGCTGACGGCCAGTGTCGGCGCAGAATTTGGGAAAAGGCGGCGCAGTGGAAAGCTTCTAATACAGAGTTGTCATTGTAGAGTTGTGCCAGGGGTGCATTGAGTTTGACGAGGAAGAAGTTGTTGACACCGGGGTGACCGACGTCGTGGCCAATGGCTGAGATGAGGAGGGTGAGAGCGTCAAATGGCGAGAGGAGGGATGCGATTGGGGATTCGGGAATGTGTTCCTGGTCGGTCTGTTGATAAGGAGGTAGAGCACCGATGTGCAACAAGAAGCAGAATACAGATTGTAGCACATCGATGGCATGGCGGAAGTTGTGGTAGAGGACAAAGGAGTTGTAGGCGGAGCGACAAGCGAGGAGGAATGTTTGCAGTTCATCGGGCGTCAGCCGCCATTGGTCTAATCCTGGCATAGTGAGAGCATGTGCGATCATCTCGCAAGCACCAAATACCAGCTCGTCTTCGGTGAACTCGTGGGCCGAAAATCTCCAACTGCCCACCTGTTCTTTGATATAGGGCTCGCGTGCGGGATCAACACTGATCTCAACTTCCTGGAATTCATGGATCACCTCTTCTGGATTGCATATGCCTTTCATGAGTTTTGACACCATCGCTTCTCTCAGATAAGAATACGGCTGTTCGTCATGAACTCCCACCCATGAGAGCTTCCGCTGTTTTCTCCGAGCGAGGAACCGAGACATTTCTCTTTGCGCCGTCTTGCGGGTACGATAGGCATGGACCACGAGTCCTTGAATCCGCGATCGATCGAGGGGAGTTGTCAAAACATCTATAGCACCAGCATCCAGACAGCGCGCAATCTGCTTGTGCTCCACTGTGAGGGGTCCTTGGGGTCGTGGCGTGCTGGTAGGGCCAGCACCGGGAGTATCAAGGGGTGTATCGGTAGACGGAAGGCGTAATATGGCGATTGGGATGACTAAATTCGGACCCTCTTGAACCTGTATGTCATTTGAAACGCCGGACAGAAGTGACAGGCCACGTGCCTCGTCGGATTGGGTTGAGAACGTGAAGGTCCGGTGAATGGAGCCCGGTGAAGGAGGGGCGTTGTCAGTCCATGACGCCCGACTCGCTTTCCGGCGCGCTAGGTTCGATTCCTCGCCGCTAAAATCCACCTCGAAGAATGCGAAAATTGGGTTACAGTCGCTGCCGGCCCGGTCGCTGAGTTCGGCCAGCTTTGTGGCAAAGGAGGATCCATTGTGGCAGAGGTATACTATCACGCCCACAGGGTTAGCACATGATCTCTCACGCATCGCATACTGTAAACCCTACCTTGCCTGCACACTTCCAAAAGTAGCTCCACGTCCGCCTGCAGGGCCTCCGGCTCTTCAGGCGTGACGAAGGAGCCTGCCGATGAGATGGTTGATGTGTCTATAGAATTTCTGCGCACCCATCTTTCCGACCGCACTCGGTCGTCGATAAAGACACCCGAGCATTCTACGCGGTCTACCATGTTGTCGGAATGGGGAAAACGGTCCCCGATTAGGCCGGTCTGCCGAGATCACCAGACTGGCAAGAACTTAGTCGGAGATAGGAAAAAAGAAACGATCCGGTCGGGCCTATGCTGGTTTGCATATGGCTCGAATCACGACGTTGGACGGGATTTTCGGAGGAGAAAGGTCGAAACGAGGTCGGGACGAGGTCGAAGGGGAGAACAAAAAAAAGGGAAAAAATCGAGATGAAAGAGGTTGAGATGAACCGAAGATAAAGAAACGAGCGGCAGACACGGGTGATCCGGATTGGAATCAACTCCAGATGAAAGAATGACGACTGCGCCGACTCGAACAATGGAGTTGTTTGCTGCAGCGTCGAGTCGCGTTGTGGACTAGGAGGTTCCGAGACACACCCCCAGGATCTAGACTATGCGCACTGGACAACTCGAAGGGCGCACATCCACGAACACGTGAGGAATGTCGAAGGGGGTTTAGTCAATTGTGGTTTAACAAGGGAGCAAAGCAGGTCAGTCCATGGCTGTGGGGAAATCTTTCCGAACAAAGAAAATGAAGAGAGAGAAGAGAAGAGAAGTTGAAGCAAAACAGCCTGGAGGGGCGAACACGGGGAAGGGGGCTTCTTTCCTTCCAGAAGGCCTTGGGGCGGGACGGGATGATCCTTTGTACTTTTGCTTTCACTTTACTCGTACTTATATATGGTCTACTTTATTATTAGAATTGAATATTCACATACGATATACTTCTCTCTCTCTCTCTCTCTCTTTCGCTTTTGTCTTTTCTCTCTCTTTTTCTCCCTCTGCTCTTTTCTCTTTCCGATCGCACGCTGTGGGCCCCAAATGACGCCTCTCATTTTTTTTTCCTTCTAGAAGGCTGAGTCAGCGTTTCGGTACCGCAGGGTTATTCCAGGCCCTAACAGGCTAAGAGGGCACGTTCCATAACGAAGTTCTCCATAGTCTGTATGGAGTAGTGATCTGTTGACTACATATACTCGTAAGTACTACATATAACTACGGTGTACGAGTATATCAGTATTACATAGGTAGCTTCACAGAAGAGAAGTGATCTCATCTAGCGCTTATCCACTGTCACCTGCAGCGAAGGAATGGGTTCTGCGGGGCCCAACGCCACTGGTTGAACCTTGTACTCTCGACTTCCCTCTGAGTGACACTGCCCGCATATCATCGGGTACTTGCGACTTGCTGCTAATTACATAATTGTTCAGGCTAAAGAAACCATGGTTTCGATGCTGATCGTGATCCTCCGCCAATCACAGTGTCTGATTATGCCTGTCTTCCAAGGTTCTGTGCTCTGCATATAATGTACTCTGCACTGCACTCGCACATTGTACTAACTGCCCAAGTAGGCAAAGATTCTCAATTCATATTCATAGTCACATTCCTATACCTTGTATTGATCACTCAAAAACACAAATAATCTTGCCCTTCGTAGTGTTACTCTCAAGCAACTTATGAGCCTCCTCAATCCCCTCAAACGGCAAAACCTTCTCAACAAACACCTTAAAAGTGCCATCCACAAACTTAGGCAGCGCATGATCAACCAGAATATCTCGCAACTTACGCTGATATTCCACATCCCGAGATCGAAGCGTACTCCCCTCAACGCGCACGCGCTTAAACAACAAAGGCGCAATATTCACTCCATCAGGCAACTTACCACCACCCATCAAACCAAGGAGCACAACACGGCCATCCCTAGCCGCCACATCCAAATTACCCTGGAAATAAGTGGCGCCGATAAAGTCAACTGTGAGATTCACTCCAGCTCCACCAGTGACTTTCTGAATCTCAGACGCCCAGTCTTGAGTCTTGTAATTGAATGCTTTGGTGACGCCGAGCTCTTTCTCAAGGAAGTCGATCTTCTCTTGAGATCCGGCTGTGGCGTAGATGGCACTTGCGCCAGCTGCCTTGGCGAGTTGGATTCCGGAAATGGAAACCGATGAAGCGCCCGCGTGCCACAGGACAGATTGGCCGGATTGGAAGTCACCGATCAAGAATAGAGCCTGGGAGGCTGTGATCCAAGTCTGAACTCGTTAATACTCTTTCCATTCTCTTTTGATTGCTCGAAAGTTCATGCTTACCTCCGGGACACCGGCTGCTTCTTCCCAGGATAACTCCTTGGGCTTGTGGACCAGCATTTTAGCAGAGACAGCAATGTACTCTGCATAAGCACCACCATAAGCAAGACCAAGGACTTCGTCACCGATTTTGAAATCCTCATGTCCATCGGGTCCGAATTGCTCAATGACACCGGAGAACTCAACGCCCATTGTTTCAGGGGCCTGTGGCGGGAGTGGATATAGACCCTCTCGCTGCAAGAGATCCATGCGGTTTAATCCGAATGCACGGATCTTGACGATGGCTTCTCCCTCTTTGGGAATTGGCTTGGCAATCTGATCAATGAACAGGCTTGTGGCGGGGCCTTTGCCGCCTTTGATGCCTGTGGATGTCAGTTTATCTTTGACTATCCCGTACAGGCTTCTGATCGGGGCAAAAAGATGTCATCAACTTGGAACATAGTGGCTTGCCAAGTATCATGTACTATTGGACTGTGGGGTGATATCAGGTTGAAGGGTCCCGCCACAATTAACTTACCGATAGCTCTCATGGTGTCACTCATTTTCAATATGAAATCTTCGACAATTTGCACCAAACTGGAATATATGCAGAGTTTGGCAGAAGATCATTCTTATATGGTGGGGAGTCTGACCTCATGGCATTTGTCAGCATTGTCTCCCGATTTACCCGTGAAGATGAACACTTCTGCTTTAAGCTGGCAATTGAACAGTAATTATTGCAGATTCACCGAGGCCCGGATCTCAACTCAATAGACTAGTAGACTAGTATATTACAGAAGACCTCGGGAGTGGGCTACTACAATCCTCTTACGAATACCTCGGCTACGGCTGTATACAGTCTCACAGCGGAATGAAAGACAAAAGCAATGCTAAATTTCTCTAACCAGACACAATGGGTAATGGGAATATCAATCATCAAGTAGCACCATGCAAACCATGTTTTCCACCATATCAACCCAGCCACTCCTTTTGCAGACTCCAACGAATCCCAGGGTAATCAAAGACGCCGAAGAAAGCAAACAAAAGAGACGAAAAGAAGTTGAATAAAAAATAAAAAAAAAGGCAACAAGAAGCACGATGAATCAGAGCTCTTGAAGCGAAATAACAAAGAAGGTAAAGACAAGTACCAAACAGGGGACTTGAAGTCCGGTGTGCTGGAGATGCCATGGCATGCATATGCAAGAGCGGGAAATGTAAAAAAAAAAAAGCAAGTAAAAAGGGATATAGGTCAATATCATACAATTCGGTCATGAGAACCGAGTCGGAGTTCCTCGTGGTTTCGTTATGAGAGAAGGTTCTTCAGCGATGGGCTTGCGCTTGCCCCTGTGCCAGGAGGTCCGGTGCCGTTGACTCCCGATGTCCGACCAGCGCTTGGTAATCCGCCCATTAGCGACGGTGGGGTATCTTCAGGTCGTGTGGGTGGGGTGGGCCCGCGAGGATCTAGACGTGACGGGGCAACTGGCGGGGAGTGTGAAGAGGCTGCAAGACCACGGTCGACAGAGTACATACGCGGAGGCGGGCCACCGTTCAGTGCGCTCAGCGAAGTCTGAGGGGAGCGGTTGACGGTCGTGGCCTGGATGATGGGAGGAGATGCCGAGGCAGCGTACGTGCGCGGTGGGGGTTGAGAAAGATGCGGCGACCGGGCTGGCACAGGACCATAGGGGCTCTGGTGTGTGGCATAGGGCGGCGGAGGAGGGGGTGGCCCAGCGCTGGTGTACTGGGGTGGCCCTGCAGGGTGAGAATGAGGGTGTGGATGAGGGTAGTTGTTCATGTGGTGAGGAGGCGGGGCCGCAGGGAAAGGAGATGACGACAGTCCGTTGCGAAGGCCATTGTCAGGGGTAGGACGCTGTTCATAGGGTCCAGTGTATGCCTGACCTGGGATTCCACCGTGTGCATGGGCTGGGGGCATCGGCCGCCCGAGAACACCGCTCGGAGGAGGGTGCGAGTGCGGGTGGGACAAGAAACCGTGGCCATGGCTGGGCATTCGTGTCGTGGGAACCATTGTTCGCTGCGCGCCATATGGCGAGGGCCTTGCGTCCGGTGTAGGCTCCGGCACAGGTGGAGGGGGAGGTGCTGGGTTCTTGATATGGCACTTGTGACACTCGTACACTGGGACGGCTAAATCCCCATTGACATGGGCGAAGCCCGGGGGATGGGGAATGTGTCCCGGCCCGTTAGCCACAGGCGGTCGAACATCTGGTCGACGTCCGAGAGACCACCATCTAGGACTAAAGCCAGTTGCGCAACGGACACACTTGCGGTTGGGCTCGCCTTCACTGGAGACCGAGGCTGGAGGCGGCGCAACCTTGACGTCTGTATCAATGTCCATAGGGTCATCGGTCGGATCTTCAGTGGAGGTCGAGACCTTCTGCGCATCCTTTACAACAATCGGGGCAGTGCTCGTTGAGGCCCGGCGGTGGCCGTTATTAACGCTGGGGTGCGGGGCTCCCACAGACTGCTGCATGTATGCTGCCTTGCGAACAGTTCCAGTGAGACTCTTATCAGCTTGCTTTTGGGCTTGGGCAAAGTATTGGAGCGCATTGAAGTGGGCAGTCTTTTCCTTCTCGCCAATCCCATGGACTTTACTCGGTACAGTGTGATTTGGACAATAAATCACCGGCACGGGTATTCCATAATCCTCGCCAATACTAATAGGTCCTGACTCTCGCATGTTCCCGCGTGGAGGCTTCGCAGGTTTGAGATTTAATCCGAGATGGTACTTCGCTTGGAAAGCACAGCCAACATGGAAGTGGGCATCGCAGCCAGCGGAGCTACAGGGTAAACAGGCACCCTTGTTGGACTTGCAAATCTTGCACGTTTGCCGCCACCTCTCTTTGGGGATGGACCCAAATCCTTCAGCAGGCTCGAGCTCCGCCGCATCGCCGTACTTCAATTCCGGCATCCACAGTGTGCAAAGCACGTGAGCCCAGTTGTTACCTGCAGTGCGCTTCAGAGGTTCCCGGGGACCAACTGGCTTGCCAACAGCCTCCTGTCGCTGACGATACAGCTTGATAGCCTCAGTGACCATCTCCTTTTCCATGCGTTCCTTTTCCTTGTCACGCTCGGTCTTCTTTCGAGAATTGTTCTTGGGTGTCTCCATGAGGTCGTGTTCAGTCCACGATACTGGGCAAAGAACACAGCTATAGTTTGTGGAGATTGAAGGACTGCGATCGTTGGAGCACATATCACACAACCATTTGCTGATTACGCGATTGTTACTGATGCCATAGCAGTTGCGATGGACCGTGAGACGGCAATCCCTGCATGAAAGCTGCTCGCCCGTGGGCTCGACTTGGGTGCAGATCGCACATGGGAGGGTCTTTGCCTTTGGTGGATCAGGAATGATTGGTGGCGCTTCAACAACCTTCTCAGGGCCCGCTTTCTTCTTCGGCATGGGCTCCACGGATGTTGCAGTTGAAGTTGCAGGGGTCTCCTTGATCTTCTTCTTGGTCGGGTCCACCTTGCCTTCTTGTAAGAGCCGGGGGTTGGTGTCAAGCGGGATACCCATCGAGCTAGCTGTACTGGCGGTTGCATTGTTAATCACAAACGGAGTCTCAGTGGCCACAATTAGTTGTGCCAGCATTTCCTCATCAATGCGGCGACGCCATGACTTGTTGCCGCTGTTTGCGATCCTCTTTGCAACCTCGTCCACGTCCTCGTATTGGATGCCGTATTTCCGCCACAGCAAAGCACACCGGAGACAAAGTGAAACAGTAAGCATAGGGCCCTTGTCCTTCTTGTTCTGGGGCTCAGAAGGAATGACGGTGCCCGGAGGAACCAGAGGTGCCCGTCTCCATTGCCGCGAGCTGCGAGTTTCACAGAACTTGCACTGGAATCCACGCTTCTGAACAACCGCTTTCTCGGAATCGAAGGCCGAGTCGTCGTGGTCATCGGCAACGTCGTCGAGAAGTTTGGATGAAGCAACACTGTGGCGACGGACCTCTTTCTTCCCGCGCCTACCTTCATAGGCTCCCCAGATCTTTCGGCCACTCGGGGTTTTCTTCCACATATAGTAGAAACGCACAATCTGATAGATTGGAACGGTCTTGACATGCTTCATGATATTGCGCCACTCCGATCCATACTTGGCGACACCCTGTTCGAAGAGCTTGAGCTCTTCAGGTCGAATGTGGGGCTCCTTGAGATCCTTATATCTGTTGGTCTTCTTCAACTTCACAAGGGCAGCTTGTACATTAAAGCTTTCGGCGTAGAGAATCTGAAGAGCCTTGTCAAGGAAATTGGTGCAATGTTTCTCAACGCCAATTCCAGGTGCCAATTCCTTGGCCTGGCGCATATAGTCGTCAATAAACTTTTCGCGGTCTGCATCACTCAAATGTGAGCCAGGTGCATCGTCCTCGCCTCGAGTGGGGATTTGCTCTGAAGTGGGCATCTTAAATATAGGCTCCGCGGTGCGTGCTTGTTTGCCGGTTTTTTCGTTAATCACCACCGGCTCATCCAAACCACGGTGGATGTAGCCTGTCGGCTCGTCCTGCACCCACTTCGGTCGGTTGGCTCTCTCGTGCTTGGCAGCTTCCAATGCGGCCTGCGCATCCTTGGACTTGCCGTCCTTTTTCGCAACCTTTGATTTCTTCTTGTCAAGTGGCTTGACATATTCGATAGCTCGACCCGGCCACGCGGCCACCATCGCCTGGTGCCGCGTTCCTAAACGTGAGCTTGCTCGGGGGTAAATTCTATCGTCGTAGTCAAGGGCATCCTCCACGCGGCAATGAATACCAAGGTATCGGTAAGGCCACATCTTAGCCTGTGCCATCTGTTCCGCAGTTGCAGGCTGAGGCATGAAATCTTCCTCGGCTGCGGGTGTGCTCACAGAGGTACCGTTCGCTGCCCCATTGGCGTGATTGGGATCTTCCTCCTCTTCTTCCTCCATGACAACATCCTCGCCATCCGCTCGAGGTCCCCCTGTCAATGGTGTGTTTCGCGCTTCCAGCTTGCGTTCTTGTGCGCGGCTACAGGCAGCACAAGCCCACGCAAAGCCTCGAGCGGGTTTCTTGGTCAGAGCGGGTCGAACACAGTGCATGTGATATGTTGAATGGCAAACCGCACAGTCGACTGATTCGGAATTTGCGGCGTATAGTCGACATCGTTTGCAGGTTTTGACAGCACCGGTTAATTCTTTCCCTTTGCCGATTTCAACGAGGATGAATCTCCAGCGCTCATCAAGAACCTTTTTCACATTTCCAGGCACGTTGATGATATCTTTCGTGGGGATGACATCGTAGAGACGATGGATGTAACGGTCGAACATCTTGTCGTACCAGAAACTGTTTTTTGTCTTCTTGTAGGTGTTGACGTCTTCAATTTCGGTGGAATGCCGAATATCGCACTTGCCCCGTAATGAGGAAAGAGGGCATGGATCAGAATGCATGGAAGCGAAGACATAGCGGGTGTCGGGAGAATGACGTTGAATGTCTCGTGGACGGTAATACCAGTTCACTCGGAGAGACTCAATCAAACCACCGGGCTTTGTTTTGGAGTAGATAAATTCCATAATTCGCGCCAGATAATATGGCTCACCGGGAGGTTCACAGATGAGGTAGACATGGTCTGGACCTGATTAGTTGGGTTTGGATTTTTGGGCGAAGAAAACAAACCATCAAGGGAAAAAGTGGTGCCATCATCAGCTATTAATTGGCCATCATGTAAATAAGGACCGTGGGTTTCGAAGCTCATCATGTTGGTGAAATAATCATCGGAATCACCGGGGGCGGAAGTGAAGATTTTCTTAGCACTACCCGAAGTGGGTGTGGTGGTGCTGGGTTGTTTGCGCTTTCGCAAGTTGGAGCCATTCGCGTCCTCTGGTCTGGCGGAAAAGGAAGACGTGCCGGGAATGGCCTCTTTGGCCACACCGCCGTTAGTGTTTGCGCTGGCGTTGGCGTTGACGACGGCATTCGCGGTACCATTTAGGCTCTTACGTTGCGCCGATGAGGTCTTTTCCTCGTGGGGAGGTGCCACGCCGCTGTTGCGCTTGGCGGCTTTGGATGGCGCGGAGGCATCCGCGTCCATGTCCAGATCACGATCCTCAGCATAATTAGGCCTTGGCGCATTGCGACCTCTCGATCGCGTGCCATAGGTGACGGAGCCATTTGCCGCATCGGCCAGTGGCTCCGGAGAGTTGGGGGTGGTCATTGAGAACGACCGTCAATCATCCACAGGTTGAAGTGATGAAAGATGAAGGTGCTGGTGGCGATTAGTTCCACGTCCAAAAACCTTGGTGGGCATCAATGGTGGGAGAAAAGAAAAAGAATACGGAAGGAAATCTCGAAAGGGAACGCGAAAGCAATTATATGGAGAAGTTGCAGAAGTTGCAGAAGTTGCCAAGGGGGAAAATCAGAAAAGTAGAAAAGTGGAAGTAGAAAAGTGGGAAAGACAAAGAGTGGACCGTGTCAGATCTTATTTCTCTGCAGGGGTGAAGGGCGGACATATCAAGGTGGACAGCTCTGGAGGGGGAACTTACTGAAGATAGACGAGAGTAGACGCGCGAGAGTGATATATGGGGGGAAGAAAATAATAAGCGCAACTTTAGCACAAGAAAAGTGGGAGAAAGGAGATTACGGGACGTTAGAACCGAGCTTGGAGATATATGGAATGGGGAAGGGGGAAGGGAAAAAGGGAAGAGAGAAGCAACAGAGAGGCGATATGTGGAAAGGAAAAAAGCGTCGAGGATCCCGAAGTTGGCCCCTAGTCCCGATATGTTAATATGACGGATAGAAGGCTTTTGTTCCCCTTGCTCAATTCTAGGTAATTTTGGGGGTCTATATGGGATTTAGGAATGCTGACATTGTTCTATATAAGGCGGCATGTTGTGTTGGGCTCACATCTCTTTTCTACTAGCTCTCTTCTTCATATATGAGAAAAATACCATACCCATTGCATACGGTACCTTTAGAGTTGACTTTTCGTGATTTTTTCCCCGTTGGCCGTGAAACCTGTGCGACCAAACACGGCACTGCGGATTCACCGCGAACCTCGGGTTTGATATTTCCTAGAAGGGGGTCTATCAGGGTGGAGCCGGGCCACGACCATCCGGATCTATGAGGGGGCTCTAGTGGGGTATGAAAGTAATTACTACGAGTATAGAAGAATGATAGTGTGTGTGTGTGAGAGAGAGAGAGAGAGAGAGAGAGAGAAAGAGAAAGAGAAGGAAAAGAATAGAGCGTCAAATTCAGCAGACGTTCCCTATGTAATTTAAACTTCTCCCACCTACTTGGTCCAATGACGATCGAAACCGTCTAGGCCTGAGCTCTTGGTATAACGTGCCGGCCTACCCCGTGAGGTTGATTTGGCCCTGTTCATCAGCCCTTTCAGGAAATCTTTAGATCCATTCTGGATTTGCCGACTTCAACTTTATGTTAGAAAGGCATTAGCCCGGGAAGATATATACGATGATCAGACCCCTAGTCGGTTCAAATATGTCTCCAATATTGCTGTAGGGCAATCAGCAAGGTCAGACTCTACTAAGTAGGGTATCAGAAATAAAATGGATCTAATTGGGTAGTACTTAAGTAATTTCAACCTGAGAAGGTTTCCAAGGTTGTCGACTCGTATGAACTTGCCTAGGTGTGAATATATAAAGTACTACAGAGTACCACTCCTACCGTGTCAGCCTCCAATCTATATCACATTCCAGCCCATTGCATGATCCGGTCACCGTGGGGAAATACTTAAGTACAGCAAGATCATAAGTATCGAAATCGATGAAATCCTGATCCCAACCAATGTGGTACGCGCGACTCATGATACAGTCGTTATGACGCCTCCACCCCCGATCGGGTCTCAGACTCTGTACCTGGTCTCGGGATGTGCATCCAATTTTGGAATGGGCATTTCATGTTTCTCTTCTGTTTCTCTGTTTCTTTTTTACTGAACTCTTCTTTTCTTTTCTGTCTTTAATGTTGCAATTATACCGGTGAAGGGTTCGGAAGATGCCACGAAGTCGCGAGGCAGATCCATAAATCCGCCACAGATCAGCCGACCATCTCGGCTCCGGCCCTCTGCTAGAACCCGTAGAAGCCTTCCCCTATATCCCACACATACTCACACTCATTGTATATCCATGGATGCTATACTTAAGTTTATTCAAAGTGTAGATATATTCGGCATAACCTACGCAGACAAATTGGCTATGAGGTCCGGAGAAAGTACGGAAAAGCATTGCGCAGGCCAACGGCTTATACCCACAGATCCACTCCGATCTTCCAGAGTGATATAAGTGGCATAGTCGCGTCGAGTAAGGGGCAATCCACATCGGAAGATACTCGTACCCGTACGTATTTTACGGAGTACAAAAGCATGGAAGCATGCAAATCGAGCACTAGTCCGAGTGCATTGCAAATAGCCAGCGCGTCTCCCACATTTCCCGATTGGGATTAGTGTATGACATAAGCGAACTACAGATGACATAAGCAATGATATGCTTTTTCTGCCTGAGGCCCAAAACGGACAATAAACAAAACCTCGGGGAAGGAGAAACACATTTTCAAACAAAAGAAAAAAGAAAAAATCGGGAAAGAGTGGGAGATGATCAGATGATCTTCGATCAAACAACTCACAGGTATCCGATGGCCTGATCCACCACCTTCAGGCATGTCGGCATCGACTCATCAGTCCGGGTTTCAAACCACCATCGACATCGCTCGGAGACAAACTCATAATGTAGCACCTGTCGCCGGACAAAAGCGATCTTCAGAAGAAATGTCTGGTCCAGTCGCCAAGCAGATGGTGGCCGGGCGAAACAACAACCCAGACCCCCTGCTGGAATCCACCCCGTTTGAGTCTGCCCGGAATCTGCCGGTCAATCGATTCACAGCGAGTAGGATCCACCTCGGTGCTGGCGCCAGAGAGGCCCAGAATAAGGATCGTCAAAGGGCATTAGCCCCGCCTTCCAGTCAAAATCCGTTGCTATTTCTGGCCAATCCAAAGTATGGCTTGCCGCCGCCTCTGACGGCCAATTTTGCCGCTCTGGGTGTCACCAGCATTTACCCCTGGCAGGCTTCGTGTTTGTTGGCAAAGGGTTTGCTTTCAGGTGAACGCCATTTGGTATACACGGCCCCTACTGGGGGTGGCAAATCGCTTGTTGCGGATGTGTTGCTTTTGAAGCGGATTATTGAGAATCCAGGCCGCAAGGCCCTGTTGGTCCTCCCGTATGTGGCTTTGGTACAGGAGAAGCTTAAATGGATGCGGCGCATTGTTCAGGATGTTGAGAAACATGTCCACGATGAGGATGAGTTGGAATTACCTCGTTGGCGACGGAAGCGACAGCAGAAAAACATCCGTGTGACGGGGTTCTTCGGGGGCAGTCGAACCACGGCCACCTGGGCCGATACTGACATTGCTGTTTGTACAATAGAGAAGGTATGCCAGGCTTTCAAACTGGAGTGCGGTATGGCTCTAATATTGATTCACAGGCCAACTCGTTAATTAACACCGCGATCGAGGAGTGCAGCATTGGAGACCTGGGAGTCGTGGTCCTCGACGAGCTGCATATGCTTGACGATGAGAATCGGGGTTATCTCCTGGAACTCATGGTGACGAAGCTGCTGTTATTACAGCAAGATATCCAAATAATTGGCATGAGTGCCACGCTTTCTGTACGCCCATGCTCCCATGCCCAAGATTGTCCTAACCGTGCAATAGAATACCGAAATGTTGGCGGAATGGATGAAAGCCAAATTCTTTATCTCAACATACAGGCCTATTCCCATTGACGAATATATGGTGTATGAGAATGGCATATACCCGGCCGCAACGTCCAGGCAGCTTTTTCAAACTGCATCTAAATTGACCGCTGCCGCTTCATTACATGACACCATTCCACCACACCGAATTGTTGAGCCATCTTCATTCAAGCAGCTTGGAAACTCTGCTACAAATGCCATGGTCGCACTAGCAGTAGAGACTGCAAGTGCTGGGTTTGGCTCACTAGTGTTCTGTGGCAGTCGCCAAGCATGTCAAATCCACGCAGCGACAATCGGTGAGGCCATGCCACCGCCAGGACAGGAAGAGCTCAACAAGCGACTCGATCTTCTAGCAGAGTTGCGCAGCCTCTCATGTGGACTAGATCCTGCTCTGGAAGTTACTATCGCGAAGGGAACTGGATTCCACAGTAAGTATCTGGTCTTTAAGTTGGTTATGTTCACATCTCTAACAATTGTCCCAGACGCCGGAATGACAACGGAAGAACGGGAGCTCATTGCGCAGGCTTATGACCAGGGTGTTATTAAAGTCCTCGTAGCCACCTGCAGTCTCGCTGCTGGTGTCAATCTTCCAGCGCGACGGGTCATCATAAATGGTGCGAGAATGGGCCGAGATCTGGTAGGACCTGCAATGCTGTAAGTTCTCACAGCTGTTTTTATGAGGCAATCCAACTGACCATAGCAGTCGCCAAATGTGTGGTCGCGCGGGCCGCAAAGGCAAAGATGACGCCGGCGAGACGTATCTGATATGTGGGAAAGCCGACATGCAAGCCGTGTGTGATTTGTTAGATGCCGACATGCCGGCCATCGAAAGTTGTCTGGCACCTGAGAAGAGAGGTTTGAAGAGGTATGTCCTTTCCCGTCACCTCGATGCACATTTAGCTCACCCCCCGAAGAGCACTGCTAGAAGCCATAGCGACAGGATTGGTATCCGGCTGCGAAGCAATCAAGGAATATGTCCAATGTACCCTCCTCTACCGCTCCCTGGACAAGAAACTCGCATACAGCATCATGAACTCGGCGCTGCAAGAACTCGTCGACGAAGAACTTCTAATTCTTCAAGACGACGAATCATACCAAGCCACACCTCTAGGGCAAGCCGTCGTCGCCTCAGCCTTCTCGCCAGAAGACGGCCTCTTCGTACACGAAGAGCTCAAACGCGCACTCAAAGCCTTCGTCATGGACGGGGACATGCACATCTTCTACATGTTCACACCCCTCCAAGCAGCCCTGAACACACCAATCGACTGGCAGATCTTCCGCGACCAACTAGACAAACTAGACGAGAGTGGTCTACGCGCACTTTTATTCGTGGGCGTCCAGCCCGGTTTCGTAAACAAAATGTACGTCTCCATCAGCCACCCACGAACCCCAGACAAAAGAAAAAACTAACAGCCACAGGGTCCTATCCGGAGCCTCCCTCAAAGAAACAGACCCCAACCAAATGAAACAAGCCCGAATCTACCGCCGCGCATACACAGCCTTCCAACTCCGGGACCTAAGCAACGAAGTCCCAATCTCAACCATAGCAACCCGCTACAACATCCCCCGCGGCACAATTCAAACCCTAGCCCAACAATGCCACGGCTTCGCAGCAGGGATCGTCAAATTCTGCCAGCGCATGAACTGGGGCATGCTAGCTGCTGTGCTAGATCATATGCGTGATCGACTCGAGGCCGGTGCTCGTGCAGACCTCCTTGAGATGGCGCAGGTGACGTTCGTGAAGAGCTGGACTGCGCGGTTATTAAGGGACAATGGGTTTAAGAATCTGAGGGCTTTGGCAGAGGCTGAGCCTAAGGATTTGATTCCTATTCTTAAGATGGTATGTTTCTTCTCCTTGGGTTGGATTCCGGGCTAATCCTGTTAGGCGAATCCGCGTAAGGCGCATAAGATTGACCTCTATCCGTCTGAGTCGGAGAGGTATACTGCTAAGCTGAAGGAGAAGGCTGAGATTATGATTGCTCATGCGAATAAGATTTGGGGTATGTGATTGAAAGTTGATTGTGGATGCATACTGACGATTCATCCTAGACCGAGAGATGCAGGTCGAATTGGAGGAGTGAGAATAACGAGCACGCCTACAGATATTCCCGTGGGCTCCCTGCTCTGATGAGAGAACATGACTATACAGACCGGGCAACCATTCCATGAGAATCTAGCCGAACATGAACATGACATGGAACCTACGAAGAAAACCAACCAAGTTGGAAGCATCAATCGTTGATATTCAATTGTCGACATCCCCATGACTAGTATAGAACACAAGGACGAATAACCATCGTACAGTCTCCTCAATCCAGAGAAACGATATAAGATCCAAATTCAGGCTCCAAGTACCATTTTCATATTTGCAATGGCATGCATGCAGTTTGTACGTGAGACAAAATATCCAACGCCATAGAAACGCCCAACCGAAAAGAAAAAAAAGAAAGCCGAATTCAGTCATCACAAAACATTTCCGAAATTCTACAACTCGCCATGTGGCGAACGACTGGGACCAGACGAACCTTTACCAGGCTCAGCCATGAATCCACCTGCGCGCACACGCAGAGTAAAGTTAACCAAAATGATGACGACAAGACCAACGCTGACAACAGTGGGACCCCAGCGCTCATAGTAGACGCGCTTGACGTCGCGGCGCTTCCGGATCTTGTCTACGCGCCAGACATACAGGAAGAGACTGTAGATCAGGGCGCCGGCGGCGAGAAGGGTGAAAGCCCAGGAGGAGATGAGGGTTGCGTAGTCTGCACCGAAGTTGAGGAGTGTTGCAGCGATACCGCCTAGGATGATTGAGAATTCGAGCCAGGAGAGGAAAGTTCGCTCTGCGGCGAAGTAGACCTTTGGTTCGACGCGGACGGGAACGAAAATGCCTAAGGGAGGGGGGGTTAGTTATTGTGTGACGGGAAAGGGGGGGAAGGGATGCTCACGTTTGCCGGGAGGAGCCTGGAAGCGCTGCATGGTGCGACGCTGGGTTCCCAGGACTGCAATGCCACGCTGTTCGGGGGGCGGTAGGGATGTTGGACGGGGGCGGGGGATTATTGCCATCAGACCCTGTGCGACGGCGTGGCCGGTTCGACAGAGATAGTGCTTGGCCAATTGCTGGGCGTAGTATGCTCCGCCAATGCGACGCGCTTCTTCAAGTTCGTCTGAATAAACCGATTCGTCGTCTGAGTCGTACAAGGGGTAGTCCTCGTCGCCTGGGAGGGGTTGGGCGGCGATGCGCTCTTCGATATCGAGTTCGTTGCCATTGGTCTCGAACAAGCCATTTTGGTGCTCGTTGCTGTGACCATTCAGACCGTTCTCGTCCGACCCAGGGGTCTCGTCGTCATCGGAGTCTTCATCGTTGGCAGATATCGAAGTACTGGCCAGTGGTCTGTGGATTCCGTATTGCTGTGTGGCGGGTTTGCGGATGTCGACATCCATCTGGGGGAACCAGAATGGAAGTAGATTGATGCGGGTTGGGAACAGGGTCGCAGTTCCATGAATGAACTTGCTGAACTTCGGGACTGCTTCGACCAGGTGACTGGCCGTCAAGTCGCGAATCCATTGAGGAGGCTCCTGGCCTGCCTGGGTCTGCAGCTTGACCTCCAACACTGCGTAAGGGAATCGGTCGATATCCTCAGGGGGCAGCTGAGAGAATGGGAAGTCGACACCAATGTCCATCCGACGCCAGTTCTTGCCCGCGCGTCGTTGGCCATCCATGTTGTCCTCGCGGACCATGGTCAGCTCAGTGTCCAGAGAGATACGAACACGTGCATCGCCTGGAAGCTGGAATGCAGTGCGGTGGTAGAAGGTACGAGTGACAGGCACCAGGCGACGGGTGATAACCCGATATTGGACCTCGCGGGCCAATTGTTCCAAATCGTCGATCTCAGCCTGGCTCTTCTTGCCCTCTTTGCGCGCTTTATCAAAGACTTGTTCCACGGTCATCTTGCCCTCCATGAAGGCATTGACATTCTTCTCCTTGAGTGAAAAGCGTGCCTTGACTGACTTTTCTCCTGTCCAGTCTTCGCGGTGAGTTTTGCGCTCCACGAAAATCTGATCACTCTCCATGCCACCATACCAGCGGAGACGGATCGCCTCCGCGCCTTCTGTCTTCTTCAAGCGACCCTGATATAACTCCCATGTGTCTGTGTTGTCGTAGTAAATCGATGAGATCGCCGTGTCCTTCTCCTCAAATTCCTTGTTGGCATTGAAGACCAGTACAGGCAGATGCTTCAGCACGACCAGTTTTAATTCGGTGATATTATCCCGGTGCACCCAGTACTTGGTGGTTTGACGCACAAAGTTTTGCTGGGTACCACCGGCAGATGCGTCGCCCTTTACAGGGTTACCCTTGGTTCGAACGAGGTCATACAGCTTTGACAGTTTAACAACGAAGGCATCGTAGTTGTCCTTGAAGAAAGGCTTGGCATTAAGGCGAGCGGCAAACACCGGCTTCAGATACCAGTGGGTTTCTTTCTGTGAGGAATGTTAGCCATTTCGCCGTTGCCGACATGCGGGCGAGCACCTACGTCATGCTTTTTGATGATCTTCTGGAAACCCGTGTAGTTCAATTGCGTGAACTTGGCCAAGTCATGCACATCGGCAATGATATCACTGAGCACCTGCTCCAGCATCAAGAAGTCGGCATCGGTAGGGGTTGGGCGCGTTGCCCGTGTGCTCTGCCGACGATTTTCGGTGGAACCGTCCAGGCGGGATACGACATCGGTCACCTCGAGTTCGCTGTCCTGGATGCGTTCGACGATCTCCTCGCTCTTGCGCTTCTGGAAAAGGAACACCTTCTCCAGCTCTGATTCGAGCAAGGAGACGAAATGCGTCTCATCGTCCTCGGACCATTCTTTGCGGGCGGGATTGGTGTTGGCGGAGGTCGGCTCGACGAGTTCGGTCTTGAGCGCTTTCTTGAGCTCGTCGTAGGCAATATAGAAGGGATAGTACTCCTTGATCATAGAAGACCGGAGATATTCACCGAACCTATAGGACAATTGGGATTAGCACCGGATCGAGGGCTGCGGGCAGCGGATTGCAGGAATTGCGCACCTCATGATGAATGGGGAGGAGAGAGAGTAGAAAGGTCAGGGACTACAAGCTCATTACGGAGGGAAAAAAGAAGAAAGAGAAATGACCAGATCGTACAAAGTGCAAGAAAAGGTCGGGAAGGTTGTAGCTCTCCGAAGACAGAAGCATGGCCCCGAACTCGGCTAGTCCGATGACTAGCGGGTGACGGGCCCCACGTCCATTTCACCTGTGTTACGTGGTCTAGATCTCGAGCTTCATGGCCAGTGGCAGTGCAGATTGGATATGAGTAGGTATTGGTAAGGGGAGCTGATCTTGTGTGATCTTGTAGCTTGAATTTGCACATGTTTTCCCTTATAATCTGGTGGAATAGCTCATCATTTACCATGACAATATATATATCTGGTATGGACTTGTATTGGAAGTACACCCTTACCTCAGCATCGATACGGCCGGATCCACGGGTCCAAAATGGCAATCTGACCAGTCACCGACGCACGTGGGCTTGCTTGTTCGAGGGTTTTTAGTACCGACGAGGTACACACCACCAGGTACACAGTACAGGGAATGGCACTACTTGACACTACCAGGGTAGAGTCGCTGGACCTGAACCACTCGTACACCGTAGTCTCAGAAATCCCCACGCTCATTTCCCAGGGCTGTTATCCCTTGCAAAGCGCCTCGACAATATCCAAAGTACGATGCAGGCTATCTGCAGAAGATCACGCCCCACTCGGAGTAAATACTGCGGATCTGATTCGTGACGTGAACTACAATGCAACTACAAGCTACAGAGGTATTGGGTCAGGACGCGTCTCTCCAATCCATAACATTAATCATATAGAGTCTGAGGGGAATTCATGACAACGCCAACTGTGGAAGGCTCCCTTCTACCTTGGAAAACAAAAAGGTCCGGGATGACATGCAAATCTATCATCACTTCATTGGTATCATCGCAAGAGAACTAAGCCAGGCTCATTGCCGCCCGACGGATACTGCGACGAGCACCCTCCCCAAACACATTCACCGAGCCCTCGGATTCAAGCGACCGCACCGCATCGTTAAATTGCGTGTGGTCTAGCTTGTTATCACTCTGCTCGCTCACGTCGCGCAAGAGATCCGCCCAGCGGACGGAGCCACCAGTGGCGCCGCCGCGCTCGTCCAGGCGAGCGAGGACAGCCTTCTTCAGATCGTCGCGCAGGCGGCGGTCAGCGGCACTGGACCCTTCGGTCAACAGGCCCATGTCAATGAGACCGGTTCGGGAGTCGGTGGCAGCTTGCTTGATGGCGGAGCGAATGAGACGGACCGCTTCCTCAACATCGCCAGCCGTGACCTCCGGGGAGAGACGCATGCGGGCGTGGGCCTCGGACAGTCGGATCATGGATTCCAGCTGTCGGGTGGTGGCTGTGATGCGGCGCTCCTGGGCGCGGATGTCGTCACCCAGCTGGCGCATGGCCACGTAGGCGTCTGCAAGAGCGTTACCGGCGGCCGGGGTGATCACGGGCTGGCAATGTGTCTTTGCGTATGTGATGTAGGAGGTGAGGAACTCAACAGGCTAGAAAGAGATGTTAGTAGTTGTCAACAAGATAATGGGGTACTCCCACTTACCAGAATCTCCTGTGAGCTAGCATTCTCGGGGTTGTCCTCGAGGTACATGCCGACCAAGTGCTTGGCCATGCGGCGATCCTCAGTCTCATCGACACGGTCAAGCACCAGGTAGACCAGATCGAAACGCGAAAGAAGGGTGGGGGGAAGATCAATGTTTTGGGGGACTGGGAGTTGGGGGTTGTACCTACTGCCAATGGGATTGGCAGAGGCGAGAATAGACGTGCGAGCATTCAGCGTGGTAATGATACCGGCCTTGGCAATAGAAACGGTCTGCTGTTCCATTACTTCGTGGAGAACGGACCGGGTAGATTCGTTCATCTTGTCGAACTCATCGATACAGCACACACCGCCATCGGACAGAACCAAAGCACCAGACTCAAGAACCATCTGGCGAGTCTCTGGGTCACGAGTCACGTACGCAGTCAAACCAACCGCCGAAGAACCCTTTCCACTGGTGTAGACACCACGCGGGGCGATCTTGTGGACATACCGCAGCAGCTGCGACTTGGCAGTTGAGGGATCACCGCACAGAAGAACGTTGATATCACCACGGTAGCGAGGGTTACCTCCCTTCTGGAAGGTCTTGTTGGTACCTCCGAACATTTGGAGTAGAATACCCTTTTTGACATCGTCCATCTCGTAGATACTGGGAGCCAGGGAGCGAGAGAGGAGCTCGTAGATATCTGGGCGGGAAGCAGTGCGCTTGATCTTCTCTTCTTCTTCTGCGGAGACCTTGCGCAACTGGTCTGCCTCAATCGCGCGCTCGGCCATCTCTTGTTCGACTGTGGACATATCAACGCCCATCTTCTTGCGGTCGACCTTTTGGATATGAAGAACGTCAACGTAGGTCTTGAAGAGAGACTTCTGGGAACGTTGGCGAGAGTTGACTCGCATAGGGTTGCAACGGAAGATACCCGTCACTTCCACACGGTCACCGGCCTTGCAGACATCGACCAAGCTTTCATAGACGCAGAGAGACACCGAGTGAGGAGTCTGACCATCAGGAATACTATCCGGTGTTTCCTGAAGCTTGATAACTTGCTTGTCTGCGAAGTAACAACGATTGTGGAGAAGCTTCATGGAGTTCTTCTCCTTGCAAGATTCACGTGGGCACTCGGTTGGCTCGTTGATTCGGCCACGGTCAATCTCGACATTGGCACCATATGCACACACGTTGCATCGGAAGAAAGCTTCCTTCATGTCTGGAATGATAGGAGTGGCACGGATGACCAGACCCTTGATGCTGATCAGCTTGTCCATGTCAGCCGGGTCGAGATCACGCATGTTGATGGAGCGATCCAGGTTGAAAGGACGAGTTGAGAAGTTCAGGGCTTCAACTTCGCCGACCAAATCGGGAACATCGGGGTTGGGAGCTACGCCGTCAGAGGTGAGAATGGACTGGCCCCGGCGGCCGCGAGCTTGAGCGCCACGCTGGCTCTCCGATCGAAGAACATCCATTTCCTTGAGGGCCAGGTCCACCATAACATCTCTCAAGCTCTGGTCCATCAGAGGAATGATCTCTGCGGGGTATGCGCACAGTTGATGCCACAGCTTGCGAGTGGATGGGTATGCGCGGAGATTTTCAGCATCGAGGTTGTAAGAAGTAACACCAAGTTTACGCATATCATTGAGCTCCTTGATGCATTCGCGCATCTCGGCTGCTTCTCCCATTACTCGGGTCTCATCCTCTGTCGCACCATCAGCCCAAAGGCGGTATTTTGGGGCGAAGTTGTAAAGGAAGTTTTTGAATGCGGACATCGAGTCTGCAATCGCGATATTGGTACCCCAGATCACACGAGTAGAGTTACCGTGCATGGCCTCCGCCTCGGAGGTATCAGGGTTAATGTTGGAGAATGTAGCATCAGACCGAGGAACGCTGTTGTCTTCGTGAGAAGGCACTCCATTGCTGTCGACGAACATGCGGTTGCGACGACTGGGAGTAGCTCCAAAGCCACTTGAGCTCAGTTCACTGCGACGGTGGATAGCACGTGGGCCAGGAGTATCGGACCCCACAAACAACCCACTGCCGGTACTAGGTGCATCGGAGCGGATATCTGAGCGGATGTCTGAGCGGCCAAATCCTCGAGCCGGGCTGGAACTTGGGATATAATTGATAGGAGAAGAGTCTGAAGCAGGGTTAGGGATTGTAAATGAAAGTTGGGATTTTGCCATCACAATCCAATCGCAATTGACCAGAATTCATACCTCTCACGCCGGGGTTTCCCCGCGGGGTTCTCTCGCCATCGTCCACTGTTGAGCTGGCATCGCCCATTCGCTCATCAGCGGCACCGGTATTGTTGTTTCCTTTAGTGGGGGACGATTGGAAGAAAATTGGGGATGAAGAGGGCACGGCCTCCTCTCCCATTATTCGCCTTGAGGCACGGGGGGTGACTTGAAAAGTTGGGCTGCTTGGGGGCTCCTGTCGAGATGACGAGGAGGGGGATGCAGTTGAGTTCTTGGCCGAACGACCCCTCCGTCTTCCAGATGGTGAAGACATTGTTATGATGTGTTGTGGTGGATACCTTGTATGCGGGTGGTGGGTGTGGTTCTAAGTGAAGAAAGGGAGAGCAAAAAGCTGTGGGCGGAACGTGCTTTCTGCCGGCGCGATGAGCGCGTTAAGTGGTTTCCTTTTTAGGACTACGTGTTTCTTGCACGTGACTACGGAGTAGCGTGTCTCCCAATCTCTGGATGTGGCGTACAATTTGTCGTATTCGTATTTTTCCACAAGCAAATACCGACAGCACCGCCACACAGCCACATTGGGCCCACTTGTTCCTGCCCTGCTCAAGTGGTCCACTCGGGCTCCTTCCCCTTGTGAGAGAAATACTACGGTAGCAAAAGTGATTTAAGGAAGGAACTCTTAGATGTCATCGAGAGAAAGAGCGATTACCCTATGAAGACTCTATATATAAATGAAACCTCAAAGGCGCTTCGCTAAACTGGTCGCTTTCACTTGTTTCACCAAGCGCCTGATGTCATCCCCTGTTCGATCGGCACACCCACGATCCCTCCAATCATCCCTGTTCGTCAAACTCTCAAATTCTTGATCAACCCGCCTTAAATCATCGCGCCACTGGTGTCATTCGTCAACGGCAAATCTGACCTGGTGTTTGGTCCCTTTTCTCCCCCACAATTGTTCTCGTTGGCGCCTTGGTCTCCTTCAGGTGGATTCTCTTTGTTGTCTTTAATTTTTTTTTCTCTCTTTCCTTATCACCGAGTTTCCTTGTGGAGCTGCAGGCTACAGGAAACTGCTTTCTTCAGACACTTGCTACAATTTCGTGATGCTGGTGGTGATAGCATCTTTCCCCCTTTCTATATCCTGAAGACCTATCCCCTACCTCGGACCCCCGTTCGGCAACACCCGAACTGATCGTCATGCCTTCGGGTTTGGAGCAGGCGTTGGAGCACAGTGGTGGCCATGGCCGAAAGACAGAGGGAGTGTCAATTTCGACTTTCTTGTCCTCGCTGGCGACGGCCATCATCGTCTTCGTCGTCGAATTCATCCTCTTTCTGTTACTTAAAGGCAAACTAAGCCGCATTTAGTAGGTTCCCCGGACCAAAAGGTGAACCGGGTTATCAGTCCCACTAACAGAAGCACCTACAGTCAACCACGAACTTACCTAGTGCCGGATAGAGAGCGCACGAAACCCTCGCCGCCAGGTCTTCTCAGCTGGATCATACCTGTCTTCCGTACTTCAAGCTCGGAGTTCATCCAGAAGTGCGGGCTCGATGCATACTTCTTTCTGCGCTACTTGCGCATGCTTTTGAAAATCTTCCTTCCCATGGGCATCCTGATTCTGCCTGTCCTCCTTCCGCTCAACCGTGTGGATGGGAAAGGTAATACCTACAAGAATGGTGACAAGGGTGACCGATGGGACGTGGCCGGTCTGGATCAACTCGCATGGGGCAATGTGAGACCCCAGCACACTAATCGCTATTGGGCTCACTTGGTGATGGCCGTCATCACCATCGCTTACATCTGTTTTGTCTTCTTTGACGAGCTTCGAGGCTACATTCGCCTGCGACAGGCTTATTTGACCTCCCCTCAACATCGACTTCGCGCATCTGCTACTACTGTGCTTGTCACATCCATTCCACCAGATTGGCTCAACGTAGATGCTCTGGACAGACTGTTCGACGTTTTCCCTGGGGGTGTTCGAAATATCTGGATCAACCGCAATTTCGATGATCTGAATGAGAAGGTCAAGGCGCGCAATGAGATGGCTCTCAAGCTTGAAGGCGCCGAGACGGATCTGATCATGCAATGCAAAAAGGCACAGCTCAAGAAGGCGAAGGCGGAGGCCAAAAAGGAGGGCAGGAGCAAAGCAAGCGCCGAGAAGCAAGAGAAAAAGGCCGCCGATAAACGAGCGTCCCATATGGCTATGGGTCCTGGTATTAGCTCTGGCAATCCTCATGACGCCCATACAGTACGGGAAGCCCTTGACGGCACAGCGCAAGAACCTCAAGTGAAAAAGTCAGAGGACGGAGCTCGTCGAGTCTTTGACCCTGCCTTTGCGGCTGCTGGAGCAGTAGGTTTAGGCGTGGGGAAGCTGGGCAAATCCGTGCTTGGTGGCTTCAAAAAGGTCGAACATGGCTTTGATGGGCCTCTGACTCAAACAAGAGGCTTTGTTGCAACCACAGACGACATCCTTCCACCTCGAGGAAACACCCCAAGTCATGGTCGTACAGCTTCAGGGAACATTGCTGCAACCGAATCCCCAGAATCTACCGAACTGCCGCGAACCGAAGGGCCAAGTCAAAGCACGAAAACAGGCCCCAGCCAAGCAGAATCATCAAAGCCCCCGTTTTGGAGACGAATGTCGTCTCACACAAAATCAATCAAATCGCAAGATGCACCCGAGCCAGATGAATACCCATTGACCGCGCCTGAAACACCTGCGTCTGACGCACCCCGCCCGGGTTCCTCGCAGACCGAGAAGTCTCAGAAAAAGGACAAGAAAAAGAAGGACAAAAAGCCCGAAGAAGAGTATCCTATCGCATACAATGAGAACTTCGAGAAGGAAGACTACGGCGAGCCATTGTGGAAGGAGTACATTCGACAAAAAGACCGGGACACCATGCGTCTGCCCATCTTCGGTTGGAGTTGGATGCCGTCAATCTGGCTTTTGGGTAAAAAGGTCGATACTATTGATTATTGTCGGAAGGAAGTCGCTCGTCTCAACTTGGAGATTGAAATTGACCAACAGCACCCCGAGCGCTTCCCCTTGATGAACTCGGCATTTATCCAGTTCAATCATCAAGTCGCCGCTCATATGGCTTGTCAGGCCGTCAGTCACCATCTACCTAAGCAGATGGCACCTCGAGTCGTGGAGATCTCACCGGACGATGTCATTTGGGATAACATGTCAATCAAATGGTGGGAGCGGTATCTGCGGACCTTTGGCATTGTTACGTTGGTATGTGCTATGGTCGTCGGATGGGCTTTCCCCGTCGCCTTCACTGGACTTCTCTCGCAACTATCATACCTCGAAGGTGCATTCCCATGGCTGGCATGGCTTGGGAAGCTACCAGACTGGTTCATCTCAGCCTGTCAGGGTATTCTTCCTGCGCTGTGTTTGGCTATTCTTATGGCACTTCTTCCCCTTATCCTTCGCTTCCTCAGCAAGGCGCAAGGAATCTTCACTGGTATGGCTGTCGAGCTCACAGTGCAGAACTACTATTTTGCCTTCCTGTTCGTGCAGCTATTCCTGGTTGTAACCATTGCCTCCAGTTTCTCTACAATCATTGAGAGAATTACCGATGTTACCAGCTGGCCAGAGCTGCTAGCCTCTAATATCCCCAAGTCTAGTAACTACTTCTTCTCCTACATGATTCTGCAAGCCATGTCTGTGAGCGCTGGTGCTCTTGTGCAGATCTTTGGCCTTGTGAGCTGGTTCATTCTAGCTCCCATGTTGGATTCCACTGCGCGAAAGAAGTGGGCTCGAACAACGAACCTCAATCAAATGCAATGGGGCACTTTCTTCCCAGTGTACACCACCTTGGCCTCAATTGGTAAGGCATTATCTTCTCATCTCTCAATTCATCTGGCTGACAATTCACAGGCTTAATCTATTGTGTGATTGCGCCCCTCATTTTGGTTTTCAATATCATCACCTTCAGCTTATTTTGGTTTGTCTACCGCTACAACACGCTCTATGTCACCAAATTCCGCTTTGACACTGGTGGTCTTCTGTTCCCTCGGGCCATTAACCAACTGTTTACCGGTATTTACTTCATGGAAGTCTGTCTTATTGGCTTATTCTTCCTGGTTCGGGATCAGGATGACAGTGTTGCCTGTAAGGGACAAGCAATTTGCATGATTGTCGTCCTTGTCCTGACCGTCGGGTACCAAATTCTGCTCAACGATGCCTTCCATCCACTGATTCGCTATCTGCCCATCACGTTGGAGGAAGACGCTATTCGTCGTGATGATGAGTTCCGTCGTGCCCAGCATGCTCGCCTCGGCCTCGCCATTGATGACGAGGAAGAGGGCGATGTTGAGCACAGCCTGGCCGAGGCTGAGCGCCGGGAGCGCGAGCAGGGTCAACAAGCACGGGATATTGAGCTCAAGCCTCTGGAAACTGGTCTGGATCAGAAGCGACAAAACTCTAACAACTTATCAACGCCCAAGCTTGAACACAAACGTCCATCATGGGCTACAAACTCATCAAAGCGGAAATCCAAGTATTTCGGTCTGCACTCACCAAGCTCGACCCCTACAATTCGAGCTATGCGTGATAAGATGACACAGGATGCCGAAGCACAAGGGCCAGCCCCCAATACAGTCGGTCAAGCTCTATTTGCCGGTATCAACGATGAGCTCGAGGATCTCACGCCAGACGAGCGTGATCAATTGGTACAGCGTGCCTTCCAACATGAGGCGCTTCGTGCAAAGCGACCGGTGATTTGGATTCCGCGCGATGATTTGGGTATCAGTGACGACGAAATTTACCGAACTCAGCGATTCAGCAAACACATCTGGATCAGCAATGAGTATCAAGCACTCGATGGCAAGTGCCGGACGATATTCAGTCGCAGTCCCCCGGATTTCTCAGAGGTGGATTTGATTCAACTGTGATGTGATTTGTACATTGTTCCTTTTAGCCATTTTTTTAGCATTTGCGGCGTTGCATTCAGTCATAGACATCCCATCCAATGTCTTCTCTTTTGGGGGGTCACCCCAATTTCCAACAATCTCATCATCTCTTAATCCATAAACTTGCACAGCGGCAATCTGTAATCATCTACAACCCAGTAAGCCCGGCGCACACCCTCCCATTCGCCCTCCAGCTTGGGAACAGCAATCTCCTCCCACTGCACATCGAATCCAGCCTCGAACAAATCCATCTCCGCGACTTTTTGGTAAACGTCGTATGAGATTTGTCGATCGGCACCCATGCCGTTGAAGAATCCCCAACGGCCCTCCTGCTCAAGCAAACCAATGACCTGCTCGGAGAAGAACTCGCGGAAATCCCCGTAGGACTCAGCAAATGTGTCATAGTAAATAGCATCGAATTGTTCACCCTCGGCCACAAGACCAGGGAGAATATCCTGCCAGCGTCCCTGGTGAATCACAACACCAGGCTTGCTATCCCATCCACGGCGCTTCATCTCAGCAACCACGTCCGCGTGGGCTTCAATGATATGGTGCGCCGCAGGCCCTTGCTCTTGGAAGAACCCATCGACAATACCCATCCCATGACCAATGTTAAGGACCTTCAGACCAGGTGTGGGGAGAAGTGCTTTCGCGGATTTGCGCATAATGTCACTCTCCCACGCCATCATCACACCATTCTGGTCTGCGTCCAAAATTCGATCATTCTGGATGTTCAGCTGAGACTCCAGATACTGCGGGTTGCTCACGTCTGGGTTGGCGGGTGTGGCTGTGGGTGCAGCAGTCTCGGCAGAGGCATCGACAAGCTCGGGCGCGGTCTCGGCTTCAACTTCAGTTTCAGTCTCGGTCTGGCCTTCTTCTTTCTCCTCTTCCTCATCATCGTCTGATAGCTCTTCGTAGGCGTCGAGACGGTTCAGCAATAACTCTGCGCGCACACCCGCGTCAACAATCAGGTCGTACAGCTCGAGGGCTCCGATTCGACGAGCGAGACATCCTGGTGTCTCGTTGTTTGTGTCAAGGTCATTCCAGATAGCACCCTCCTGCAGCAGGAACTTGACGGTCAGTACTGCTGACTTCAGAGTCTCAGTATCCAAGCCCTTGGGGTTTGACTCGGTGACTTCGCTGCTGGTGCCGTTCTGTGTGTCGCTGGACTCTGTGTCGCGCTCGCAGGCGGCGATTGCGGCGTGGAGAGGTGTGAAGCCGGACTCGGAGTCTTTCACGTTTGCTGCGTCTGGCAGTGTGGTTTGGTTGCGGAGCAGAGTACGGAGCTTGGCGTTGTCATGCTGTGATGCGGCAAGGAGGATCTCTTGCACGTCGAGGTCGACATCGACCTCGGTGAGGTGCACTGGTGTATCGTCGGTGACTTCAGGCATGATCTAATAAGTAGCTGTCAGCGATGTTCACGATACCTCGTTGCGTAGAGCGTCAAAATATGCAAAATTAACAGGCTTTTGCTTTCAATGTATACCTACAATTGTAAATAATTTGAACAAGTCAAGTGTGGTGTATTGGTGTTCTGATAAAGTGGTGCCCCTCCTAAGTAAAAAAAAAAAACCATGCTCGCCGCCTTCGTCCCCGCTGCGGGCGTGGAGAAAATATATATCGGCAGCCCTACTACGTATGTCTACAATGCAAAAGTTACTGAGGAGCAATTGGAAATTAGAGAAGAGAACACATTCAGATGCTTGGTAATCCAGCTATTTGTACAATAATTCATCCCTTTCAACACGACGCCATTAAGTTTGAGGTGGAATGAATTTATTTGCCCTCCTCGCCTTGGGCGTTGACGTTCAGGCCCAGGCCTTGAGTGTCGAGGTAGAGCTTGTTCTTGCCACCGTTCTCTTGGATAATCTGAGCAATTTGACGAGCGTTCTCGATCTTCCGGAGCTCGATGTAACTCTTGCTCTTCTTGATAGCGTCACCGATAAGTTCGGCCGAGCGGGCCTCACCCTGTGCGCGGACAATGAAAGCTTGCTTCTCCTGGCGGGCCTTGTCAACCATGAATGCGGCACGCTGAGCATCTTGCTGAGCGACCTGCTTAGCCTCAACAGCGGCGGTGAACTCGGGGGAGAAGGTCAAGTGCTGTAGGAGAGGGTACATTAGCAGGGATCTGAGTGGGTAGTGAGCAAAGGGAAACATACTGTCAGGGAAACATCGTCGAGGGCAATGTTGAAGCGGGCAGCGCGGCGAGCCAGGTTCTCTCGCACCAAACGGGCAACATTCTCGCGCTGTGTGATAAGCTGGCTGGCGTTGAACTGAGCAACGACACTCTTCAGCACCTCGTTGACAATCGAAGGAAGAACGCGCTCATCGAAGTCTTGGCCGAGAGTACGGTAGATCTGAGGAAGAGCATCCACACGGGGTCTGGACAGGACACGGCAGGTGATGTTCACCATCTGCAAGTCCTTGGTACCAGTAAGAGATGGGATGTTGCGAGGCTTCGCGCGGACATCGTAGATGATGGGTGTTTCGAACCAAGGAATCTGGAAGTGAGTTCCTATTTAAAAAGATGGTCAGAAAGCTGTTTAAACGAGATCGGAGTGTGCATACCTTCGGCGTAGATTTCCTTCTTGACACCACCTAAGCGCGAGTACTTAATGGCACGGTGACCACCGTCAACTGGCAGAAAGTTAGCAGCCCATTCTATCAAAAACCGAGTAGTACAACATACCGTTGAACAGGGAATTGGACGCGACGTAGGTACCAATACCGGCGAGGATGAGAGTTCCGACAAGTCCCATGCCTCCTCGGCCACCACCGGATGGGAAACCGCCACCGAAGCCGGCCTTGCGCTTCGAGAGCATGACCTGCAGGCGCTCCCAGGCCTCTCGTTGATTTTGAGACATGATGTGAGGAAGTGCGTGGAGGGGATTGGAGATGGATGCGGACGGGCTTGGTCTGACCTTCAAATGGACGAGGTGAGGTTACGGGCGGTGAGGGAAAGTCGGGCAGTATCAGCTTCGCTACTGTGCTTTGAAGGCATTGACTTATCGATCTTGCTCTCAATCAACCTTCGATCTATCTTCATCATGGCTCCCGACAGGACTGGGAAGAGCGTTTTTCTAGGGAATATTCCCTACAGTATGCGCAATCATTGACCTAAATGTTGCACATCGCGCTAACTGATTACAGACCTCACTGAGGAGCAAGTCAAAGACATTCTTAGTACAGCCGGCACTGTCACTAAGTTTCGATTGATGATGAACCCGGAGACTGGCAAGCCCAAGGGCTATGGATTCGCCGATTTTGCAGACGCCGATGCCGCTGCCTCGGCAGTGCGCAACCTCAACGATCACGAGGTCATGGGTCGTAAGATTCGCGTCGATTGGCCTCACAACAACGAGAAAGATTCGATACCCCCAGACTATTCGCAGCAGTCGCAACCGATGATGAACCAAGATCCCCCACAGCAGCAACAGATCCCAGGCTCAGCACCGCTGCCACCTCTCCCGCCGGGCGTGGAATTGCCGCCGCATATCGACTGTCCTAGCGCCATCTCCCACACACTCGCATCTCTCCCACCAAATCAGCTTTTGGACGTTTTAACACAAATGAAATCTCTTGCGGTTGCCGACCCAGCCCGGGCCACTGAACTGCTGCGCCAGGCACCCCAGCTTGCTTACGCCATCTTTCAAGCTTTACTCCTCATGAACCTGGTCGAATACCAGCTACTTGGCTCCATTGTGGAACAGGCTGCTCAACCTCCACAAGTCCCTCAACAGCAACAACAGCCCCAGCAGTTCCAGCCATACGGCGTACCCGGCCAAATCTCTACGCCACCAGTCACTGGCACACCATTTGCCCCTCCTCCTGCTCAACCTGCTGCGCCTGTCCATGGCCAAGAGGAGCTGCTCCAGCAGGTGATGAGTATGCCTCAAGCTGCCATTGATGCTCTTCCACCCATGGAAAGGGGCCAAATTATGATGTTGCGCCAGCAACTTATGCAAAGTGGAATGCGTTAGAAGGGGATGATTTTTCAAACTACATGGCTGTGCTCTGATCTGGAGCTCTACACAACAAGAGAAAGCCTGGCGTGTTCAAAATTCTGATATCACCATTTACTATAAGGCGAATATGGGGCGTAAGGGTGTCTACTTTCAATCTATTGTTTCCACTGATTTGCATACTTACTCATACAAAGCCCAATTTACAGATAGCTAAAGAATGAGACTTGTGAGGCGGCAAGCTTCAGAAGAAGGTCCATTCAACGAAGAGAACTAAGATGAAGAAGAAGACTATGGAGATCTGTAGAGAGAGCTGCTCTTATAGTACAGAGAGAGTACACAAATCATGCAAACGCACAAACGTATAGAAAGCAAACCTACTGTAAACCATCATACTACCCCCCGCACCACGCAGGCATCAGCCCCTGATGCCAACACTTATTCGTCGATAAGCGAATCAAACGAACCATCATCCGAATCGTCATCCTGATCGCTCTCTTCCAATTCAACCATCTTCGCATGCCACTCTCCAACTGCATTCATTGTAACCGCCCCTACAGACGTATCCATTGCATTACTATTGGAATAGCCAGTCTTACCAGGAAAAGACTTACCGCTGCCGCTACTGCTGGTCGTATGGGTAACGAGCTGTTGGACCATTTTAACAAAGTTGGAATAGCTCTTAGGAAGATTCAACTACTGAGAGAGACGGCTGCGCATTGACGGAATCAAACCCTTGTATAGTTTACCGATCTTTGTAGCGTCAGTCCAAGCCTCGCTTTTCGATTCGTACAGCAAGCGTTCAAAACGGAAGATACATGTAACCACGGAGTCGGCGGAGTCTTATTAAATCGACAGTAAGCGTTCTTCAGCCTTTTTCATTTTGTTAAGACTGAACATCTTTTGTGCCTAGACCTATACAGCAAATAGCCGTGGGCCATGCATAACCCGTTTGTTGGTGGATAGCTATTATCTATAGATCAACGTCACTCAGTTAACGTTGTGACAATGCCGTAGGATTTCTTTCATCCTGCCTCTAGTATGAAAAGAATAGCTCCTCAGGACGATTAAGGTTGAATGGCCCCCGTTGAGCCGAATGACAGGCTTCACTACATGGCTCGCAGCAATGGGAATGAATCCATTGAAGCTAGATAGGCTAATCACACGATCAATGGGAAGCCCTCGTCGACCTCACTGGCACCCCCGTCGACCTCACTGGCGCCCCCGCCGACCTCACTGGCGCCAAATCGGGCGAGTACTACCCACGCATTGTCGCCGACATCGTCGACCCAAATCGGGCGAGTACTACCCACGCATCGTGACCGACATCGTCGACCCAAATAGGCGAGTACCATCGCCACGACAAGGAAGGTAAACGTTGGACGTGTTGACGTGTTCCTTCAGCAGCTTCCCCCCTCTGCTTCCTTTTCTTCCTCTTCCTCGTTTCTCTCGACATCTTTCCTGTGTCTTTTGACCTCTCTTTTCGTGCTTCTCAACGTCTCGTCTCCCTTGATACACCATGGCGTCACAGGAAAACACCTCGCGGCAGCTCATGACCCTGCAATTTCAAGACAATCTGGACGAAAAGACCAACGAAGATGCTCAAATCCCCGAGCTTCGCCGGGGACATCGCGCCGAGCGGGGCCGGTATCTGGCCCGGGACCTCCCGCCTTTGCATGTGCTCGAAGACATTTTTGCTGATATGGTCTCGAATGCCATGCGACTGGGCCTCAAGGATGTCCTCCTCCAGCTTGGCCATCGATCACTCCGAGTGGCAACGGTGTGCTCCGGCACGGAAGCCCCGCTTTTGGCCCTGGAGATGGTCCAAAAGGGTAAGTCTGAGATTGATTTTCCCTATTCTTCGATCGGCGATGCATTTCATGTTGTTCATGTCTGCGTGTTCGGTTGTGCTGGCGTGAAGAAACTCGAGTCGTGGTTTCTTGTTTCCCCTTTGCGGGGCTCGGGCGGTTTTAGCCCTAACACCTTCCGTTTGTCTGAGCTCCTGCTAACAACACCCCCAGCTCTAGGCACCGACCAACTTAAATTCACACATGCTTTCAGCTGTGAAATTGTTCCGCAGAAGCAATCCTACATCGAGCGTAGCTTCCGTCCCCCAATCCTCTTTCGCGACCTAACCGAACTGGGACGCGATGAAGCGTACGTTCTCATTGCTTCCGCTTGATCATTGGCTCCTTACTAACTTTCTTTTCAGCAAAACCGCCTACGGATCCTTGAAGGCTATTCCCGGTAATCTTGATATCTTGTTTGCAGGAACTGCCTGCGTCGATTTCTCCTTGTTGAACAGCCGCAAGAAGACCCTGGCAGAAGGTGGCGAGTCTGCGGCCACGTTTGACGGCCTCTTGCAATATGTGGACAGATACCGACCCCGCATGGTGATCCAGGAGAATGTCAAGGCAGCTCCCTGGGGCAAATTGACGGAAGAATGGAATTCCATCGGATACATGGCGATTATGTCGCCTGTTGACACCAAGCACTTCTACATTCCCCAGACACGCGAACGTGGCTACATGGTTGTCATTGACAAGCGCCGCTTGGGGGCAGCGGGCCTGATTACCCACCCCATGGACCAGACTGGCCTTAAATCAGTCTGTGACAAAATTATTGAGCTTATTTCTTCTCTCAAACGACCCGCAAGTACGCCTGTCGGGATGTTCCTGTTCAGCGACGACGACCGTCGACTTGAAGTTGCTGAAGCGAAAGCGTCCCTGGAGATGCGCAGCGAGGTGAGCTGGGAGCAATACCAGGTTCGCCACCTACGCTATCGTTCAGATCTAAGTCTCGGCAACGAAAGACCAATCAGCAAGTCCAGTTTTGGAAGTTCAGCTCTAACCGTCCCGGATTTCTATTGGCATCGTTTCTGGGAGACACAACCCGAGAGGGTATGGGAAACGGCAGATATCAACTTTCTGGCGAAACTCTCTCAGTCATATGACATGAACTTCAAGGAGTAAGTTTGCCCTTCACCCTCATTTCGGATCTCATTACTAACCTCGGTTTCAGGCGTTGGATCGACCTGTCCCAAGGCGTCGATCGGGGAAATGACAGTATGAAGAGTATTGGAATCGCCGGATGCCTGACCCCAAAGGGGCTGCCGTTCGTGACCACCCGTGGGGGACCTGTATCTGGAACAGAAGCCCTTGCATTGCAAGGTCTACCTCTCGATCGTATGATTTTCGCGAGAGAAACACAGGCCGAGCTGATGGATATGGCTGGGAATGCGATGACCAGCACGGTCGTCTGCGCAGTTATGTTCGCCGGTCTTATAGCCGCGCATCGAATCTTTGACACCGACGAGGAAGGGCCAACCCACCCCGTTAACAAAGATACCAAGCCACTTATCAACCCAAACGAGGTTTACAGCCTAGTGATGGGCACCCTTCCAGTCCCAGAATCTAGATTCATCGACCACGACCTTCTCAAAGCCCTCGCAGCGCGTACTGTGTTGCGATGTTTCTGCGAGAGGCAGACAAGGGTACAAGACGATATCCTCGAATGCCAGAATTGTGGACATACTGCCTGCAGAAAATGCCATGGCAACCCGGCGCACTCATATGTCCCGCTCACACTCCCTCGGGAAAACCCATCGGAGTTTCTTGCGAAAATAACAGCACTTCTTCCCATGAAACTAGTCCTGAAGGGGCTCAGCATTTCGAGCTTCGAAGAGTTTCGCCACAAATTCTCCAGTGTCGCTCTCCAACCCCTCTGGGCTGACTTCACGACATGTGTCTCACTGGTTTTCGAGGATGTTTATTGGTTCTCCGAAATCAAGCGTGGAAGGAAGTGGCGAGTAATTTACACCGGCAAGAATGGCCACTTGCATCTTGAGATTGGTCCGGCATCCATTGAATGGTTTGTGTTTGGAGATGCACCAAAGTGCGCACCAGCGAAAAGTGCCATCAGGGAGATTTTTGCTAAACCAGTGGCGGAAATGACACCCCTTTCAGGCTCTTTGGTCGATGGACTCTGGGAAGTCTATTCACCCTTGAGTAGCCCATTCAAAGTTAAAATATCTGGTGGAGGGACGAAGGATCCATCGTTCGAAGCTTGTTGTGATCTGAAAGCCCCCGTGTTTGCCGAATCCAAGGTCTGGCATGAGCTGTCGATTGAAGCAACTCAAACGGACGGCTCTAAACTCGAGCCTGCTACCGACCATGATATCAATGGCACTTACACCATCATGGATTCATGTGGCACAGCATGTGGTGCAATGTACAAGAAAGATGACAACGGCACTACCCCAGCCATGTTCCTATTCCTGGATCCTGACAAGATTGGATTGCCAGAGAGCGATGCTTGCGTGTTCTCTCTCGAGCACAGTCGTCTCCCAGGTTACGAGGTCAGAATGACCGTCGCCGAGTTGGATCCGACTTTCAGGGCAACAGAAATGATTAAGTCCCAAGAGGCCAAGGAGTCCAAAGAGGTCAAGGAGCACCAAGAAGTCAAGGAGCCCAAAGAGTTCAAGGCCTTCCGGCGTGAACGTGCAAAGGAACCTGCAGCACAACTGGTTATTTGCGAGACGTCATACATTTCCCACAAGGTTCTGCAGCCGGGAACCCAAATCTCAATCCAGGACACGAACTGCCACGAGGCCTGTATTACACTGGCCACTCTGTCAGCACCAACAACAGCCCTGAAACTCCCAAACACGGCGGATCATTGGCAGTCATGGGACCCCGAGGTCTCCAGCCGAGAACTCAAAGGGTTTGCCTGGCTGTTTTCGCAAATTGCAGGGTTTTCAGCCTTTGAAAACTGGAGCAACATCTTCTCTATTCGAACCCATGAGCATGAAGGCTCTAATACAAACTGCAAAAATTGCAACCCGCTTCCACCTGGTATCATTTGGGGCCGCAATGCAAAGGGAAAAGTGACCCCGTATGAGAACCAGTTGGACGCTGCTGTCTATGAGCGTGCTGTGAAGTCTCGACCGTCCCCTTTCCTAATTTTCCGACGAATCAATGCAAACAGAGAAGCGGAAGTACGAGTCACACTCAATATCCAAGCTTTGACCCATCAAGCCCGTGGGAAATTGGCTGGAATCACCAACGGCGAGACCACTTCATCGCAATGGCGACTAATCCCTCAGGCCTTTGATCATATCAACGGACGCGATAAGAGGTTCCCTGTAATGAACAATGCTGCTGATCCTCCGTCACTGCAGCCTCCTAACTTTAAAAAAGAGCTGCGTGATGACCAACTTCGTTCGTTGGGTTGGATGATTTCACAGGAGGCCGAAGATATCGAGCCATTCATGGAAGAAGAAGTTGAGGAAGCTGTGCTTTCTCTTATCCCATGGCGGGCTGAAGTCAAGCTCACAATGCCAAAAAGAGTTCGTGGTGGCGTGATCGCCGATGATGTTGGCTATGGCAAGACAGCCACCGTTCTTGGACTCATTGACTCGCAACACCAGACAGACCTGGATATTGCACGTGAGGATGATGGGTTGATCCCTACGAAGGCAACCCTGATTGTTGTGCCTGGCAACGTGCTGACGCAATGGGCTTCGGAGATTGAAAAGTTCCTGGGAACTAAATACAAAGTCTTGACTGTGGATTCGATCAACAAAACCACTATCCAACAAGTCCAAGATGCCGATATTGTCCTTGTGTCATGGAGCATCCTGGCCAACGATTCTTATTACAATCGACTTCAACGCTTTACTGGAACACCGCAGGCCCCCTCGAGATCCGGGGCAACAGGTCGAAGCTTCGATAGCTGGTTCCACGAAGCTCAGGCTTCTCTTCGGGAGCTTGTTGGCACCTTGCAAGATGAAGGGCCTCAGTCGATGCTTCGGGAATTGAGAGCTAGACGTCAGCAAGTTCAAGAGACCCAGGCTAACGCTACATATGTGCCGTCTGCCCGCCTACGCGGCCAAGCATTCGCTGATGCTCACGCTACCCGTGACCCTATCTCCGAAGATGAAGAGCTTTCGGATTTTGATGATTCTGGAGTTCAGCAAAAGCGAAAGCGCGGTGCAACTTCGAAAACAAAGGAAGACACCAAGCGACCCAAGATCAAAACAGAGGGCTCTGGGCAAGCTTCCAAGTCCAAGAAAGAGCCCAAGCAAAGAGCACCACCAGATGATCACAAAGATTTTGGCATCACGCAAGGAAACAAGAAGCAAGACTGGCGTACCGTAAAAGCCGCTTTTCTCCATGCGTTCTCATTTAACCGCCTCGTCATTGACGAGTACACTTACGCGGGGGAGGAACGGCAAACCTCCCTGTTAGGCTTGAACGCACGCTCGAAATGGATACTTTCTGGAACCCCATCGCTTAACGAGTTCGCGGATATCAAGAGCATTGCCCGGTACCTCGGCCTTCATCTCGGTGTTGATGACGACGGTGACTGCGACAAGCGAACCCATAACGCGAGATTGCGACACATTCGGAAAAACTTCATGGCTGTGGAGGCATTCCAGATGTACCAGCCGCCTCATAGCAATGCGTGGTACGGAAATCGTCGGTCGCACGCCCAGAACTTCCTGGATCGTTTTGCTCGTTCAAACATGGCGCAGGTCGGAAAGATCCCAGCGGAGGACCATGAAGTGATCGTTGATCTGACACCCACGGAGACGATGGACTACAAAGAATTGTTCAAAACAGTCAAGGGCAATAAAAAACGAGTGGAGGACCCCACAAGCTCCCTAAACACAATTCTGTCTAACAGCCACAGCCAAGAGGAGGCTCTCGTCCTGGGCTGCGCCGTCGCCCAGATTGGCAAGGGCCCGTGGAACCTTGAATCCTCTCAAACTGGGTTGATGCTCACCACCAAGAAGCAAGATGTGTATTGGAATAGAATCAAGGAACTTTGTCGCGAAGCAGCAATTCTGTGGTATCGCCAGAGTACGGATCCCGAGGGCTGGGGAGATTACCACGCTGGTGTCACGGGGGTCAATTATGAGGACCGGATGTTCGCCGACAGATTCCTGGAACTCGTGAAGGACTGCTTCATGTCATACAAGACCTGGACAGTATCAGACGTCAATGACTACGAAGCGTTGATGAGAAAGCTTGAAAAAAGAGAAACAGCTATCTCCGAGTCATCCATTCCATCCAACCCATCCAACCGCACCAGACCGACCTCTAGCGCGGCGACTGCGTCCGACGATGAGCAGACAACAGAAATGGTCAAAAAAGCCATTATCACGGACACAATTTCTCTCCTGAAGAATGTTCACTTGGTTGACCGTCCGAAACGTCTCTATCAATCCGTGGTGGAAGCTCATACTCTTTCTGTTTTTGCCTGCGCGAGCTGCAATAGTCGGGTCCTACATAAGAAGGACGTGTCGATTCTCAAATCATGTGGACATATCCTTTGCACAGAGTGCCAGAAGACCGGCGAAGAGCACCATTCATGCCAGAACCTTGCTTGCAATGGACATCTCCTGCCATGCAAGCTCATGAAAGTCGCCAATATCTCAAATGACGAGCCCACAGCAAATAGCTCAAAGTTCACTTCGCTCATCAATCTCATCAACAAGATCCCGGAAGATGAGCGTGCACTGATCTTTGTCCAAATTGGGCACCTGATGCCCCTCGTCTCGGGGTCTCTTACGACCGCCGGAATTGACCACCGGCTGGTCACCCCGACCACCTTCAGGGTGGTCGGGGAATTCATTGAAGGTACCAAGCCAGCAGCAGCTGGCGGCGCCACAACCCCCCGGCCAAAGGCCTTGGTTCTGAACCTTGGGGGAGCCGCTGCTGCTGGCTTGAACCTTCAATGTGCAAACCACGTCATCTTCTTCTCCCCGTTCCTCGCCGAGACTGAAGATGACTGGAATGCTGGCATGACCCAAGCGATTGGGCGTGCCCGACGATATGGACAACTTCGTGTTGTCCATATCTACCACCTACTGGCGAGGAACACCGTGGAAGTCAACATCTTCCAACAACGCAACAAGTGCAGGCTTGTGTTGCGCCACGGTGTGGTGACTCGCCTCCCAGAATGGGAGAAGCATCGGGAGACCGATGTCCTTCTGGGTGGCGAGTCACCGTGGGAGTAGGTGGTTCTCACTTCCTCCTAACAAGGCATTGCTTGGTAGGAGGCTTCACTTTTGATGTGGTTTACCCTCAATTGAACTGCGTCGGGCTCGGAAGTGAAGTCTCCTACCATGCAATGCCTTGTTAGGGCGAAGTGAAAGAGGGAGGTGGTCCCTCCCTGTTTGAATTTTTTTTTTTTGTTTGAATTTTTTTTGTTTGTTTCTTTTTTTGTTTTGTTTTTTTGTTTTTTTGAATTTTTTTTGTTTTGAATTTTTTTTTTGTTGTTTCGATTGAGCTGGGAGAATTCAAAAATTAAAAAAAACCAAATTCCAAGTAAATGTAAAGTAGACTGATGGTGAGGCCCTAGTAAACTCAGTCTGCAATATCAAGTGATGGAAGTAGACCTCGGGAAGTGACATCAATTTCAGCTCAAACGGTGTACGGGGTACTTAGCATGAACTTCAGAACCTTTAGATATACTGAGACTTTTCCAAGATTGGAGAGATAGTAATCTGAATACGTAGTGATCTAAAAACCTACAAGATTCTAAAGTAGAACGAAGGATTAAGAGAAAAAAGATGCGATTGGTCCTGCTTCATTTGTAATTCGGCTAGAATGTACTCTGTACATCCCAATTCCATAAAACAAAGTATCAAGGACGTACTGTACATGAACAATCAAACAGAAAAAGGAAAACAGACGCCTCAAAAGTGGTAATCATTCAGGGCGCCAGGGGGCGCGGGAAACTATCGTGCTCGCGGTACCCAAGGCGGCTTCTGCTCCAGTGGAAAAATAAAATAAAAAAAATAAAAACACAACCATTATGATATCCTGACATCGCAATTGACCGGCAATGAAAAGAGCTTTTTTATATGCTTTCTAATTTCCTTATTGCTGGGGCGCGGCGTCCAATGCATTGTCCTTGCGCATCATGGTCTCAGGGTTCCACACGGGCACTTCAGTCAGGTTGGTGAGACCGGCGCTGTTCTCGCAGGTATCGCGCCCGCTCAGCGGGCCGGGGGCGGGAATCTTTCCAGTGGAGGCGGAGTCCTTGAGGGCTGTCAGGATGGTCTTGATGGATTCCGGGGTCAGGTCTTCGTAGTAGTCGTCGTTGATCTGGACCATGGGGGCGTTGACGCAAGCGCCCAGACATTCGACCTCGACGTATGTGAAGAGGCCGTCTTCGGTGGTGTGGCCCGGGGTGATTCCGAGGTGTTCGGTGATAGCCTTGACGATGGCGGTGCTACCGCAGCCACCGAGTTGGCATGGGGTCTGGGGATGTTAGAGATTGGTTGGTGGCGCAAGGGAAGGTCTTTCTTACCGTTGTGCAGATCTGCACGAAGTACTTGCCGACAGGCTCGCGGTTGTACATGGTGTAGAAGGTTGCGACCTCGTAGACACGCATGGGGGGCATCTCGAGCATGCGAGCGACCTCGTTCATGACGCTGATGCTGGTGAAGCCGTGTTGGCGCTGACCGAGATCAAGGAGAGGCATGACGGCGGCCTTCTTGTACTGGGGAGGGTAGCGCTTGAGGATCTCATCGGCGAGTGTGAGGTTCTGCTCGGAAAACTTGAACGGGAGAGTCGGGTTGTTGTTGGGCTTGTTGCGGTGCTATAAGAGGCCATCGGAGTCAGTACATGAATACTGAATACTCGAATTGAGAGATGCAATTGGCATCCCAAGCTCTGGAGGGGTCAGGGAGAATACGCACCACCGAAAGGGAGTCGCTGAGCCGTTGCGAACCAGCGGAGAAGGCTCTGTATTGGGATTTGGGGAGCTGGCTGACCAGCTGGCGGCCAACCCGGGGGAGGGAGAAGAGTTGAGAGGCCATCGCGAGCGACGAGAGAGGGTCAATTGGAGTGGAAGTTGTGGTTGGAGGTTGGATGAGAAGACGAGGTTCAAAGGCGTTTTGCGGGCGGATCCTGTGGCCAATCAGCGTGCGTACATTACTCCCGCTTTACCAATCCTCCGTTCCACAGCCCTGGACTTCGACTTCGACTTCGACACTTTCAATTGTCTTGATTTCAGTCAATTGTTGGATTTCTTGAATTGCTACATTATATTATATGGCTTTGAACTCGAATTCCAACAAAATGACCACTCGCCTCGATACATCCGCACCCTAACACACTCCAAATGCAACCTGCGATCATCGGCAATCAACACTAAACATTCTCCATCCGATACACCTCATAAGCAACCTCTTCATAGGGATGAGCTTCGATGAGAGCCTCAACTGCGCGCAGCATGATATCCCGCCCCAAACACATGACCTCGATCCTAAGCTCCTCGCACCGTTCTAAAGCCCCGACAGCACCGACCGCAGGGTCTGCGCCTTCATTGGGTAGGAATTGGCCAGTTCCAGCTGTCTGGAAGCAGCATTTGGTATATTTTCCACCGGGGAAGGACCCTGCACCCACTGCGAAAATAGCTTTTTTACAGGGCTCCGCGTTCTCTGTTGGGACGAAGAAGACTAGCTTGTAGCGGTCTGGAATCGCGGGTGTGGACATCTTGCGGCTCGGATAGAAGAAGACCTTGGGTGTTGGATCTTGTAGGGGATGCGATAGCCCGGTTCTTCGCTGCAAGTGGCTGGGGCTAGTTGTAAAGGATGGTGCAAGGCGTAGTGTGTGATATGCTCTAGGCCGTTGAAACCGTAGGGTAGACCTTGGGAGAGTCCAGATTCGCTGAGTGACTTGAGGCATGGAACAATGTTTCGCAATCAGCTGTCAGACGGGAAATACACAGCACTTGAGGTGAGGAGTTGGGTTAGTGCCTGGTTTCTAAGGCAGCTAGTGTATCAAACCAACATCTTAAGCCCTGGAGCCACATACAGCCCTGGAATATTCTTAGAAACTTCAAATGTATAAGAAAATTCGCACTTGTCATGCTCCTGATATTTATACGAAAGTTGAAATTGGTATACAAAAGTGTTGAAACACAGGGTATCAGATGCATCGCTCATGCCCTCCACAGCTCAAATCAAACAGTCCCCATAGGCAAAATCATGCTGTGATAGTATGCATATACTTCTTAACATGGGCCTCGATGCTCTCCAAGATCTCTGCCTTGCGAGAGTCCTCAATCCAGCTCTCCTGAACACTGTTCTCTGCGATAATCTTCCACTCCAAGACGTTCAAGTTGTGTGCCTCCTGCACGGCATAGTAGTTATCCAGAATGTAACCACCAAAGTAAGCAGGGTCGTCACTGTTGATAGAGAATTTGACACCAGCCTCCAAGAATTTCCGAATAGGGACTTCCTTGACAGACTTCACGCAACGCAAGCGCACATTCGACAACGGGCAAACAGTAAGCAAGATGCCCTCGCGCGCAACGCGTTGCATGAGCTCCTCATCCTCAATCAGCCGGATGCCATGATCAATGCGCCGCGCACCAAGTTCCAACGCAGTACTGATATAAGTCGGGTCACCTTCCTCGCCAGCATGGGCAGTGAGGGGAATATTTTTCTTGGCGGCTGAGGCATAAATATCACGGAACATGTCCTTTGGTGGACCGACCTCGGAAGAGGACCAGCCGAGGCCGTGAACAGTTCCATTCTCAAAGGACTTGTGAGCGACCATTTCATCGTAGAGTTCCTGCGCAGAGGCAACGGGCAAATGGCGCACGAAGCACAAAATCAGCTTGGTAGACAGACCGAGCTCGGACTCAGCGCGCTTGCAGCCCTTGGTGAAGCCGTCGACAATGGTGTTGTATGCGACGCCGCGGCTTTCATGCACTTGTGGGTCGAAGAAGACTTCGGCGTGGTGGACGCCGTCTGCATGGGCCTTTTGGAAATATGCCCAGGCGAGATCGGCAAAGTCTTGCTCTTCGCGCAGCACTGCCATGCCTTCGAAGTAGAAGTGCAGGAAGTCGTCGAGGTTGCTGAAGTGCTCGTAGCGCTTCTTGAGGGTCTCCACAGAGGTGTAGACGGGGTCATCGGGCAAGGTGATGCCATGGCGAGCGGCCAACTCGAAGATCAGCTCTGGCTCCAGGCTGCCTTCGAGATGGATGTGGTGCTCGCACTTGGGGAGACCTTGAAGGAATTCACGCATAGGAGATTGACACATGATGAAAAATGGGGTGACTATGTCCTCTTTTTTTTGTATGTTCAAGAGTTTAGAAAAAGGGAAAATTCAAATATCTCCAACCTGCCCAGTCCTTAAGTATGTGCCTCTCAAGAAAAAAGATAAAAAAAAAGTGGACGAGTTTCAACTTTTCCCCCGCCGGTGGAGGCCGAAACGGGTGAGACCGAGAGATCGTGAGACTCCAATTTGACTCATTTCTCTGTAAAGATTTTACAAATACATTAGTCTAATTCTAGAATCTGTCTGATCCTTCTGCTCATCGATATAGTATTACAAGCCATCAAAGCCGTGGTGCTGTTGCCAGTATCTATCGAGACTGTAATCACTATACTCAGAGCGCTAAGCCTTTTTAACCGCGCTGTAGGCTATCTTCCTCTTTCGGCACCTCAGATCTGCAGAACATCATTGGCATACACCGGCCCTTCGCTGCTAGGCTCGAGTTGGGCTTAAATCCCGTCCAATTGAGCCCCCACGCCTGCGTGGCTCAGACTCCACCTTTTTCGAATGTCTCTGGAACCTATTAGTGATTTTTTTTTGTGAACAAATGCGATAGAAAATGGTGTACAATTTACTGCAGCGCTTTGAAATTGAAATGCCTAGGGATTATTATGCTCGTTATGATTGGCTGCTGGAATTCCTACCCCTGGCCTTGGACATCATGTTCTACACTGTTGCGTACTCTCCTTCTAAGTTCGTACATATCAAAGTACATTCCATAAATTGGACTTGATAACAATACTCAAGTACCACTTGAGTCTCCACTTGTATTTATGACATTCAGACGGTCGCAATGGATCATACCCCGACACAGCATCCGACGGCTTTGCCTTAGGTCTATATCGACCCATCCAACCAAGAGGCCAAGCCAACCTCAATACGTATGCTCCATTGATGCGGAACCACTACATCGCTACCGAAAAGGTGGCTATCACCCAGTTGCCTTAGGGGACACTCTTAAAGACGGAAGATATAAGGTGTTGCACAAGATAGGCTGGGGAGGGTACTCAACGGTTTGGGCGACGAGAGACCGAAAGTAATACACAAGAAGCCGACGGGGATCCTGGCAAGCTGATCAATTTTCAACCTCTAGGGAAGGGATTTATGTCGCTGTCAAAGTCTCCGTCGCAGAAGACAATCGTCACATGGAGTCACGGATCACAAGGCAGTTGACATCTTGCAATCCACCCTCAAGTCATACGGTGCATCTACTCGATGTTTTTGAATTGAATGGCCCAAATGGATTACATGAATGTGTGGTCTATGAGCTCCTAGGTCCCAACGTCCAGGATACAATTGATACGCACTTCCACGGGAGACTCCCTGGCAAGCTTGCCAAATCGATTGCAAAACAGAGTCTGGTTGGACTTGATCACATACATCAACACGGTATTGGCCATGGAGGTAAGCCAATCCAGAGAGGCATTTGAGAAGACTCTGACATGCCTTAGATCTGCATACTCGCAATCTAGTCTTCACTTTGCCTGACATGAATCATATTCCTGAAGATAAATTCATCGAGATGCTAGGAGCTCCGGAAATTGGCTTGATACGCAGAAAAGATGGGAAAAGCCTGGATCTAGAGCCCGGTATACCCAAGTATCTGGTGAGGTCTACTGCATATCAGCCACGTTCTTGGATCTCGACCCCGTCCATCAAGATAATCGACTTTGGCGAATCGTTCACGAGCACCGAATCTCCGAAAACACTCCATACGCCTCTTTCTGTACGAGCACCTGAAGTTATATTCCAAGATCGGATCGACTATCGTGTTGACTTGTGGAGTATGGGATGTATGGTGAGATGAGACAGATCATATCTCAGCAGAACGTCTGACTGACGGGAGTGATAGTTATTTGAATTGTTTACCGGCCAGCCACCTTTTGATTCATATTTCACCACGCCAACTATCCTGGTCAGTCAAATGCGGGATATGGCCAGTGACGACCTGCCTGGAAGATGGCACTGTATGTGGAATGAGATGAACGCAGGGGCTAACAAGACCTTCGAGCCGGGACCCAATTTACAAGAGTGGCTGGAGGAGGTGTACTTCGATGGCACGCTGACACCGGATCTTACTGCAGAGGATATTGTGAGACTGGGACAAATCATTGCAAAGTTGTTGAGATTTGAGACGAGCACTAGAGCATCGGCCGGAAAAGTCCTGGATGACCTTTGGTTTCATGATTGAATAGCTCCTGAGACCACATACAGAGCGACCAGGAAGGATTCTGGGTCTCTTGTCCCCTCAATGGAGAAAGTGAATCATTCCAAGTGCAGAGGCAGATTCAGTGTTAGTTCGAATACATCAGCCATCCGATATCTTGACTCCACTTCCAATAGTAATAGATACCCCCGACCTTAGAATCGGAGAACACAACTCAAGCTTGACAAAAGATCAAAAGAAGAGAAGAGAAAAGGTTCGGATTCAACCTTGGAAGTTGTCCAACGTTGATACCATGATTACTAAACGTGGTCAACGCTCCCGAGATCCAGATATCCTGGGCAGATGTCCTGAGTCGAGTGTCTGGACCTCTCGGGGGGTCTTCCAAGGGTACCAGAACTCTACGTAGTAGCTAAGGAATCACTTATTCTAGTCGAAGGGCCACTTGCACGATGGTACTCTGTTTGTCATGTTTGATATAGTATCATGTGACAGCCACACCCCCTTTTGGAGCCTCCTAGTTGCTACTACCTACAGATACTCACTCCTCCAAAATGTTCGCGCACCTGTGGAAATGTTGGTCGGTCTTTCATTCAGCTCTAAGTTATCTTATATACGGCTCATTGGGTTTCATATATCGCCTAGTACCTCCGTTCATCAAAAATTCTTTGTCCACACCCGAAGAGCCTGACGATCTTGAGCGATGCGGACGCGATACTCCATCCATCACGAATAACAACATTTTGAAATCAAATGAGGAGGAACAATATGCCTCAGTCGGAGAGGTAGCAAGTTTAGTTCCCTATGAGCCCCTTTCCAATGAGCCATTGAGCCAAGGTTCCACCTCATTGATAACAAGAATAAACCCGGGCGTCGTCGTCAAATGCCCCCGGTTTTCGTGGTGGCATTCTGAAACAGCGGATTCCAACCCCTTTGTCAAGGACATTAAGCGCAATTTCGAGGTCGAAGAGCAACTTTTGGATATCTTAGGTGCACACCCTAGAATAATACGGTATGTCAACCAAAGCCACGCGAACTTATTTGTTAATCTCGATTCTACTGTAGCTATGTTGGTATCTCAGAGGAACCTCATGGATTACTGTTTGGAGAAGCTACGGATGGCAATCTGCAAGCTTACATCGATCAACATCATGATACTATTGATCTATGTCTTCGGTTAAAATGGTGTTGCCAGGCAGCGGAAGCCGTTCACTATATCCACCAAAAAGGCGTCATTCATTCCGACCTGCGGCCGGAAAATTTCTTATTACACTCTGACTCCAAAGGCAACCTCGATCTTCTACTCTGTGATTTTGGGGGCTCGACATGTGGTGACATCGACGGTGGACATCTTCCCGACTCGGGCTTTTTTAATCCCTGCAGACCATGGGTGTCAACGGAGGCTGTAGATATATTCAGCCTGGGGTCGATTTTCTACACGATAATGACTGGCCATTGGCCCTACAAGTCTCCAGGGCCATTCAAATCTGTGGCAGAGAAGATCGATTATGATGAACTGGTAGACACCCACTTTTCATCCCAGGATTATCCTCCGGTAGATAGTCTACCTGGTGGTGCCGTGATACAAGGGTGTTGGACAGAACGATACGATAATGTAGGAGCACTCATTGGAGACCAAATTTTGTCTTATAGTGAGATAGGAGCTTTTCGGTATGCGCATAGCCTTGAGGTTTGCAACGAGTGAATTCATATGTGATCTTCCCGCTTCTCCATATTTACCTGAGTACCAAATACTTCGTACAATAAAAATTATTTAGAGTCGCAGTCCTCAGCCAACGATAGTCAAAAACCCCAGGAATCCCTGTCATACCAAGTTGAGCTCAAGATTTCATGGGTTTCTGCAAGCGTAGGTTCCGCATTTTCCTTTCGCTCGGCTTGAGCCCAAGTGGTTTTCCTGGCGACCTGGGCAAGCGGAGGTGCCGATTTCCGGACAAGCTGTAAACCTGAAATCTTCCTTAATCCTGTCGCCGCATTCGAAGATCTTCACGGTGACGTCCACGGTACACATGCTGGAGTGGATCTAAGCAAATTGGCTAAATACTTAAGTATAAGCCCGTGGTCAAGACATACCTGATAGCGTAAAAGCCTTAAGATTTATTCTTTGAAGTTACTTTAGGAGTATGATGGTCTTTGGTCTGAATTCGGGGTAGAAGGTTGTAGAATGGAGGTACTCAAGGGGACACAGGCCATTTTTATAGACATTTCTGGGGGCTTGAGCACTTGGAAGGCTCTTTACTTTGGTACTTAATTATCCAATCGAGAATCACCAAACCCAACAGTATGCATGTTGGCAACCTTGTCTCCAACAATTCCTGCAAGGCAGACAAACCTCAGTGACAGATAATGAGTGGCGCAGGCCAATGCATTGTTAGCGCCTGGCCCACGATCTAGGCCAGTTATCATGCTAGTCGATGCGCAGCTTTGCGGCTCCTCTCGCCGTCACATCTTTTCTGGTGTGGCCGAAGGATGAATCTGAGGGGAATTCCCAGTACTGTGTAAAATTGGTGGAACGGGGCTACTGAATAATCCATGGATGCATTGGGCGTACATATTTGGTTCCAACACGCTATTTTCCACAAGCCTAGAAAATGTACGGAGTGCTCCGCATGCTTTCTATCAACGTGCAGGGCAAGTGGAATGTTTTTCCACAGCCCCGGGTGTTCGAAATCAAGTTGGCGAGATCGAGGCCATTATCTCCAGGGCTGAGCAAAAGTCTCACTAAACACCATACGATTTGCTCCGGTTTTCACTTTCACCAAGTATAACGCAGTGGTTCTCAAGTTGGAAAATAAAGCATTTACTTGTCCCAAAACCAAGTTGGTGCTTCTCTGCAAAACACATGTAGATCTTATAAACAGTCTATTGAAATTCAAATGTGCTCGTAAATCATTTAGGCTCGCAATTCAGCCCCAGCCGCTTTTCGAAGCCGGTTCATAACAGCCGCAGCAAGATCACCCTCTTTGTCCGGAACACCCTCGACATAAATCACATCAACGTCCAAATCATCCAACGCACGAAGCGCAGCAAAGAGCCCATGCGCAATAGAAGCAGTATCCGGCCCAATATAAACATCATAAGCCATTTTAGTGCGACTGCTCGGGTTCCCAGTCTCCTGCACAGGGATCGGGAAGCTGATGAGATCCTCAATAGGTGCAGAAACAGGCTTGACGGTACTAGCGATTTCTGCTTCCGGGGCGAGTTCCAGACCCAGTTTCCAATTGCGCGTGCGGATGATTCCAATGTTGTGCGCGCCAATGGCAGAGTCTCGCAGGTCATGCTGGACGTGTTTCACCACCCCGCTTGGGCTGGATGTGGGCTCGAATAGGACAACCCGGGCTTTCGGGGAATAGTGGCGGTATTTCATGCCTGGGGCACGGGGGATTTCTTTCACGTCCAGTGTGCCGTCTTTGTAGGCGACTGTGACGTTTTCCCAGCCTTCGCATTTGCGGATCTCTTCGATGCCGATGCCTCCTGGGCGGAGGATGGCGGGTGGGTCGCAGAGTCCGTCGACAACGGTGCTCTCGACGCCTACGCCTGATGCACCACCGTCTAGAATTAGGTCGATGCGGCCGTGGAGGTCGTGGTATACATGCTGTGCGGTTGTCGGGGATGGCTTGGTGGATGCATTGGCGGAAGGCGCGGCGAGGGGACGGTCTGTCGCGTGGATGAGGAGACGCGCGAGGGGTGAAGAGGGCATGCGCACGCCAAAGGTGGTCAGCTTTGAGGTGACTTCTGGTGCCAGTTCGGATCCGGAGGGGTTTGGTAGAATTATTGTGAGTGCGCCGGGCCAGAATCGGTCGATCAGGGATTTGTAGATTGAGGGGACCGTGATGGGTGGTGTCTTGGTTGAGTTAGGGCTGCTGTGAGAGCTTGGGTTGAGCAGTCTATCCAGCATCTCCAGTGAATCGACGTGAATGATCAGCGGGTTATCCGAGGGCCGTTGTTTCGCACGATAGATGCCCTGGACAGAAGCACTGCGCGTGGCATCGGCACCCAGCCCGTAGACTGTCTCTGTGGGAAAGGCGACAGGGAGATCGCTCGATCGCAGAAGCTCCGCGGCTTCCTCGATGGCCTTGGATTCCGGCGTTTGCTGGTTACGCTCTTGAGTCCACCATTCGGCCAAAGACAAATTCCCGGGCCCTTGGCTGAGCCGCTGAACGGAAACAACTCGCGTAGAGGCAGCCATAGTGAAGAATCTGGCACAACTGCGCTGCCGGCCGGTGAAGATGCGAGTAAAAAGCAACTTGTTAGAATGTCAATGACGCACCATTCAGGCGCGCTAAATGAGGGGCGGAATGATGCCCGAGGGGCCGAGTTCCAATTACGCAGATCCTGTGATCTTGGGCCCTTCTATACGACTAATGTATGCTGCACGATGCCGTCAAGTGTGAATATTCAAAATGTCCGAAGCGAAGAATTTCATGACGTCGAAAAGGGGGATGACTCATCATGTCCAGCCCTAAACCTGGAAGATTGGTGATGGTGATCATGGTGATAGTATTATGTAGCAATGTTGGAAGCAATTCATCGGATTCTTTCATTTTATCCTATAGTCTACTGAAGTATGTCCTTAGTATGTAAATATGAAATAAGACGGTCATGTTCGTGGGTAATCATTTAGTACCTGGGCCATCATTGTACACTGAGTGGATGCATAATTGTACACGAGAGTCTATTCTATGCAACACTGTACTCTGAAGAGAATCATTTCTTCTTGCCCTTAGAGCCTCCTTTTCCACCACCGCCACCCTTACCCCCTTTGGCTTTGCCCTTATCACCACCGCCGCCGCTGGCAGCACCCGCGGTCATGATACGCACCTTGCCCACAACCATGGTGTTGATGATCTCGGTGTCTTTCCAGCCCTTGATGAGTTCACCCTCCCGTTCGCGGAGGCGCTCTGCATCGACACGGGCGACCCCAGCCTCCTCAGCGTGTTCCTTCTTGACCTTGCCAGTGGTAGTTTCAGACACCCATCGACCAACAATTTCTTTCACGGCCTTGCCCTTCTTCACGGCACCCGGTTGCAGCTTGACCTTGTATTTATAGCGTCCAAGCGCAGCCCACGGGGCACAGACAGGAATCGCAGCAATGACTTCGTCATCCGGGGTCGGTGTACCAATCAAAGCTGGGATCCAGGTAAGATCCGCAGCTTCCGCGGCAGCGGTCTCCTCGTTGTAATCGTCGGTTCCGGTTTCAGTGAACTGAGCCTGGCGCTTGCGCTCGGCTTCGGCTGCGCGCTCGTGCTGGGCACGGCGACGCTGCCTTTGGGCCTCGGCATCTCGCTCGCGCTGCTCTTTGGCTTCGGCTGCTTTGGCGGCCTTGGCCGCTTTTCCTTTGTTGGCACCCACGAGACGGAGGGCAAGTTCACGCTCCTCGTCATCTTGGTGAGCGTACTTGGCAGCAGCACGCTTCTCCTTCGCACGCTTAGCCTTGGTGGGAGCAATGCGCGGCGCGGGTGGTTCTTCAGGGCGATCAAGGGGTTTGCCTTGTCGCAGGGTGCGGCGCTCACGCGCAGACAATTTCGGCTCTTCGGGCTCAGCGGGCTGGTTTACTGTGGCCGAAGATTGCTCTTCGTCTTCCAGGTGCTCTTCTGGGACCTTTTGTTCCTGCTCATCGACTCGTTCGTCGGCATCCTCCAGGTCTGACTCAGGTTCAGACTCTTCGGCCTGCTGCTGAGCTGGCATCTCAGAGTCCCCGCGTTGAAGAGGGTTTCTTGTGGCTGCTTTGTCGTCCTCGTCCTGCTCGTCCTGCTCATCCTCAGAGGCTGCTTCTTGCTTGTCATCTCCCGCGACATCATCATCGGCTTCTTGGACAGGCTCGGGCTTGTCGGTAGCAGTTTGAGCCGGGGACGAGTTCTCCGGCTCATTTGTTTCAGCTTGACCTTCAGAGACCTCGGTGGGTTGCGGGGCATTAGGGACATCAGGTGTGTCGAAGATTTGCTTGTGGTTTTTAACGCTTTCCTGGCTAACCTGGAACATGATACCAAATCCGAGAACCAATTGCGATGGAGCCAAGAAGTTTTTCTCTCCCTTGATTTGGAAGACGCCGGTTGGCATGATGCCGCTACCGTTCTCCGCAATCTTTGATACCTGGTGAGCGTGCGCCCACCAAGCAGACATGACGGCCTTGGAGTCCCACGCGGAAGAAGTCGCCACGCAGAGATTGCCGGCCTGGGAAAGTGTGCTGGGGGGAATTGGCGCATCTGCAAACCCGGCTCGGTTTTTCACCACAATTGGCGTCGCACCTTCCAGGTCAGCGTGGATGAAAACGTCCCCCTTTGTCAAATAGCGACGATATAGTAGTTCACTCTGCATGGAATCTCGTGCACTAAGAAAATTAGCGGTGATCACAATTCTTCAAACCAAGTGCCACATACCCAATAACCAAATAACCCTCGGAAGAGATGAAAAAGATGAACTTTTCGAACCAGAACGGGGTTCGTGATTGCCGCAAGACTTGCTTCTCCTTCTTCAGGCCCTTCTTGAGATCTGTCGTCACCTTCTTCTCGTGACTTTTCAGCGCCATTGCAGAAGACTGTGTAGTCCTTTGCTCCTTCTCCGAGGCTTGCTTCTTTTGGTCGTAGTATTGCGACGCATTAGCCCAAGGGCTGAGGCCGAGGTCGATGTCAATCGTCAGTTGTTTGGACTCGCGATCGGCCCTCTTTTTCTGCTCCTCCTTTTCGTCTTCTGAGTCTGAGTCGGATTCTTCACTGCCTGAATACCCCTCATCCTCATTCTCATCCTCATCCTCATCTTCCTCGTCATCGCCCGCTTCTCCTAGGAGGAGGGTGACTGTGTTCTCATACAGCTTCAGAGGCAATTTGATAATTTGTGCCACAGGGTTTCCACGGCCTTGTTCCATTTCGATCAAGCGCGCAATCTCACCCCAGTCCATTCCCTGGGCGACCAATCCATTCACAGCATCCATCGCCTCTTGGACACGATAGACATTGTCTTGGATGGCGTCCGCTTTGCGAATGTGAATCTCCTGTGCATCTTTCAATGCATCGATTCGCTTCTTATGCTCTTGGCGCACAGATTCGAGCTTCTTCTTAGCTGCCTGCTCGCGTTCTGTCAGACGCGACTCCAGCCGCTGTGACTCCAGCGAGGAGAAATACTCGTCGACAGTGGCGTTGAAGCGCTCGAATTCAAGAATCTTGACGCCGGGTTTGCTTTCAAATTGGCGGGGCTTGAAGGGGTGGAAGTCTTCATAGAGTAGCCCGGGGGTCTTGGTCGAGCTATCCTCCTCGGGGATGGGACGGGTATCTTCCTTGGCGACGATGTAGCCTGGGTGACTGTCTCCCGTATCAAATCCAGTAGAGATACGCTGCGCTTCTTCCAGAACTTCTTGCACCTGCTTCAACAGATCCTGTCTACCCAAAACTTGATCCAACGGGGTGGCCGTGTCAAACTCTTTCACCGCAAAGACATGATCCAGCAGCAAGGGAGGATATTCAGGGAAGCCTTGAGACAATGCCTTTCGCAAAACATCGGTGGCTTTCTTCTTTGACTTCTTGGGTGCACTGCCCTCCTGTGAGAACAGGACCTGGGCCTTCTCCAGTGTTTGCTTGACTCGATCCGCCGTAATATCCGGAACTCCGTCGTAGTTCTGTTTGTTGGTGGTGATATATTGAAGGCCGAGCTTGATCTCCTCCTGTCCCTCACCCGGAGAGACTTGTCGGAACAAAGCAAGGATGTTGTGCTCGCGGTCGGTCAAAATGATATTACCACCGGCGAAAAACTCCAAGAAGATGTGGTATGCACCGTCGCTGAAAGTTATATCAATGATGCGGTCCGTTCCAATTTGGGCGATATTTGTGATACGGCGAGACTTCAGATGTTTGCGAAGGCGCGTCACAAAGGGTGAAGGTGTGGTTGCCGCCGTTCGCGAATATTGAGTCACATGAGTGCGGAAACCAGAGTCAATAATAAGTTGACGACGATGGTCTGGTTTCGCTAGCTTGAAAAGGAAAATACGCTATGAACCGAAAATCATTAGCCCCAACCCATTGGCACATCACGACAAGGGATCATACTGATGAAAGATCATAAATATTGGACACGCGGAGGTTGACGCACTCTGACGCCAGCTCCTGCGAGATGACCTGCAACTGTTAGATTGATTCATTCTATTCCAATGGTTTCCCTCATACCTTCACATCCAAAGAGGAGAATCTCTGCTTCATGGTGATGTTGTTGAGGAGAAAAGGAATTTTCGAGTGTGACGTATGCGGGGCAGCCAACTATCGGAGTCCAAAACAGGGATAGCGGCCATTGCGACAAAAGTCCACTCTTGGCACTCTTGGCCCTGATGCTCTTGTCTTTGTTGCTGGTGTTTCATGAAAGAAGATGACACTGTATACAAGAGTGAATGCACTGATTCCATGCTATCCTATGTAATATAAGTCACCAATATCGGCTTGGCTCACATAGAACAATCAGATATCAAGGGGCCTAGGTATAACCCTAGAAATCTGTGGCTCAGACTGTGAGGATAAAGGCGTGGGAGTCAAAGGTAGTCTATGAGTTATACAGTAGACCATACTCATAGAGTCATGCGGAAAATTCTTAGAATGCGCTTTTCTTTATGCTCCTGAAATCCGGTTGCTATCTAGCCAGGGACAAACTGGTCTTAGGTATGAATGAAACCCAAGTCTGCACTCTCCATGAGTTATATGGCTACAAAGTCCATCAATATCCCGTTCCTAAATGTCTTAGAGAGCTTTAATTTGACTCTGAAGTTGTCGTGGCCTTGGACCATGATGTTCTGCATTGATGGCGACATTGCTAGTACTCTAAACAGCGGACCATCTTATATTAAATTGTGCCAATTGTTTCCCATCGGGCAAATCTGGTGGCCTATAACCTTAAATATCTGATTAATATGGCTATATCATGTAGGGAACTAAATGATGCTCTAGATCAAGTAATTTGTATACTATGTAGTAGCCATAAAACGAAGTATTATGTATCCAACAAGCCTGTTAAATCCTTGGGTGTAGATCCCAGAAAGGATTTCAAGTCATTCCAATTCTCCAATAAGTGACGGACACTTGATAAACAGTGGATTCATGTCTACCGAGCTAACAAGTAAATGGAAGATGGAAGAATTTTTCGTTCACACGTATTTGAGAAGCTATACTTCCAGGGCTGATCTAACCGAAAAGGGAAGTTGTTGGAAGAAATCTCCACTATTTATGCCATCAGCCAATGAGATATCATGTTTCCTCTGTCCAGCCGCGAAAACATCGGCTTATACTATCAGTTTGAGATTTGGGATTTCGCCTTCGCCTTCAGAGTCTTCATATTTAAAAGCCCTGCTATACGTTTCGCAGTTTCTTCTTTTTCATTCCTTCTGATCACACCTTCTCGACGGCGTTGCTATCATCACCATCTTCACTATCTTCCACGCCACGATACTGTCATATATTCCTCTACGACCAGTACTTTCCACGTACTATTCACTATGGCCGGGTCACAGATCTCCAAGAGTCTGTTAGAAAAGGCTTACATTAAAAAAGATATCTTCGAGCTTCGTCCGGACTATCGTGTCCTTCTCATGGTTGTCGAGGGCATCTCTCCGGGTCCCAGCGACGAGGCCAGCGAGGCCCTTCTTCAAGGAGCCGAAGCCTGCGTCAAAGATCTACTCTCAAAACACCCCGTAACTGAGCTTCCACACATTGCCGCGTGGCGTGAAGCCTACAAAGCCTTCGGCGCAAAACCACAAAAGACACAAAACAGCCTGGAAGCATTGACGCGCCGGGCGAAGAACGGTCTACCACGGGTCAATCGCTTGACCGATATCTACAACGCCATTTCAATCAAGCATCAAATCCCATTCGGTGGCGAAGATCTTGACAAGTACAACGGCTCTCCGTTCTTGGTCCGCGCCACTGGCCAGGAACAATTCCAAACTTTCTCCAGTGGTGAACCCGTCTCAGAGCTTACAGCACCGGGTGAGCCTATCTGGTGCGATAACACGGGTGTTACTTGCCGTCGCTGGAACTGGCGACAGGGTCCTCGGACTGCGCTGAGTGATGATACCACACGCGTGCTGTTCATTTTGGATGCATTGGAGCCGCTCTCGGATGATGCTCTCCTCGGCGCTGCCGAAGAGCTGGCCTCTGAATTGAAACGCAGTTCCCCGGAATTGCAAGTGTCGCAGAGATTGATTGGTGCTTCAGATTGAACGTATTGTTGTACACTAGATTTCCAAATCTTCAGGAGGCTTTAACCTGATCCAAGCGAAAAGTTTGTATTTACTCATTCCCGAGTCAGAGAACAAAAAATCAAAATAGAAGAAATGTTATCTGCCAAAGCGTACTGTCTTTCTGAATTATTCCAAGTTTGTTTGTTGATCTGAATTGTCTATTCACAGCATCCCCAAACCCCGGATGAGCTCACATTCCATCTAGATCTCATTCCCGCTGATCCCCCAAATACCGATTTTGTTTACACCAGAATACCGACAGACTGAGGAATGCTCAGAGTCCTACTATAGCATCAACATAGATCGACCGTTCATAAATCGGGCCCAGGAACCCCAGTCCCGTCACCCCTCCTCACCACAACCCTCCTGCCATTGATACGAGTTTTGTCCATCTACTCAGAATATAACCCACTTCTCTCAAAATGAAGCTCACAATCTTCCTCCCTCTCACTGCCTTCCTATCATGGGCAGTTGCTGAGTCTGTGGATCCTCGCGAAGATGCCAGTCCTTGTCTTGTGTGTTTCCCAATCTCTAGATGAGATCTTATCAGAGAACTAACCATGTCTTGTTTGCCTGAATAGACTCGGTGTCTTTCTGAAGCTGCTGCAGTAGCAGGCTGTATCTCTTCTGTCGATTACAAGTGCACTTGTCCCAACACGGCGTTCAAGGACACACTCGGGACGTGTATGAAGAGTGCATGCACAGCAGATGATATAACAGGTGTGTTTCCGTTCCAGTATAGTAGCTTCCTACTAGGTTTACCATGAGACTGAGGGTCTCATTGAGTTTTTTTACATGTGCTAATTGCTCTTGTTTACAGTCGCCGGCAAAATTCACGAGAAACATTGTGGATCATCACCCACTTAAAAGACTGTACATATTTCGATGTCTATATAATTTTTAATTCAGCTTTTGAACATCTTTTTTTATTCTTTGCTTTTTTGGGTGAACTGCTTCCAGTAGAGATTGGGGCGAAGACATATGGAGGCATGGCTTAAGCTGTGTGGCAGTACGTCATATCTTCAAACGAGGACCTTCACTGCAGGCCTAGCAGTACGGTAAAAGAGACTTCATAGAGCCAGGGTCGATCAGCGATTTGCTGGAAGAACGCCTCTCTTCATGAGATTGCCAGCCATAGAGCTCTGCCAGAGCATGAATTTGGCCCTCGTCCGGCAAAGCGAAAAGCACACATCCTCCTGCCAAGCACTCTGATCAGTTTCAAGCGGCATTTCACAACAATAAGGGTCTGGTACCATGTTTGTTTATTCTCTTCGCCACGAACATACTCGCTCACGTAATTTCGCCTTCGATACAGAATGCCAAGTCGGTTCACGGATGTCCCTCCCCGAATCAAGTTTTTCTGCATGTCGTACTTAACATACATAGCAAGCGTGGAGTCAAAGTGCCCTTGCAGTAGCATTGTTGGAAGGCGGCTCGTTAATCCTGCACGCTTTCAGGACAATGTGCTCATCGACATGATATACTTGACCTGCAGCTCCCACACCAACAATGTCAAGGTCAGTCTACAGGTTTGATATTGGATTGTAAGCGATATGTCTGCAGACTGGAAAGATATTGGGAATCTCGAGTCACTTTCGCGGGGTCTTTGTCAACATCTGAGAGTTGTTTTCTTCGGAACATGAAAATGGGTTGAAGGATGAGTTTGATTGAATAAAATATCACGCTATAGATGGAAGAAAATAGAATCGAACTGTACTTAAGTAGAATATGAGGAAACAAAACATTGAGCTGTACGATTTCTCCAGGTCTAGGTGGGTCACTCTATATATATCTCCTTCACATTAGGCATGGGTTTAAAGATCAGATGCACAGTATCCCGTCACCTGGGCGGAAGGCTGTACTTATTGAATAGTGAATATCAGTCACTTGCCTAGACATGTTGCAAATAAAAAATCGAAATCCAAATCCAAAGTGACCTGGACATCAGAGAGATTGTCTGTGGCCCCGGGGACATGGGAGTGACGTGACCAGATTTTTAACCTTTTCGACTGCGATCAACATAGATAATCCATGGCATTGGGTCTAGACTTCTAGCAGGTCGATTTTAGAATTCGAGCCGAAACATCCATCGATATGATGTTGCAGTCTTGAAGTGACAGGGCGGGAAAAAACTTCAGTTCTAGCTGTGCGCATGGGACGACCTCAAGAGGTGTCAATCCAAGATTTCCAGACCTTGATAGAAAACACATGGAGAAATCTAATAGAATCTACAATCTACGAAAATGCAAGACTCGGAATCAAAAAGTTGCCCATGGAAGAACTCCATCATTGCGATTGCACGAGACTGATATCAAGATAGGTGGTAAAAGGTAACAATAAGAGAACATTCAAGTATTTTTGTCGTTCTGAACTTCATATGCTGAATAGCCCATTACCATCTAAGCAAGGTTCTCGTAGGCATCGGGGAAACGCTTCATGTTCTCCTCAATGAGACCGTGGCCACGGAGGAACTGAACGTAAGCACCGTCGGAGCGGAGCTTGCCCTCCTGGCGGAGCTGAACGTACTCCTCGCGGCGAACGGGGGTGAAACCCCAGTTCTTGGAGACAATGATCTTTTGGCGACCGGGGAACTTGTACATGGAGCGGCGGAGGGCCTCGAGAGCGGTAGCGCGGTGGGCGTCACGAGTGCGGACGGACAGAATGATCTGGCCAATGTTCACACGGGCGACGAGACCCTGGGGCTTACCGAAGGCACCACGCATACCGGTCTGCAGACGATCGGCACCAGCGCACGACAACATCTTGTTGATACGGACGACGTGGAAGGGGTGGACACGGACACGGAGGTGGAAACCTTCCTTACCGGCGATCTTGACAAGGTACCTGAAAAGAAAAGAATGATAAGTTTGCGCTCATGGGGAAGAATTTGAGAGATCGGATCGGGTGACGTACTTGTTGGCGCAAATACGGGCGGCTTCGAGAGCCTCGGAGGAGAGCTGCTCGTACTCGTTGGAAACGAGGTGGACACACATGGGGAAGTCATCCACGTTAGCCTTCTTACGACCAAGATCGAAGATGCGAATCTTAGGGTCGGGAACACCACGGTTGAACCGGGACTTGGGGTAAGGCTGAATGGAATTTCATGTTAGTATTGGATCCAAAGCAAGATTCTCCCAGTCCATGATAGCCAGTGCTTCCTTCAGCGAGAGCCAAATCTCAGTTGTGAGGTTGGTGAGCACGATGCTCAATGCACTCCCTCCACAACCGAGATTCCCACACAAATCTTCATGAACTGGCGAAATCCAAACGCACCTTGTTCTTGCAGTAGCGGTAACATCTCGCGGGACGACGGGCCATTTTGAGTGCTGGAGTGTGGTGATGGCACTTCCTGCGAACTGGGTATGGGTTGTCGGTTGGTGTCGAGGGTTCGGAAGAAGAAAGAGAAAAGACTCACGACCCGCGGATCACGGGATTATGCTTGGAAATCCACTTCAGTGTGCTAATATCACGTGAGAGTTCAAGTAAGCCCTCAAGGGCTAACCCTACTGAGCGGACCAATTATAACCACCCCTCTTTACCCCACCTAACCGCATTTGGACATATACTTCCAATCGGAGCAACAACTCTCCTTAGATATGTACGATGAGGCGTGCTTGATAAGCACGGATTGCTTCTTGAATTTGAAGCAAGGCGACTGGAAGTGAGTCACATCATCGATTACATAGTCCCGGGGTTCCTTTGTCACCGAAATATCAAGGTCGAATGCTACACTATCTCTTTGATAGCGCATGCGCCCGTAGGCCTGTTGGTTACTCCATGTGAGGCTCTAAGCCTCTCCTTTAGATCCAGCTCCTATAGGCTGGTTCAAAGCATTGGGTGACTCATGAGCCACCGCATTTCTTTCACATTCGAGCCCTCAAACAGGCTGCATGAATCGATGCAGGTGGCGGATCGGAAGAGGGTACCGGCAAAGTCTCCGTTGCTCTGTAATCAAGTGTCGTGACCTCGGACCTCGCTCAAAACAATGAGCCTCAAGATGTGATTAGCTGTGCCATCCGGGACAATGGCATGACCACACAAAGGATCAAAGGGATGACGAGATCCAAGGTTTGTAGGGTTGCCGTGTACTCCGTACTGATAGTGGCAATGAAAGTCCCCCAGTAACCAGGAGATCTCTCACCTACACACTTTGTTTCTCATATCCTTACTTCCTTTCAGCACCCATGTCGATGTTTTGTTTCTGGGTACTTCGCAACCTCAGGGGTTGACAGGGAGATGAGAGTAGGGGCCTGCACTGAAGATCGCTATAGATACAAGTGGAGCCAACTTAAAACGTTGCTTAGTCATTGATTCATGCCTGAGGCACCACATGTATGAGTGTCGTCTTTCTCAGGTTTCACCTTTGGGCAGCATTCCAGTGTCTAACAAAATGAATCCTATTAATGTCCTGAAACAGTTCATCCTGATTCTCTCTTTTCTTGTCTCGTGAAATTAGGTACCCTCGTATTATTTGCAGCCCCCAAAGCCGTTACAGTGTATTTTTAGAATACAAGAGTAAGGGATCCGCATTCATAACAACGATCTTGAGGCTGCAAGCATTTCTCAGTCTCTCTCTCTCTCTCTCTCTCATTCCTGACTGTTTCCGATGAATCTTCCAATTCAATCAACCATGTGGCCCGCAATCAATCTGTGACAGCTTTCACTATACATTCCTGACTTTAATCTGTGGTACAAGCGCTCTCCACAACGGTGTCCACTAGCCTTTGACCGCTCCGAATTACGCTTGCTCCCTGTTTTTCTCCTTTCTCTCTATCAATTGGAAGTGTATCAGGAGTATATAGGTCTATTCTTACAGAGTCCACACGGGCTTGGAATCCTGCATCATGTCAGCGACACCTCGCAAGCCTGGAACCCCCGGCAATTCCAACAAATCATCACCTGCCGATCCGCCCTCCAACAACGGGTCCACCACACGAGGACATGCACGCTCACCCAGCGCCGCCAACGGTCTCAACCGATCACCATCTCTGAGAGGCTCAACTCCTGTATCTGCACGCGCGGCTGCCAGAAAACCTGGCCGCTCCAATCTCAGCATGTCGAACGTTCCAAGAGTCTCCAATGATCCCTCTGAGGAAGAGGCGCGGGCCCAGAATGCCGCCCTCATTGAAGAACTGCGGGAGCAGCTTCAAAAGGCAGAGACTGCCTCCGAACAATATCAAAAACAGCTGGGTGTTTTACAAATGCGCCTCGACGAAGCGCTCAGCGAACAAAGTAAGCTGGAAGACCAGGCTCACGAGCGAGACAGTCGAATCGAAGCCCTCAACAGCGATATTCGGGACCAAGGCCGCCAGATCCGAGATCTGGAACAAAATCACGAGTCCGAGCGCAATGCGATGCTTCAAGAGAAGGAGCAACAGACTAGCCGGGAAGAAGAAATGCAGGCCACCATTCAACGCCTCAAGGACTCGATGGCTCAGAGGGACATGCGCATCAACGCAGAGGGCGACCGCAGTCAAGTCTCCCGATCTTGTAAGATCCCACCTCTCTTGACACAAGCCATTCGATCCGGACACTAATTTCGAATCTAGCTAGCTTCCGCAACCGCTCTTCTCCGGACGTCGATGGCCAGTTTGCGCCGTCCTCTCACATCGAGCGAAGCCCCTCCCGAAACAATTCCACGCTTCTTCTACAGAAGGACAAGGTCATCGAGTCGCTGCGTCTGGAACTAGCCGAATCACAAATCAAACTCGTTGAAATGGAGAACGCCGGGGGAGGTCGCCAGCGCGAACTGGAGAAGGAGCTACTTGAGGCCCGCATGGCCAATGCTCGGCTGATGGAAGACAATGAGAGCTATCAGCTTCTCCTGAGCGAGAAGACTCTAACCGGCGACTTCACCAAGGGTGAATTCATGCGGGATGTCCACCCCACTAAGCCGTCAGCGAACGGACTTGGATCCTTGGCAGATGAACTGGAGTCTGTGGAGGAGTCGCCTGAAGCGGAGGCCGAATCGAAGCCAGAAGGAGGAGAACTCAAGGCCCTCAAGGACCAGAACAAGGCTCTAACGCTCTACATCGAGCGCATCATTAGCAGGTTGCTTATGCATGACGGCTTTGAACACATTCTGGACAAGAATGAGGATGAAGCCGCTGCAGAGAAGAAGAACGACAAGGAGTTGCCCCCGACTCCCCCAGAGAAGGATGAGGCTGCTCAACAATCTTTCCTGCAGCGGGCTAAATCGGTGGTTGCCGGTCCCGGTCCCAACCAACGTCCTTCTACCCAGCCCCGTTCGCGGCCGACGAGCATGTTGCCACCTCCAACACCTGCGCAGAACAACCCCAACGAGAACCCCAATACTGCACCTAGTATTCCATTCCGCACCCAATCTGTCAGAGCTACCCACCGCCGCAGCCGCTCCGAGCAAGTCGATCCAGGTGCTGCCAATGTCGTTGGTCAGATGTACCGCGGTCGTAACTCGGGCGGACCAATCTCCCCCTCGACTATGGGCCCTGGATCGCGCCAGAGCATGTTCTCCGGCGCGGCCAGCTATATCTCCAGCGTGAGCCGCGCGCCTTCGATGTCCAGCCAGCCTGACCGGACCGGACGCAGCAGCTCTCCCAGCGTCGCTAGCGATCCCCACGGAGACACGCTATCCAGCGGCGCCACCTCCAGCCCACCTCGCTCCAGCGGCGGTATGAACAACTATACGGGCGCAGTGATGCAGCAGGACAAGCTGCGCCCGCTGCGACTCGTTAGCGAAACCACTCGACTCAAAGAGGAAGAAGAGGCGGCTCGCAAGAAGGCGAACCGCGGAAGCTGGATCCCGTGGTTGAATCGCAACCCCGAGGAGACTGCACCCCAGTAGGTGGCTCCCGGGCAACTTCGACGTGATCCTGAATCACACGTTCACCATACCCCATACCCTTCTGATGCACATAACACGACTCATGCCTTGAAATGTCCACCTTGTAATTCGAGGATTCTGGTTTTCCACGTTTTCGACGCAATTTGACCCTGTTCCTTTATTCGATCTTTCGTATTGGAGTCTCGGACATCATGGTTTACGTTGATATATATTATTCCCCCATTTTTGATTCTCAATGATGTCTTTTCTCACCCTATCTACTCTATTTCATCGCTTCTTAATCCCGGCATTCTCTCTAAATAGTTGTAGTACTGCCGACAGAGCACCCTTGAATATAGCCAGCAAATGCCAGGTGACGCTTACTGCACCAGCACGCAACTCGCATGCCATATCTCATTTGCAAAAAGAAAATTAATTAAGCCCAGGATAGTCTTGCAGCTCTCAAGTTAATATTCAGAAGAATAAAATCATAAAAGAAGGAATTATAGTGCACATTCGTATGGCGTTGTCCTGTAGTTCTCCGATAGCAGGCGGAACAACATTAGTGCGCTCTGCGGCCAGATAGCATCAACAGTGGACTCGAGACACTCCAATTGCTCAACAAAACAACACAATTCACCATGCCAGGCCCTCTTTCCCTCTTCTCCGTGAATGCGGTTCTCGTCATGTCCGCGGACGACGGCTCCCGAATCTTCACCAAGTACTATTCGGGACCTCATACCCCCGCCGGCACCGCACCCAACTCCGACCACCCAGGTGCCAACCCCTACCCAACCGTCAAGGAGCAGCGCGCCTTCGAAAAGGGCCTCCTCGAAAAGACCAACAAGTCTGCCAGCGATGTGATTCTCTACGACAACCGCATTGTCGTGTTCAAGATGGAAAGCGACGTCATGCTGTACGTTGTCGGAAGCGCCGATGAGAACGAGGTCCTGTTGTACAATGTCGTGCTCTCACTACGGGATGCCCTGGGTATTCTATTCAAGTATGTCGCAATACCCGCAAACCACAGTCCAGCCGCAACTAACCATATGAATCAGGGGCGCAACCGACAAGCGCACCATCGTCGAGAACTACGATCTTGTTTCCCTTGCCATTGACGAGGCTATCGATGACGGCATTATTCTCGAGACCGACCCCGTCATGATCGCTTCGCGTGTCAGCCGCGCGCCGGCCGCCGATGCCCCCAACATGAAGAACATCGACCTCACGGAACAAGGTCTCATGAACGCCTGGGAGTTCGGCAAGCGGCGTCTTGCAGAGGGACTGCGCCAAATGTAACTGGAACTCGATACTTTGGAGGGGTTTGATGTGTTTTCGCCCTTGAAGCATTTCTTGATTCACCCGCTTTTATTCCTGGCTGGCCCTGGCGTGTTACGGTTTTGCTTTTGTTGTTTATCCAGTTTGGGGTATTTTGTTCCGAGCATTGAGAGCAAAGTCTCGTTCTCCTATTTTCTTTCTCGCCCCTGATCCATAGCACTTTACAAAAGGTCCCCGGTCAAGCTGTGTGGCGCGTTTGACGCTACAACATTGATCAGGACATTGCATAATTCATGATTCCATGCCCAACGAGCCTGTGTGAAATTGGAAAAGACCTTCGTCTTGTCGTTTACTGGAAGCCGATAGACTGGTGTTTTATCTTCCAAAAAGCAACATCTCATTAAACGCGATAACCCATTGGTTGTGATCTCGATAAACCCAATTTCAGATCTACATCTTACCTTTAGCCCAATCAACTGTCTCAACTGTCTTCTACTTCGTGATAAGCAGAAAAGGCAAGTGAGCGCGCACCGTCGAAAGAGGCAGGTTTCCGCTATCGGCGATCCACTTGGCTTTCCCCGCAAATCAAGACGGCGTCAACTTCCAAGAGCTACCTTTTACACAACACTATGTGATCCTAATTATGACAGAAGCAAGTGTACACGAGAGTCCTCATACTCGATCGTTTACAGGATGTGCCACGGTAAGTTCCATCTTCACAGCACTGCTCAGATCTGACCCCAACAGTGTCGAAGCCGTCATGTCAAATGCGACGAAGGACAGCCAGAATGTTCAATGTGTCAATATTTTGGCTTGACCTGCGGTGGTTACAAGAAGGATATCTTTTTTGATTTTGAGACTTCCCCAGGGAACCACGGAGTGCGCTTTCGGCGCCCGTTGCTCACTGTGAAAGAAAGAGAGCGCATGAGTCAGTGGCTGGTATCAAGTGCTCCCCCAAAGACGACTCTGAGAATACTATCACGCATCGAAGATGAATGTGAAAGAGCCGATGTGACCGACGATATCGAGATTCATCAGGGCCCATTTGGGGCTTTCAGATTCAACCCAATCCAAAACGAGCCCTCCCTTGAACCGGCGGGTGATGTTCAAGATATAGACTCAAGCTCTCCGGAAGATGTGGTTGGAACTGGGAATCCATACCAGGTTCATCCGCACGTACCTCTTTCGCCTTGGTCCCAAGGCATGATGCAATTAATGTTCGATCAGCCAGAGGATGTTCCAACTCCGCCTTCGCCAGGATTTCTAGATGCCATGATGATCCCAAATGGTGTTGGAAGTGATATGGATACCCCAGAATGCTTGGCGACGTTCGTGCCAGACCCCTACTACAATAATCCCGTCTCACCCACTTCACTTGCCTCCTCTATGGGTACCACGAAAGCCGTGCCACAAGATGCAGTCTTCCTGCTCAAGCACTATGCCTCGGCCGTGATCAGTCTGATGACACCATTTCGCCATTCAAAGACTCCATGGCACGTCCTATTCATCCCTCACACCAAATCCTGCCTTGCTGCTCTGGCACTAGGGGATGATATGAGTGATGCGAGTCTTTGTGTATTCTACGGGACTCTAGCAATCAGTGCATTCAGTCTTGGTGGAGTCTCGAAGTCCCAAACGTGGAGCGAGAAAGCCGTCATGTTCAATCAACAAGCCCAACAATATGCAAGATCAATGCTGATGACTGCATATAATATCCCGAAAGTAGCGAAATACAAGTCAATATTGATGGCGCTGCTTACCATGGTGCAAGTGACCATGTTCTCTGGCAACAGAAGCCACTCTGAATATTATTTCTTGGAAGCAGAGAAGTTCATCCGAATGAGAGGTCTGAAACGCAAGAAGTCTCGAAAGGTGAGATTACTTCACCACTGTTATGTGTTCGAGCGGATTATCCACGAGAGTGTGTTTATCTGTGGCGCCAACTCGGGACAGCGCCATCATGTCCGAACGGCTGTCGAGTCAAGCGGACTTGGCAGATACAGTCTTGACAGTCTATCTTTCAGGCTGTCGGGATGGAAGAACCTACACCAAGAAATGATGAGAGTACGAGGACAAGAAGAAGGAGAGAATGATCTGCATCTCGAAAGACCAGGGTTCTGGTCGAACACACTCTACCCAGAGATCTTCGGCATTCCTGAACCATGGGTATTTCTCCTATCTCAGATCATTCGACTTGGAAAAGAGAAAGATGCCGCCGAAGAAGAAGACGCGACACATTGTCTAAGCTTGAAAGACTTCATTGCACGAGCAAAGACTCTCGAGGAATACATCAACCACCTGCAACCACCAAGCCTGGAGATCACACATTCCCAACTGGACCGAGACATCATACAGAACATGCTTGATGCCATGAAAAATGCATTAGCAATATACTTCTACCGTCGAATTCACGACGTCGATGCATCAATGCTACAGCCAAAGGTTGTTGCTGTATTGGAGTGCTTATTGCGCTGCGAGAGTACAGACTCAACAGTGGTACATGGTTCTGCTGGGTTTATATGGCCTGCATTCATTGCAGCCTGTGAGGCCGAAGAGTCCTCCATACAGGCCGCTTTTACGGATTGGTTTGACAACTCGGCATCTCGGAGTGGCTTGTCCTGCTTCCGGCAGACATTGGCGGATATCCAGAAGATTTGGCAGGAGAAGTGCTGCGCTGGGAAGAGTGTAACTTGGCTGGATCTCATGAAGAGAACTATGCCGTTACAGCAGCAATTTTGACTTATGATATAATGTAAACCATGTGTTGTTTTCACCTGTTGATATCCCTAGTCTATTAGCGTTGGCAATGTTGAGCATTTTTGGACTTAATCACCCATTGCCATCTACTCCGTATAGAGGATTATCTTAATTATTTGATGCGCAAACACACACAAGCAGCTGGATAGCCCTATCCACCGTCCTCATCATACTCGATCCGAATTTCGGAGTGTACAGTTCTGGGAAACACCTAAAAGCGAGTCATGATCATCTGCAAGATTCCCCGCACTTGATATCGAGTGGCAAAGAAAGAGATCTCATGTAAGAGGCCATGCAAGAGACGTACAGAAAGGAAAGCAAACACGAGAAGCGCTGCTACAGGTGGGCTTGGTTATCACCAGACGCAAATTAGGCAAGTTTCCACGACAACCCCACATTGTACTAGTAATGCATAGGAGCTTGCTGTTGAAGACGAAGCTGTCTGAAAATTTTATTTAAGCAGTGATTCCCATGGAAAGAATCCCTCATTTTAGACTTTCAATTCCAAATTTCTTTCCCACCGACCTAGAGGTCTCCGCCTGAACCCTCAAACCTGCCGTATACCTCAATCCAGACCCCATACACAATTATACCACAATGGATGTCCCTGGAATCGCATTGATCACAGGTGCCGCATCAGGCATTGGTCGTGCTTGCGCAAAGACCTTCACCAGAGATGGTGCCTCAGGAATCGCCCTGATCGACCTCAACCCACAAGCCCTAGCAGCCGTCAAAGCCGAGATTGAAGAACAGTCACGAAAGCAAGGCAAGCCCTGCCGAGTCGAGACCTACCCAACCGACATCTCAGACGAGAACCGCGTGAACCAAGTCGTACAAGAGGTAGCCAGAACATTCGGCCGCCTCGACTACGTCGTGAACGCAGCCGGTATCGCCATGAAGCACACAGGTGGCGCGGCCTTCTGCGAAACAGCAGACTGGGAACGCATCCTGAACATCAACTTGACAGGCACATTCTTTGTTCTGCGCGCCGCTGCCCAGATCATGCTCAAGCAAGAGCCTATTCGGTCTTCCTATGATGGCCGGCCGTTGCAGCGTGGCTCAATCGTCAACTTCTCGTCTATTCAGGGTGTTGCTGGAATCGCGTGGTCGACTGCTTATACTGCGACTAAGCATGCTGTTATTGGATTGACTCGTACTGCGTCGGAGGATTATGCTAAGGATGGTTTGCGTATCAATGCTATCTGTCCGGGATACACCGAGACACCCCTGACTACCAAGTCTCCACAGATTCTGGCGGCGATGAAGGAAAAGGTTGCCAATGCTGTGCCTATGGAGAGGATGGGACAGCCGGAGGAAATTGCCGATGGTGTTGTCTATTTGAGTGGTGGAAGGGCTTCTTTTGTTACTGGCACAGCCTTGTTCGTGGATGGTGGATACACACAGCGATGAGTGTTGAGTTTGATAAATAACTACTAGAACAAACAAACAAAAAACAGACGTTAAAGATCATATCACAAATTTCAATCAGACTTTATTCCTGTGAAAGGAATTTGTCGGTGGTGACCTCATCAGTCTCATCGTCCCCCGAGTCGCCCGTAAAGCCCGACAAAACGAGTTTTCCTTCCCAAAAGACGCCTCAATATTGCTTTCTTGACTGAAATTACGAATTTGGTCAGTTGGGCACTTCTAAAGCCACGCAGCCCATCCCACGCCTGCTTGACCAGCCAAAGCATGAACAGACCCGGGACACTTGTATTCTCTTTAACTTCAAGTCGTCGGATTATACAGGTCAAAACTGTCCACGATCCTTGCATTCGCCAGTATTCTTTTAGAAGCCTGAGTCATTTGCCCCATCGGGATTCTCGCCACCAGGCTAAGCCTGCAGGGTACCACGAGAGCTACAACACTGTCCCATTGAGATCTCTTTTCGCCCACCAAGCAAGAATGAGCAGCCAAAGAGTCCCGATAGAACCCCAGAGTGTCGACGCTCCCCTCACTCAGTCAGCTACCTTCCTGGTAGTATCGGTGACCGACAAACCCGGTGCCATCGAAACCATCCGCTCTGCATTATCAGGTCTGAACAGCTTAGCAAAAAATGTCTCAATCCGGGACTTGAGCGCCCAATTTTCCTGCACCGTTGGAATCGGAAGTGAGATATGGGATCGCTTGACCGGCCTCCCTCGACCATCGGAGCTGCGCCCATTCCATGAAATAAGAGGACGTCAACATACCGCGGTATCAACACCGGGAGACCTGATATTCCACATTAGATCCGAGCGCCGAGACATCTGCTTCGAATTCGAGCGTCAACTGATGGATCAACTCGGCGATTCAGTTTCCGTCGTCGACGAAACAGTCGGGTTCCGATATTTCGACGTCCGTGATCTCCTTGGGTTCGTAGATGGCACGGCTAATCCAGTTGGCCCCGCGGTCCCTGATTCCGTGCTCATCGCAGAAGAAGATACCCCTGCATCCGGTGGGAGCTACATAGTTGTGCAAAAGTACACGCACGACCTACCCGGATGGAAGGATGTTTCCACAGAGGAACAAGAGAAGATCATCGGTCGCACAAAGATAGATAATATCGAGTTGGATGATGCGGAATCAGGACAGCGCTCGCATAAGACGCTCAACACGATTGAAGACGAGGATGGAAATGAGCATGATATTCTGCGCGATAATATGCCCTTTGGATCGCCTGGGTCGGGTGAGTTTGGTACCTATTTCATTGGGTATACACGTCGCCTGTGGGTTATTGAGAAAATGCTCGAGCGAATGTTTGTGGGGGATCCCCCTGGACTGCATGATCGCATACTTGACTTCTCAAAGCCACTCACGGGGACGACATTTTTTGCACCCCCTGCTAGTCTGCTAGACCGACTTTGAAACCAGGGAAATGCAAATAGTGATGAATGAGAGATTGGACCATAATATTCAATGCCGGAACGGCGAGTAGAAGCTTTCATTTTGCTCGTTTTGGGGTCGACTTCAAGAATGCGTATCCCTTTGCCCACTAAATCGCTCCAGCCTCCTTCAACAACCCTTTCAATTGACCAGTAGACAACTTCTGCAAGTCAGAATTTCCTCCAATATGCTTCTTGTTGATGAAGATGTTCGGAACAGTGCGCTGTTTGGTTAATTGCTGCAGCGCGGTTTGAATATCGCCACCATCGGCTGCCATGATCATGGATCAGTATTTCATTCAGAGCAAGGCCAAAGGATACATACTCATCTGATCGAGCTCCAGAACCTGGAATTCTGTATCCAAACTGCGAAGTGTGCTCTTGGTATCACTGCAGTAGGGGCAACGCGACTTTGAGAAGACAACTGTTGTGGTTTAGTGTTGTCTTTCGCGTGATGGATTATGAGATATAATTACCGACGCCATTGTCATTGATGATCTTCTGAACCTTGGCAGCTGACATTTTGTAGATATATGGTTTTGTAAATGTCGAAGGCGATGTTCACGGGGAAGAGCTGCCAAGGTCTGAGTCCTGCCTTGGTGCCTTGTTCTCTCAATACACACCATACAATGTACTGTAAGGTAAATTGTAAAACGTACTGTAAGAGGTAGGTTATATGACAAGATCCACTTGTATTAAATATAACAAGCCTGGTTGGCCTAGTGGAAAAGGCGCTGCGGGGGCGGTTCTGAGCCATCCCGGTTCTGAACCGTGTGGTGGCCTGCCTTTCGAGAGACCCTGGTTCGAATCCAGGACCGGGCACTTCTTTTTTGCATTTCTTTTTCTTTTTAAGACTATGCCAGAGTATTATGGTATTGATAATCCAGGACTCTGTTTTCTGACTTCCAGAAGCCAGACAACGTAAGAATCAGGTCTATTAGAGCATCATCCGACCTGGCCGTTCTGCCCCTTCGTAGAGGCAGCAACCCAGGCAAGTAAGCATCCATCTACACAGGTTTGACTTCACGGATCTACCAGGTCGGATATCAACACAATTCCACAGCAGTGGTTACAAATTGACAGGGACGACAGATATCCCAGGTCCATTCTCAAGAACAACATGAAGGCTGAGCCTCGCCAGTTCATGACGGTCTGAAAATGCATTTTTAGTGGTCACGTTCATGAAGGTTGAGCTCTAGTGCGCAATTCAATCTTGTGTCTAGTACTTCTCGAGGCTAGGGTATTTATGGCGGATTAGAGAGCTACTCCAAATAATACTAAGCACCACGCTTAAAGTCAACTCTGGGGGACCGGGGTATTCTTCCATGTTTGAGCCTGTATGTGATGGTTTGCTACCATCAGCAGGTTTGATTTCCATGCGTTTGCACGTTTGCACACTTTGCATACTCTCTTTGTACTAGAAGAGCAGTTCTCTCCAGCGATCTCCATAGTCTTCCTCTTCATCTTAGCTCTCTTCGTTGAATGGACCTTCCTCTGAAGCTTGCCGCCTCACGCTGTATAAACCACCTGATAGAAGCGTCGGAAATGCTCTTCAGGTCTCATTCGAGGTTGTATTCCTTCTCTTATTCCAATGGCTCCGGTGACCATCAGGCTATGGGCGCTCACACAAATCAACAAACCAAAAGACCCGATGGCGCCAAACCCTAGAGAAATGAGGCTTCGGTACACTGGAGGGCGATCAACTTCTATGACCACGAGCAAATAACGAGAGCAAGAAGGAGAGGCAAAGACGGCGTATTGACTGGTCTCCTGGGCTTATAGTGGCCTAATATACATGCTGCTACAGACAAACCCCCACGTTCGGGTTTGGTTATGACCTTTTGGACTAATGGCTAGGTACTGTGTCTTATGTACAAAAATTGTAGGAGGTAGCAATCCTATAACCCTAGTGTGATTACAACGCCTTCCCTAAAGAGCTAAACATTTCCCAAACGATCAGAAAAAAAAGTTCTATTGGTCTTCTTCTTTCCCTCCTGAAAATTGACGTGATGTTGTCCAAATAGGGTATTCAAGAGGTCTCCTCTTCAAAAAGATCCAACATGTATCAGTGTCGAGAGCTGTTGACGTTGAATTTGAGGATAGAAGGGTTGATAACGTAGGCGAATGGTCGTACCTAGGTACTGACTCGGGCACCAACACAGGAAATTCGACATGAATCAGTCAGCTGTTTTGACAACTGGTTCTGGCTATAGACACGGGAAAATTTTCGACACTGGCATCTAGCACTGGGCAATGTAATCGTGGGCAATGTACTCGTGGGCAATGTACTCGTGGGCAATGTACTCGTGGGCAATGTACTCGTGAGCAATGTACTCGTGAGCAATGTAATCGTGGGCAATGTACTCGTGGGCAATGTACTCGTGGGCAATGTAATCGTGGGCAATGTAATCGTGGGCAATGTACTCGTGGGCAATGTAATCGTGGGCAATGTAATCGTGGGCAATGTACTCGTGGGCAATGTAATCGTGGGCAATGTACTCGTGAGGTTTAATTCCGACGGGCGGCAATACAACGGTGTTCGAATGCAATGAATTTGGGGACGAGGTGTTCGTATCCAAGTTGACTCGAACTACTTGGGTCGGCCTCGACAGCATCAAGGAATGGGTGACACTCCTTACAGCTGGCAATGGCCTGGATAAATTGGTAGTAAGAGACCCAATCCGGGTTGACGTGATCGGGATGCATATCCAGGATATCCTGAAGAGCCTGGCGCCATTTTCGTACAAGCTCATCGGGATTTGAGCCCTTGTAGCGGTATTGGGTCCATTTAGCGTACATATTGTGTCTCATTTTCAGAGAAGGAGAACCATACACATGTCTCAGTTGGTTGTGGACCGCATGAGATGTGACTCCATAGGTGACGTGAACAGCTATTGGTGCAGAAACAGCGGCTCGAATGTAATCCAGAACGGTCCTGTCCAAAGAGTCCCACTCCTTTTGTTTCCTGGCTCGATGCCTAAGGGCGATGTCAGCGGTAATCAGGGGTGTCGGCACGGTATCCGGATCCTTCATTTCAATGAATGCCATTGAAGCCCGAAAAGCTGCCACTTGATCGGTTTCGTCTTGCAGCTTGTTGATAGCGGCCGAAATTTCGGCTACGTTGGTCGGATCGATGTTTGCGGGGCGATGGTAAGCCCCCGTAAAGATGGGCCAGAGATTCTCCTCCTTGCTTGCCAGGAACTTCTCCAAGTCTCTGTACCAATCATGCCAATTGGAAGCCCCCCTCAGGGTAGGCACTAAGGCTTTGATCTCCCGAGGGCCGGTTTCTGTCATTTTTTGATGATATTGAGGACGCCAGGTTTGGATCAAGAAGTCAGACTGTAAGTGAAAAATTAGTGATGATTGCAAGTATGGTGATATATGATCACGTTTTTTTTTCCGTACGTAAGTGATGATCTCTTCGGACAAGATGTGGTTCTGGTGAATCAAGGCGGAAGTACGCTAGAATAGCGACAGCGAGGGGTTGTATGGCTTCAAAGTCAGGAGTAAATCAACTATGCGTTGGGATAATGTTGTGTGGGAAGTTCATCCCAACCCTCGTTTGCTGTTTCTAGATAGACCCTCTTCCCCGAGTCTTTCTCTCTCTCTCTCTCTCTCTGTGTGTGTGTGTGTGTGTGTGTGGAGCAGTCAATTAATCGGTTCAGTCAGCTTCGTCTTCTGCCCTGTAGGCTCAACAGATAATAGCCTCTTCAGTGAGCTGGATGGCTATTATCTTCTATGAGCACGAGAAAAGGTCGATGTGTTGATGTAGAGGTTGACTGAAGAAGATGGAAAACTATCTGCTACATGTGGGTGCAATGCAACAAGGCAGTACTTTAATTCATCACTACTGTATCACAAAGTATAACTGTCAAAAAAAAAAAACAGATCTTGAGCATGATTTGTCTTACGGAACACCCCAACGACGATGAGTCTGCTCAAAGCAAGATATGCGGCTGTACTCCTGAAGTCGCATGTTGGACAAATACACCATAGTACTTCGGCTAGTCTCTTCGAATTATTCATGCTTTTGACATTTCTCAGATGTGCTCAATTATATTCAAAGATTATTTGCTCCCGGTGCAAGCTTCTGGGTGCACACTTGGCACTGAAACATCAAGCATTGCCCTAAAGATAGAACCGCCCCCAAGATCCCTCCAGGTGGAGACAAATCTCCAACTTCGTTCGGATTGGATGAGACACTGGGGCTAAAGCTGGCCCCTCTTGAATTTTGGACCCTAAAAACTCACATGACAGACGAGGCTCGCAAAATAATATGAGATCGCCTGGATCTTGATTTTACATCCGCCAGCTTTTGTACCATGAGAATCGGCAAGCTATACGTCCTACTGCAACTCCTGCTTAAGCAACCAGCGATCAAGCTCCTGGTATTTGCAAGCTTCATCTATCTACTCGCATTTCAATACTGTCGAATCCATTTCTGGCGCGATCCCCACTCGGCGTTCTTTGACGATCGAGATGTATACGAGTGGAAGTATAGTCTGCTACGCGAGCACCAAGCAAACCACTTCATCTCACTTCACGACGCGCCGTCTGGAGGCAATGACGCCGTTCTGAGCCAAGGTGCGCCCCTTATGTGCGCGGCACTAGCTACCGTCAGACGCGACAAAGACGACTATCTCAGTGCAACAATCGGCTCGATGCTAAGCGATCTCGATCCTCGAGAGCGTCACGCCCTCCACTTATCGGTGTTGTTTGCGAATACCGATCCTGCCCAGCATCCGAGGTGGGATCAGAGATGGCTGGGGCGTCTGGCTGACTCGGTCTTGACATATAATGTCTCCAGTGAAGAGCTAGGTCATCTCCACATGCTGGAAGAAACAGGCAATTTCCACGAAAAAGGTGTTTAGTACGTTCACACATATCCAGGGCCTACTCTTTGCACAAGTCCTCTGACCAATAGCAGTGATTATGTCTATTTGCTCAACCAATGCCTTGAAACGGAGGCGCCTTACATCTTTATTCTTGAAGATGACGTGATCTTCGCAGATGGATGGTTGGTTAAGACCTTCAACAGCCTTCACACATTGTCACATGAACCGACTGATCGAAAAGAGCCTTGGATCTATCTCCGTCTCTTCTTCACTGAGACTGCACTTTCATGGTCAGATACAGACTTCTGGTATCGCAATATGCCACTCGCGTTTGGCTTGGTCATCGGATCAACATATGCCTTCTTACTAGCTCTGCGACGATGGTTGCCCGCACGCTACTATTTTGGATATTGGGTCATAGGTACCATGTGCTTGGTGGTTGCGCCCGCCTTCACGGCCCTAGTCTACATGATTGGGAAGTATTCACTTGCTCCATTGAAAGGCGTGGTGGAAATGAACGACCGCGGATGCTGTACCCAAGGGTTGGTCTTTCCTCGCGAGCAAGTTCCAGCTTTGGTGAATTATCTGCAGGAGAAAAAGGGTGGGCAGACAGATAGTCTCATTGAAGATTATGCCACCGAAAAGGATCTGACGAGATTTGCATTGGCACCTCAGCAACTACAGCACGTGGGGCTAATGTCTAGTCGCAATAATCTAGAGGTCAACACCAAGAGCACATGGGCTTTTTGGTTCGAGGAAAATGATGCTTTGAAATTGAAGGATGAGCATCAAATTCTGATGGCTGCGAGCGATGACAACTGGCGCTTGAATTAGAACCCTCAGTGTCTAGGTCTATACCAGAATCTAGATGAATTTGAACGCCGTTTGTACCATCGAGTATCTCTCGATATACCTGGTTTCTGCCTGATTCCTGCTTTGGTGTCGGGCTTCTCGCGGGCAGAAAACAGCCCTGGGGAGATAACTAGATTGCCAATACAAACAAAGAATGCCAAATGAAGTTTGTGTCTTTAGGGGGGAAAAGAGAGAGGGAAAAAAAAGAATGCCCGATCCTGGATTCACCAGGGTCTCCAGAGGGGAGGCCAGCACACGGTTCAGAACCGGGCTGGCTTCGACCCCCGCTGCGCCTTGAACCACTCGGCCAACCAGGCTTTGTATAGTTATTACAAGTGGATCTTGTCATATAACCTACCTCTTACAGTACATTTTACAATACATTTTACAGTACAATGTATCCACGTAGAATCGGCGACAAGGCAAAGAATAGCTCCATCCGACCTGGCTGCTCTGCCCCTTCGTGTGCCTGCCTTATTCCTCTCGCCGGTCCCCAAAAATGTTGATGTGTTCCTTGATGTTCTCCATTCCCGATACATCGTACATACACAACGCCGAGGGAGCCTCTGAGGTACTTAGTATGAGTCAATGCGGCACTTCATATAAATTGAACCTGTTTGAACATTCATTTTGTATTCTAAACTAGACGCAATTTAACATAAGTATGTTCATGAAAAAGCTCAAAGTCTAGCGTTGGTTGAGAGCTGTGCAAATGCCAGTCCCTTCCAACCAGCTGCTCTAGACTCAGCGCATCTCCGTCGATATTCCACCGCATTACCAGCATATCTTGCAACGCTTCGAACAGTCTTTCCCTTAACATTCTTGTTCACACCAGTCATCCAACTATCAATCTCATTCGACAATGCTCCCTTGCTGCACTCAACAACATGGTCAGTCCATGCCTCGACTGCCTCAGAGGTGGGTTCCACATAGGAGAAGTTGTTGTCCTTGCAGTGCTGCAGAAGCTCTGAAATGACCTCAACGGCATGCTCAATGGTTCGTGGAGCGTTTCCAAAGGGCTGGTGTGGACCCAAGACCATGAACATGTTAGGCATAGAGCATGCTGTCATGCCCAGGTATGTGCGTGGGCGGTGGTCAGCCCAGATGGCGTTTTTGCCTTCTTCGGTATCGCTGGACCCAATGAGAGGTCGGCCATCCTTTCCTTGCCAGTCGACAGAGTTGAATGCACCGGTGATGGCGTCAAAGCCAGTGGCGTAGATCAGTACGTCCAGCTCGTGAGTCTTTCCATCGTTTGTGATGATACCATTCTTTGTTACTCGCTCAATTGGTGTCTTCTGAAGATCAACAAGGTGGACGTTGGGCTGATTGTATACTTCAAAGTAACCACTCTCAAGCGGAACTCGTCGTGTGCCGAAACCGTGGTTTTTGGGAATCAAGCTATCAGCCACCTTGGGATCGTGAATTCTTGCTCGGATCTTGCTGGCCATGAAGTCGGAGTAGAGCTTATTAGCCTCCCGGTTGCTGTAGGTATCGCTGAAAGTACCCAGCCACTTGGCGAAACCAGGCTTTGCGTAAATTTCCTCCCATAAAGCCTGTCGCTCTTCGGCGGATACTTCAAGGGACTTGCGTGGGTCAGCCTGGTGCATGAAGCATGTGGGTGTTTCGGCACAGAGTTTGAAAAGCTTGTCATAGTCTCTGCGGTGCTGCTCCATTTGTTGTGGACTGATGGGCTCGTTGCGAAGTGGGGCAGACCAGTTGGCAGTGCGTTGGAAAACACTCAATGACTTGACAGGCTCCTTTGATACTGCAGTGATGGTTTGAATACCAGTTGCTCCAGTGCCAATAACACCAACTCGTTTGCCAGCCAACCCACGAGTCACATCAAAGTTCTTTGGCCAGCGGGAGGTGTGGAAAGCTTCGCCCTCGAACTTTTCGATGTCGGGGATAGCAGGAAGAGTGGGAGTAGACAGGAAACCCATGCAGCTGACGAAGAATCGAGTCCGGTGGAAAGTGCCCTTCTCATCGCAGAAAAGCCAAGTGTTGTTCTTCTCCTGCCACCGGCCGGTCTTGACTCGGGTGTTGAACTGAATGTCTTTGTTCAGGTCGTGTTTGGCGCAGACATGCTGAATATAACGAAGGACATCATCTTGAGTTGAGAATGTATCTTTCCAGCTCCATTCATTCAAAAGGTCTTTGTCCCAGGAGTATGCATAGGACAAGGATTCGGTGTCAACTCGGGCGCCAGGGTAGCGATTGCAGTACCAAGTACCTCCGACATTGTCGGCGCCCTCCAAGACACCTACTCTCCAAGTCGGGAAGCGCTTGCGGAAGTTGTAAAGCGCACAAACACCAGAGAGACCGGCTCCAATGATGAGGACATCATACTTTTGCTCTGTGTCGATTGAGCTCATGGTGAAGAGTTGTATTCAGGGTTGTTGAGAGGAATGTGATCTTTGGATAATGAGATCGGTGATCTTTATAGACCTGAGATGGAGAACACGCAGATCGAAGAGGACTTGCAACTTTCTGGACATCATTCCGACCGTACATATGCACACCAGCAGTTTTCTCCGTTAATTGCCTATTTGGGGAAGCAGATGACTGCCATTATCTGTACAACACACTAGTCCCAATCGGGCTTATCAGCAATGCTTATCTACCCCGCATTCCTGGCACGTGCCGTGGAGGCTTTCCTCTCTTGGAGCTCATCGTATTCGTATTGGGCAACTACGACTAACCGTACATACTTCAGATCCATAGCACTCGATAACAGCATTCAATGCATCACTCGTGACTGTACCAATCTGGATAGGACTTTCTAATCATTTCGACACCCTAACATCACTTGATTAGCGTTCATCTTCAGATCCACAAGGATGGCATACTACCTTTTCGGCGATCATGTAAACGGCATTCTGAATTCGACAGTCAGGAATAACCGGAATGATGGATGCATCAATGATTCGAAGGTTCTTGGCTCCATGAACTCTCAATTCGGAATCAACAACTCCCTGAGAGATATGCGGAGACAGCCTGGCAGTACCACATGGATCTAAAACGGTAAGCTCAATTTTCTTGGTGTGAGGAATCCTTCACTTACGATATCCAGTCTGTGCCCGGTCTATGACAAGCCGATCCATCTCCTCATCTGACTCCCGAGGCATAGGCCATGGATAGTCTTCCCCGATGATGTCTCTCATTCCGTCGCCCTCCATTAAAATTTGATCGATATAACGGACTCCCTCCCTCAGGGCCAAAATATCAAGTTCATTGGAGAAGTACTTGAGGTTGATGTCAGGCTGCTCTCGTGGATCTGTCGAGTTCAGCCTCACATATCCTTCCTTTGACTGAGGCCGGAGGAGGTCGACGATAACGGTCAACCAGTCCCCTTCTGGTGGGACAGGGAAGTGCCATTGGAAGGCATCGCAAAACATGGGCTGCCTCTGTTAACTGGAGTATTCACCATCATGGCTTTAGGCTTACTTACGACAAAGTCAATTTCGAAATGAGGTTGACCTTCAGGCCCGAATGGATCCTTACCACCATTCTCCTCTTTAGCCATGCGATATTGCGCATGAGCATTGAGCCTTTCATCGATGCGCGGAAAAGCAACCATCTCAAGAAGCCCACTTGCCAACGGACCAGTTTTGTTCTTTTCATACTGTGCTATTGCAGCATCATGGTGGTGTCCTTTTTGAAGTAGGACGTGATCCAGGCCAACTCCATCTTTCAACCTAAACACATGTGGAAGGATCGGATGATCCAGCAAATGCTCACCCACATGCTCACAGATTATCACTGGTGCCAGCCCGTGACGTGCGAGCTCGCGTCTTGGACCGATACCCGAAAGAAGTAACAGTTTCGGCGTCTCAAAAACACCTGCCGAAATGATTACCTCCTTTCTCACTGATATTTTGAGTGGGTTTTGATCTCTATCGACAACAGTAACACTTTTAACAACTGCTGTGCCGTCATTTGTTTCCTGGAAATTGATCTTGGTCGCAACACTGGAGTAAATGATGCTGACGTTATTCTTGCCATTCAGGTATGCCGCACTGTTCGATCGCACACCCCTGTACACCGAGTTGATGCAATGGGTGAGACCGTACACCTCACCGTCATATATGTCCTCTTTGACGACATGGCCTTCGCCAATCCATGCCTTTGTCAATGCTTGTCGGAAGAACTCAGTCTCCGGCAGCAACTCCGCATGGGAGACATGCACTGGGCCATCGAGGCCAATTTTCGAAAACCCTGGGTCGTATAATTTACGATCATCGTGATATGAGGCTGGCTGGAATTTGAAATGTCAACAGATCTCGTTCCTCCAGCCGGACTAACACTTGCCTTCTGAAAGTACTCCTTGCAACTTTGCCAATTCCAATCGGGCCCGCCATACTCCTCCCATGCGTCGAAGGTTCCCTTGCTTCCTCGCAGCCAGGTGAAATAGTTGAGGCTGCTACTACCACCAAGGCACTTTCCGCGGGTATTTGGCTTTTCAACGCGTTCGTAATCCGGCTTGTCTACAAATGTTGTTTGATAAGCCCAGTCAAAACGGCTATTTCGAAGTTCAAACGCCCGGGCAGGCGTCATGACTTCTGTGACATCTTTTGGGTTTCTTATGATATGTCAGTTTGAATCTGCGAATGCTAGAGCATACCAACCCAAGGCCTGCTTCAACTACCAGGATTGTCACATTGGGATTCTCCGCAAGTCTTCCGGCAACGACACTTCCAGCGGTGCCACCACCGATGACGACAAAGTCGTATGTTATCTCAGAGCTTTCGGTCATTTTTAGTCATAGGCACGGGAAATGGCGTGGAGAGATATCTTCTGCTTTATTACCAGGTTTATATAGAGAGTGAAATCCCACCTCAGGCCTCACGACATTGGGCCGGGGTTGTTCAACGGCATGCAGTGTATCTATCCACGGAAGCTCGGATCATCGCAGGCCCAATCAGGTGCCCAGGTGTCGACTTTTGAAGAGCCAGACAAGAGGCAAAGACGTGTAACCTGAATTTATGGCGTTGTGCTGAAAGTCACGAAAAAGTACGAGAAGGATGGCCAGAGTTCAGTCTCTCCATGGGTCGGCTTCGCCTTGGGAGACCGTTTGTCTGACTGGCTCATAACGAATTTTATCATATATAAACAGTAAAAATATACAAGAAAGTAAGTATAGTTCTAAAACTTTAGAATGGGAACAGGAATGGGTCGACTCCGGATTGGCCATCAGTGAGGTACTCTGCAGTCCAGGGGGTGATCCCGTCGTTCAGCATGTTCATCACGGCCATTTCAGCGGGATCCCAAGAGCCACTAGGACCAAATGCCGGGTATTGTGAGAATATTTCATGGCTCAATGACTGATCCTCGGATCTTGGTAAAGGGGCTGCGTTGTCAAATCCATGAATTGTATCAAATCTGTCGGGTCGAGATATAGATGTCTGTTGGAAGTGCTCTTGCTCGGACGGTGCTTGAAGTCCTTGAGCTCGTGTGTTTTGATTCGAAAATCGAGTAGTCCCTCTTGACTGGAACGTGCCTGGTGAAGTTGTGTTGCTAGTCAATGGAGAGTTCGATGCTGATCCTCGTCCGTCTTTTCCATGCAGAGCTGATCGAGCCATGCGATAGATCGCAAGTGGGTTCAACACGGCCTCTGGGGATTCCTGAATAGGCGACTGTGTATCAGATGATCTGATAGCAATGTTAGCCAAATGATTTCTATCGTTTTTGGTTTCCATTAAGTAGGCGGTCTTACACCTCGTCGTTCTCGGGTGATTCTTGATCGCCCGTAAATATGTGCGCGGGGTGAGGGCGCAAACCTGCGGCGGTCATCATCTTGATAACAGAAAGATACTTGGTAAATACTGTCAGCTTGGCACACCTGGAACAATCAGGGGCTCATCGAACTTACACAATGCTCCGCGGTGGCCACAAGAGATCGCATCTGCGTGATTGCTTGCAGATTTCTGTTGACCAAAACCTTCGTTTCTTCTGCCTCGGATGCACTCAACGCAACCGGGGAATCTGTTATATGGTTCAGGTAGTATAGCATAACTTTGGTACTGTCGTGCGCAATAATGCACAGCCAAGTATCTGCCAGGGCGTGAAGTCCATGCCTTGATGCCTCGACGATGATTCTGGAAACTTCCCGGGCACTGTTAAAGCAAACCCTGCGACAATCATCCAAGAACTCTCTCTGTTCCGATGGGAATTCAACAATTCGTCGGATACGGAACAGGGTCGGCATGCCGATGCGATAAAGATCAACGAGAGTTTGGTGATAGGTGCACCAAAGCAAAGTCAATGCGCCCAGCTGTGAGGATTCTTTGCGTGCCCAAATTGCACCTGAATGCCATTTGAGATTTTGTGGTAAGTATCGCTTCCATGACACGAATTCGCGTTTCAATTGCTGAAATTCAGAGTCTGGGTCCCAGGGTGGCTTGGAGGTATCAAGGTGTTTGACATATCTGTCATCATTGTCAGTCACGGATGCAATGTTTGAATGAATAAAAAAATTCGACTTCTCTTACCGAAGAACCCGTTTCCGAATGCTCACCAGGCGAATGAAATATGCCTCGATTCCCATATTTTCAGCGGGTCGGAATTGGATTTGTTCTTGAGAAATAAATCCGAGCACCCTTCCTTCTTCCAAGACCTCCGTGATACATGGGGTTCCTAAAGAGAAATTGTGGCTGTGACAGGGGAGCTGAATCTTCAAGTCTTTGTCTTCAAGAAGAGTGAGCTGGTTGACACCACTACCCACCCAGCTATCCATCACATAGCAACTCCACATGATGCGGCGCTTAGATTCATTAGTAATTGGAGAATTGGACTTGGTATCGCACAGAATGTCGACGGAGCTTTCGAGATTGAGTTGCAAAGCTTGTGAGATTCTAGCAGTGAGTCCACTGAGAATGAACGCACTTGCATAGCTTCCCACTCGAAGATCATGGTCATAAAGGAGAATTGCAGTCTTTCGGTTGTGTCAGCATTCGTAGCCATGAGTTATACTGAGAACTTCTGTTGTAATCCTACCATCAACTTTTCAATATTCAGATCGTCTAAATCGGCAAATATTCGAGATTTAGCAACTTTGGCCCACTGATTGCCGGCGCTGAGAATCAACTCCGGCGAGAGTCTTGAGATATAATCAAGAGCTAGGAACCTGAAAACTGTGAGCATAACAGTAACAGAATGGGGTAGAGTAGGATGGCTCACTTTGCTCCCAATGCGCAAATAACGTGAAGAAGCGACTCTTCATTCCGGCATGAATCCAAATCCTCGTCCAACCGCTGCATAAATGTCGGCTTATGAACGAAGCCGAAGCAGCGCAAAGGGTGAACATGAGTAAAATATTGATCCACCAAGATCATGATGTGCTGTTTATCGGGTAAGTGTGGTGAATGAAGCCTAGCCAGATTAGTGTTGGTGTTGACAAGCAAAAGTTTGCAAAATTCCGTACCATGACATTGAGTCAGATGTGATTTCGGTGGGTAGCTCTAAGTGAGACTTGGTCGTATGTAGGTTGCCCTGGATATCATTGAGATTTGATAGTCCGCGAATCTCATGTTGAGATTCCAACGTTGGTTTGCTTTGTCTGTTCTTCACACGATCTATGCCATATATGCACTCCAGATTCCTGCGGGTGCATCGCGTACAAGCGTCCCCCCCGGAGCATCTCGACTTTGCAACGCGACAAGCATAACATGATTTCGATACTCGATGACGAGTCGTGCCAGCTTGAGTCAATGTCGAATCACGTCTGGCGTTCCTGGGAAATCTAGTGGCAAAGCCACCTTGACTTGGATGGCCAGGACACTCTAGTCTCAGCCGCTCACAATTGGAGCAGGTTGGCCACCGCTCGTCGCACTTGACCTTACGTGCGCGACACAGCAAACAGCCTAAAATTGTTAGCCCCCTGCATATACTTCTTGGCATGGAATGACAGGTCGAGCTAACCTGATCGAGATCTACGCGTGCTTCCCGGCGCGTTCCCCTGCCGAGGTGTCGCCGGGGATTCTCCATCTCCACTCCACGATAACATGATATGCCGACTGCCGACGCGAAGAGGAAAATCAAAAGCGAGAGCAGCACAGGAAGAATAGAAGCGAAAGTCGGATGTCGGCTGGATGTCGGCTGGATGTCGGCTGTGGCGGGGAACCATGGCAAAACCCAACAGGCCGGTTGAACTATGTGGAGATCTTGCATGTCAGGACCCTGACAGACTGAGCTTGATACTAGTACTGTCTGGCTACAATTGCGGGGGAGATTTGAGGCTCAAGGTCGAGCTATTCATGCCGTTGCTGCAGGTGCAGTGATAGCTCTCATGGTCACTGTTTTGGCTAAGCCCTTGCTTAAGCTCAACTCACATGGACTGTCCTGTTCTAACAAACCTGAGATATTGCTGTACATCTTCTCCTCAAACGCATAATTCTAGATTCCACAGCCCCGATCTCACCATTGTGTCGCCATTTGACGTTTCTTCTCCTGGTGACAGCAACCCCGGATGTCGGCTGGAGGGACGGATATCGGCCTCAGACACAACATCATTGGACAACGAGGGAAATTCTGAATATCTGATCGCAACGAGTGGAGCTACATAAAAATCCGGGGCCCCAGAGATATAACAGTCATTGCCATGTTCTATGGGCTTTTCTGTTCGTCACAGGTCCTCTGATACCTGCCAGGATGGACAAAGTACCGAAACTCAGCAATGTGTACATTGTCAGCGGGCTGGCGACCATCGGTGGCCTGATTCAAGGATTCGATGTCTCCAGCATGTCAGCCATCATTGGCACTGATCAGTACAAGTCCTACTTCCACAAACCCAACCCAGTAGCCCAAGGAGGAATCACAGCTAGTATGGCTGGTGGCTCTTTGCTTGGGTCTCTTTTCTCGTCATGGACAAGCGATCGATATGGCCGCCGTGACTCACTTTTCATCGCCTGTATCTTGTGGCTGATTGGTTCGACTTTGATGTGTGCCGTGCAAAATGTTGCTATGCTGATTGTATCCCGCATTATCAATGGCTTTGCCGTTGGAATACTCACCAGTCAAGGGTAAGACGTCTTCAGGCGATTTTGCCACCATGGCTAATTTTCATCTCAGTCCCATCCTGATTGCTGAAATCAGTCTTCCACACCAACGTGGTAGACTTCTCAGCTTGCAACAATGGATGATAACTTGGGGAGTATGTGGATTCGATCTATCTTGTGACAACATGGCTAATCTGTCTCCAGATTCTCATAATGTACTTCATCTCATATGGCTCATCATTCATGAGCACCAATGCTGTTTTCCGTCTTCCTTGGGGTCTCCAAATGATCCCAGCTATTGTTCTCTTGGCCTTCCTGCCTCTGATGCCCAGGTCCCCACGTTGGCTAGCTACACAAGACAGATGGGAAGAAGCAGTGGAAATACTCGCACGGTTACACGCGAACGGCGACACTCTCGATCCAATTGTGATAGCACAAACTGCCGAGATTCGTGATAAGATTGAGTACGGCCCGTACCGGGAGATTTGAATTTCTACATGTGCTAACCGACTTAAAGATTTGAGCGACAATACCAGAGCACTTCCTGGATGGAGGTATTTAACTCCCGAAACATCATCCGCGTTCATTGCGGTATCTTCACTCACATTTGGTCCCAACTGAGCGGGACAAACGCCATGATGTACTATATTGTCTACATCTTCCAGGTAAGATTGCATCTTCCCTCAAATATGCCATCGCTGACATATACTAGATGGCTGGATTAAATGGAAACAATGCCCTCCTCTCTGCGACTATTCAATATGTCATCAATGTGGTCATGACGCTGCCAGCGCTGATTTTCATCGACCGCCTCCCGCGCCGCCGGCTTTTCATCGCAGGTGCACTCGGCATGGCTGTTCTTCAATTTACACAAGCAGGTATCATGGCATCATATGGCGAGCTTGTGCCTGGTGGATTGAAAGGCTCGCCGACGGTCACCTGGAGAGTCACCAACGGAAAGGCATCAAAGGCAGTCATCGCTTGCAGTTACCTGTTCATAGCTGTCTATGCACCAACCTGGGGGTAAGTATTTGGAATCTTGTTGAATATAACATATTGTGAGCTTACATCTATCCTTTAGACCTTTAGGCTGGGCCTATCCACCTGAGATCATTCCTCTTTACATTCGCAGCAAGTCAGTCTCCCTGGCTACGTTCTTCAACTGGGCTTGTAATTTTGCCCTTACCTTCTTTACGCCGCCCGGGTTCCAAAACATCCAATGGAAGGTTAGTCTACAGTCCTGGTTTGAGGCCAGATCCATTGCTAACATGAAAAACAGATCTATTGTGTGTTCGGCACTTTTTGCACCGTTGCTGCATTCCACGTGTTCCTGCTGTTTCCAGAGACCTGTGGCAAGTCGCTGGAAGAAATAGATGAGGTTTTCAACAACCAGAGCATCTGGGCCTATAAGTCAAAACACGTTCCGAGTCGACTAGCTGCCGATATCGAACAGGCCAAAGAGGATTTGAGCTCGGGCAAGGTTGGTAAAGGCCATTCTGAAGTTGCGAAGACTGAATATTCGGGATAGTTGTCATATAACTCCGTAATAATATCATATTGTTTCTCCTGCAGTCAATGTCGAATTTGATCCGCAAAGTCAGAAATCCAAGATTGATCAATAATGGCGTGGGAGGTACGGAGTAGTCAAATTCTAGTTGCCGGAACCACATGTTAACTACGTGCACAATACCAACCAGATCCAGGAAGCAGGAGTCCAAATTTTGCGACATTTCGATTAGCCCATGATCAAATGCAAGCGAGTGGAACCGCATCAGCAGGCACAACATGCGAGGTTGGCGAGATCCGGCCGAGATCCGATCACCAGAACATCTATGATCGCCCCAACCAGCCGACATCCGGTGATAGTGAGTCTAAGCTAAATAAGAATCGCGCTAGATCCCCAAAATACGCCTCAAAACAGAACAAGTCTACCAATCTGTTCCACAGGGATCCTGCACAAAACAATGGCCAAACGCAACATTCTCCTTATGATCGCCGACGATCTCGGCAAACAACTAGGCTGCTATGGAAATACCAAGATCCAAACGCCGAATCTGGATCAACTCGCCTCTGAAGGAACCAGATTCGATCAAGCATTCACATCCACTGCATCTTGCAGTGCTAGTCGCTCGGTCATTTATACTGGATTGCACACGCACCAGAATGGACAGTACGGGCTTCACAATGGTCGTCATCACTTCACGACTTTTGATCACGTGGAGACTGCACCGTCTCTTTTCTCGAAGCATGGGTATGCCACTGGGTTAATTGGCAAGGTCCATGTTGGTCCTGCAGAGGTGTATCCATGGGATATGCGAGCCGAAAGCGATAGTCGGGATGTTGCAGCTGTTGCAGATCAGGCATCTACATTTTTCCAAACGTCCCGAGATGAAGAGAAACCATTCTTTTTGACGATTGGATTTATCGATCCTCATCGTGACTGGACTCGGTCCGGGTTCGGGAATGATGGTCAATATGATCGCGTCAAGAAGGTGAATTACACACCTGAGGAAGTGGAGGTTCCGCATTTCGTGAACGATCTCCCTGGTGTGCGGTACGAGTTCGCGGAATATTATAAGTCTATTTCAAGACTGGATCAGGGGGTTGGCATGGTGATGGACGGATTGAAGCAGTCCGGACTGGCGGATGATACATTGATGATTTTCCTGAGTGACAATGGGCCTCCATTCATCAATTCCAAAACAACACTATACGATGCTGGTGTCAGTTTGCCTATGATTGTGAAATGCCCTGGATCTGCTGCCGGTGTCGTTAACCCGAATATGGTCTCATATATCGACATTCTGCCGACTCTGCTTGAATATGCAAAGCACCCGAGCCCCAATCATCCAGCCCGGATAGGAAGATCATTCCTTCCAGTTCTCGCTGAGACATCAGCCCTGGATGATTGGAGCCAGATCTTCGGATCACACACATTCCACGAAGTCACCAACTACTGGCCCACGCGCATGATGCGTAATCGCCGCTACAAGTATCACCGCAATATTGCGTGGAGGCTTGATTTTCCCTTCGCGGCGGATATATATGGCTCACTTACGTGGGAGGAGATTCGGAATGCGGATACCAGTCCGAAGATGATTGGGTCGAGGTTGTTGAAGGATTACTTCTTCCGTCCTGCTGAGGAACTGTACGATATCAACGATGATCCTAATGAGGTTCGCAATTTAGCGAAGGATCCTGAGTATCAGTCTGTTCTCGAAGAGATGAGAACAGCGTTGGAGAAATGGCAGCGCAGAACTGAAGATGCTTGGTTATATCGGGATGGTGTTTCCTTGCTCTTCGTTAGGCATCATCTTGAGGCTGGGTTGGAGGTTCCTGATCGTTTGGACTTTGATGTTGCCGTTCCAGAGAGCAAGGGACAATCTAAGCTTTCTGGTGATTTGGGATGGGGTGTTGCTGCAGACAAATGATATACATCGATTTGTTTCATGGAGGTAGCGAAAGAGCTGCGTATCATGGATGTGTCTGATTATATGTCTATACTTCCGTGCTGCGCTCATCTAGTTAGTTCAGTTAGCAGTGTCACTTAGCGAAAACCTCAACAGTCGGGCTGTGTATGCCGATCCCACCAGCCTGTTGGAATCGGAAAAAACATGAGATGGGAAACATGTTGCTGCTTCGATAATACAATAAGTTCCCGCCGGCTGAGTGGCATGTATATATTCAGAGTTTCATGATATTGATAGGAGATGTGAGATGCGACCGAAAAAATACGCCAATGAAAGCATAACCCACAGGGTTCATAGAGAGGCTCAATAAACAGACATTGCGCATTCGTTCAGTGTTCATGCAAAGGTCAAAAAACAACAAAGATAAATGAGACATGGCGCCGAGAAATGGGCTCCATAAAACACCACCCAGAACCCCATCTATCGAAAATGAGGGATGTGCCCGCTGCAAGGTGTAAAATGTTCAAACCTCACCCCATGTGCCGAGTCCTGCTCCGACACCAATAGCACTATTGGTTTCACTGCCGCCAATATCCCAGTAATTGCGACTGGATCCTGTCATAGTCCGTCGGCTTGAGATCGCCGAAAGCTTGGCGCTTTGGCTGGCACAGCTGGAGCTAGGGCGACGGAGATGGGGTCGAAGTGGTGCTGAGACTGCTGGATTTGACACGCCTGAATATTGGGACTGGCGACGCGTCTGGGTTTGGGATCGGGAATGGGCCCGCGCCACAAGTGGGTGATGGTGCCGAATGATGGCCGCGCGGCGTGATGCATCCTGAGTTCGGCGGGGCGGGGGCGGTGTGTGAGTGGTATGTGTGTCGTTGGGCATATATCCTCGACGGCTGAAGCGGTTGCGCAGATAGCGGAAAACCATCATGACGTCAAGACCGCGCTCCCAATACTCTGATTCTTGGAGCTTTGTTGATTCAGCCGTAGAGTCAGATGGCTTGGGGTCATCATCCTCAATGCCCCAGTGGGCTTCATGCTCTCGATTTGAGTCGCGAAGAGTGGGGAGGAAATGTGGAGACAGCATAGACTCGCCAGCGGTGTCGGTAGCAGTCGGTGTGGTAGACTCCGCAGGACCTTGAGTCACGCTGCTTTCTGCGAGACGGTTCAAAGGCATGCCAGCATACTCTGCAGATATATCTTTCGTCATCTGATAATAAGTCGTAAAAGCGCCCGGGTGTTCACAGAGTTGATTCACCAGAACACCCAGCTCGTGGGCAATATGTTGAAGCACCTTGCTTTGCCACGGCGGCGTATCATTATATTCTGGCTCCGGCTCGCGGGCTAGTACTGTTTCCATGTTAAGAGGATCTTCTTGGGGTTCATTGAAGGCGTCCGGCGGCAATGATTCCCCTAATATAACTGAGAGCAAGGCATCATCAATCCCGATGAGGTCACGGATCACCTTGCGCGTGATGCGGCGCCAGAATGATTCTTCGTCTTCCGATACGCCTTCCGGAGGCGGTTCAGCGCGGGATATACTGGAAATGTCTGCTGGAGTGGGCTGGCCCACAGAGCGGTCGACGGAGCGATCAACGCTCAAACGGCTCGTCCGACTGGTCCTTCGCTGACGGGTCTCTCTCTCGATTTCTTGGAACAAAGCCCTGCTCTGATCCATGCGCCACTCCTCGATTCTCTGCCAACGCTCTCTTTCGACGTTTGCTTCCCTTTGTTCGGCGGTGTCCAGGTGCCTTTGCACACTCGACTGGCGGCGGTGTTGGAGGTGGGCGTAGGACAGCCTCTGCGGGTTATACTGTTCATGCTGCCATAGCTGTTCCTGCACCGCCTGGCTGGATGCTTGGAAACTGCCTAATCCGTCATGGGCTGGGAGCAAGGCTGGTGGACCCTGGTCCACCCTTGTGGGGGAGGTTGGGCCCAACGAAGGAGCCCGAAAGGCGTGTAATCCTTCATCCAGACTATCCAGCTCGGTTCCGTCTTCGTCCAGTTGGTCGAGGGTATCTGACCCCTCACCGTCCACTCCCGTGGCAGACCGAGTCGCTGCAAAAGAGCCGAAATCGCTTAATCGAGTAGCACCTACGGTGCGAGTGCGTTCAGTCGAGGTCGTGTGCGTGCGAGCGGTGGGCGAGAACAGCACCCATTGCGCGGTGTCATCGTCGGGCTGCCCTCGGGAGGAGGTAGGGATATCGAGAGCTGGCGGTTGGGGACTCGAGTAGGAGGTCCTGCGGCGAGGAACGTGCGGGACCTGGAAGGCCATCTTGTTCCTGATCTGGTGGCAAAATAGACAGAGGGCTTAACGGGTGGACCCACGAGAGATCACAGCCGTTAGAGGGAGAGGGAGAGGATAGTATACAGAAGCAAGAACAAGTTCAAAGACAGGGGAATCAAAAGAAAAGAGGAAGTAAAGGGAAAGGAAGCAAGGGTATGGATGATACGTCGAGATTAGCTGATAAGCGGAAGATGCAGCCCGACAGATCAGATCGATGATGCAACCGGTATCGGAATGAGGCCACTTGTTTTTCTCCTTTCCTTTGTCAATTACCCTTATTCTTAGTATTCTTAGTATTCTTAGTATTCTTAGTATTCTTACTCTAGTACTCTAGTACTCATGCGTACTAAAGCCTGTTGGACAATCACATCAGCCGACAGGGGTCACCAGGATCGACGCGGTGACGTGTGAATCTATACGGTGTACGGAATACCGGTCTATGCTTAAGTAAATATTTGAGCAAAAAGTAGCACGGTGTATATGGTAGCAGGCTGTAAGGCCCGGGACTCGAGCTTGAGAAGTTTCTTCACTCTGTGCTCCTTACTCTGTACTCTGAAACTACTTAGGTAGCAGATAACAGAAACAAACACCTGCCAAGCCCGGCTAATTCCCCTCCGAGTCGGGAGATCCTCCACTCGAACATACGAGTAGACAATCTCCTGATTTGTGTCATATTTGTGATTATCACTGACACTTGTTGCATGCCGAGAGATGGAATTATTCCAACAGCTCATCCCATATCAGCCTCCACATCTCACCACTGTCTCCTTTTTGAACATTCCGACCGCAAGCTCAGGATCACTTCCAAACCCGAGGGTGAAATTGGTGAAGTCTGTCAGCCTGGCCAGTGAAATCCGTCCTTCGTGGCAGACGCCAGTTTCGCAATGCCGTACATGAAGTTGACCGCGCTTTGTACCTGATGCAAATTCTCCGCAGAGGATGTGGTATGTTCAATGGTTAGGATATCAAGCAATTCCTACTGCGTGGCTCCAGGCCGAGATTCGTTCAGGTCGAACTTTAGAATAAGCTGGTTCCAGCACTTCGGTGATGACTTCGTGGAGTCTGGGATATACAATCCATTCGCTGGATGGAAGCATTTTGACAACGTCCTTTGCCTGCCATTCTCCTGTCCAGTTGATCCGGGGAGTAGCGTGACTTGCTTGGTGAAATTGTCCGTCATCGCCAGGAGGTAATGCCTTTTTGAAACCCGAGATAGGTGGAAGTGGATGAACACCCTGGGGAGCTGATAGAAAACCCTCCATTCGGAGTATAGTAACCCACCCGTCACCCGTGTACAACTCATTCGTTGAGTCACACATGGAATATCAACAGTGCCCTGGACAAATGTGCTGATGGCGCGGTGACGGATGCCCATAGAGGAGGCAAGAGAGGCTCAACAGAAGATATAAAGATTAAGTGGGCATAGAGAAGAAAAGTATATAAACAGTAAGAGAATATCAAGAGCGAAGAGTATAAGGCAAGAGCGACATCTGACATTGGAAGGCAAGAACAATGTGTGGGAGAAGGACATAATGATAGTTTTCCATCGGGGCTCCTGAGCCAGCCTCACCAACATAGCAAAAGTCGATTTTGCATTGGCAGAAGTTTTGGAATTTAGTCAGTTAGCCAGGTTTGTTGGACAAATTAGTCTGGTTGTGGCGCTAAGCAGTAGGGGTATATTGTCTATAATATAAGATATTCTAGCCTGCTAATCAGAACCAGCCAGCGCCTCACCCACCCAGTCCATTTGCACAGCACTGACGCCACGCGCGTAACTGCGATTCGTGAACACGAACTCGTTGTACATAATTGCCTCGACCTTCTTGCCGTACAGCACACTTGAAGGATGGATGGCGACAGTCTGGTTCCCGACAATAGTGCGGTAGCTGCCATCGGGCACAAGACGTGCAGTATTGGTAGCGAAACCAGCCAGGAAACTGCGGAGAATGAGAATGGGCGAGGGATCGTAGACTTTGGTAGAATTCAGGGCCTCATTGGTGAGGAGCTTGGCTTGTCGACATTGGGTGCGGAGTTGTTTTCGGACATCCTGTTGTACTCTGGTTAGCTTGTTTTCATAATGAGATGCGGTGGACTGTATACTCACCATTACTGATTGCATTGCTCGATGTGAAACCAGATGGCGCTCTGCCCAGGCCTTGCGATCGGCGTGTTCGGCGGCGTAGACTCGAACGGTTGTCATCATTGTCAAATGATCACCCTCGCGCCGGTATAGATCGCGACGCGCGGCCTCTGCTGCTTCTTTCTTTTCTTCTGAAGTAGTGTTGAGGAAAATGTTCTCCACACTGAGACAAGAGATAATGTCGATCACATCCATTAGACATTCAGGGCCGTTCTCAGCAGCTGCTAGAAGGACGCGTCCCAGAGTTGGTGTCAAGGGCAGCTTGGCAATGTGTAAGCCGACGGCGCTAATTGATCCAGACTCTTCGAGGGCATTAATATTCAGAAGTTGCAAGAGAGCCTTTTCCAATGCCTCACGAGGTGGGCGAGTCAGGAATGGGAATCTGACAATGTCATCAACGCCACGGGCCTTCATATTGAGCAGGGCTTGGCTGAGATCACATCGAAGGATTTCAGGAGTATTGGTCTCATCGAGAGCCAGATAATCCTTTTCAGTATACAGCCGGAAACATTGTCCAGGAGCCTCACGACCTGCGCGGCCCTTTCTCTGGATCGCAGCGGACTTGGAGATGGGCTTGACCAGAAGCGAATCCAACCCAAGACGAGAACGGAATTGCTTGACCTTGGCCTTGCCACAGTCAATAACATGTCGAACACCGGAGACAGTAACTGATGTCTCGGCAATGTTGGTAGACAGTACGATTTTGCGAGTTCGCGGCGGGGCAGGAGCAAAGACGCGCTGCTGGGCTGCCTGTGGAAGCGCTGCAAACAGAGGCAGGACCAAGATTTTAGGAAGTGATGGATCCATTCCCATAGCATACTCATTCACGAGATGCTCCAACGCCTCCACGGTTTCTTGACCAGTCAAGAAGACAAGAATGTCACCGGGCATGGGCTCCTTTTGATGGATTTGGAAAATAGTCTTAAGCGCTGCATCCACAAAGTCATGCACGGGCGCAGGCGAGTAAATTGTTTTGACAGGGAACTGACGACCTTTGATATGACAGATGGAAATCGTCTTCGAGGTTGAAGTTTCCATTTTATCATCCTCGTCTCCATTCCCAATGGCCTTCTTTTCGGCCTCGGGAACTTTGTATCCATCCTGGAAGAAGCCAGTCAAGCTCTCCATATCTGCAGTGGCACTCATGACCACCACCTTCAGCGGGACACCACCACGGCCCTCAAGAGTCCCAGAGACAAGGTTTCGCAAGAAACCCAGCGTCAAATCAACATTAATACCACGCTCGTGGACCTCATCAACCACAATAGCGCTATACTTCGTCAAGTAGGGATCATGCAACATCTCTTGAAGCAGCATACCCTCCGTCAAAAACTTGACGCGAGTACTAGGCGAGACGGATGTATCGAATCGCACCGAGTAACCAACTTTGCTAGCCGGCGAGTGGTTTCCAAGCGGTGTGCCCATCTCCTCCGCAACACGACGCGCCAACGAAATAGCAGCGACTCGTCGAGGCTGCGTAATAGCAATGCACCCGCCGACAGTCTTCTTCTCAGTCTTTCCATCCCGGGTAATCTCCGTGGGTACAGGCCGACACCAGAATTCATCAACCAGGAACTGGGGAATCTGGGTACTCTTTCCGCTACCTGTCTCACCAACCAAGAGCATAACATCCTGTTCGCGGAGATTGTTTCGGATCAAGTCTGCGTTTTCGAAAACCGGGAGTTTCCGCCGTGTCTCGAGCAGAGCCTTGGCCTTTTCGCGTAGGGGTGTGAAATTGGTTTTGGTGTCTGTGAAGGGTTTCGATTTCGGCCTCGGGTGTAGCTTCGAAGCTGGGGCGCTGGCAGGAAGAGGCGCGCTCTTTTCCTCGATTTGTGTGGCTGGCTTTGAGATTTCGGCCTGCTTCACAGGTGATGCGGTCTCATTTTGCTCGCGATCGGCAACCTTCGGGGCCTCGGGCTCATCGAGCTTGCGCTTCTTGCTCCGCTTCTTCTTGCGGGCGGGTTCTTCTTGGGGTGTTGTGACGACCTTTTTCTCTACTTTCTCGTCGTCCGAGTCAGCGAACACGGTTCGAACCTTCTCCGGCATTTTGTGGGGTAAGCAATGTTGTCAAAGACCGAGACTCGAGAAACATCGTGAAATTTTTCCGCCGTTATCGATTAGCGATAACACGATAACAGCTTCTTATCACCATGCTACCACGTGACTGCAACTGTGGGTCCATTCTGGTCAACATAGTCAACTGGTGTATGGAGTACGGGCTACTTTCGACTTAATTGGTATCAAGGCAAAGGCTAGAAACTGCGATATTCTGGTGCTAATTTTTTGAGATAAGACTTATGACTGGATCTGAATACCCAGTGTCTCATCATTTGTACTATGCCTTGCAAACAAGTTTGTGTTGCTTCCAATCCTTCTTCTGACAATCCTTCGAGCAATATTTGGTCGTGTGACAGCGCGAACAATTCATCAAGTCCGAGCCATCAGGCCTGCTAGGATTACCGCAAACCTGGCAACCACCTGCTTCTTCGTCAGGAGTTTTGGCAGTAAACCCAGAACCAGATAGATCGAGAGGACTCTCAACAAGCGCCGAGGTAAAAGCAGGAGAGACAGAAACCCGGACAGCATATTTCGAAAGACCCTTCCAGCCAGGGAAGTCAGGCATGAAATCCTTGGGTAGTTTACCCTCACCGCAAGAACAGAGAACCCTCTCGCCAAATCCGGTTGAGATCGGGATTGCGCCTCTGGACAGGTACTCGCAGCTGGACTTGTGGGACCAGGACCGACTACGCTCAGACCAGGCTGGCAGTGATTCTTTCCAAAGCTTGACCTCAGACTTGGGGGTGGAGATTGCTGCTGGGGCGTGACTGCTTCCCTGAATCGCTTGTAGAGACGGCAGAATGGTTTCCATCAGATCAAGGCGCAGGGGTAGGACTGCTGCATCGAGAACGGGAGTCCGATTCGACAGGTCGAGTCGCATCTCCGATAAAAAGAATAGCATCTGCACACCTCCTTCATCTGCGCTGTTAATTGCGTATACGGATGCGTGCTTTCCTTGGACTCCGGTGAATCCCATGAACATGTGGTACAGCGAATCTTTGAACTCAACCTTGGCACGCAGATTCGGTGTTGCGGGCAATGAAGGATTGAACTTCAGAGCACTTTCTTTGGATGACCACATGGTTGGCAGATGATACTTGAGCCAATTGAGTCGCTCGGATGATGTATTTGAGAGATCGATCTTTGGAAGCGAAGCAATGTTAAGATGCGGCATGTTCCAAACGGCGGGAGAGCCAGAGTCCACGTAGACCGGATACATGAACGACTGGAGATTCGGCCAGTCATTCGATTTCGCAACGTCTGCCACAATCTCGAGGAATGATGACTTGCGGGCAACTCGGATCTTGGCAGTCGAGCTCAAGACAGGAGCAGGGAAATTGGCGGCGTATTTTGGCCCTCGCTCGAGGGACAAAGTATAATTGAATGGCGATCTCATTGATTGGATGACTTTACTTCCCTCCTGGAGGACCTTCTTTGTCTCCTCGGAAAGAATCTGGACGTGGCTGGTGAATGATGAGATATGACCGGAATTGTCAACACTGGCCGTCACTGTTGACTCGGAGTTTCCTTGAGGGTCGGTTTCGTTCGTGGCAACGCCAGGGGCAAAGCCATCGATGGAGATAACCTTGCTCTGGTTTGGCAAGGTTTTAGTGATATGAACATGGTCAGAATCCCGTTGTTCTGTAGTGAAAACACTCAGGTTTTGTCCCAGGGTACTGGCAAAAGCAGCCACCGTGTGAGCGCTGTGAGGGAGAGACAGCGAGACGGTAGCCGTCTGAGGCTCTTGGAGTAGGATCCAGGTGGGCACGTAGAAGGAGACGAACATGGACGATTTTCCGGACCACCCCAGCTCGTCCTCGCGGATCTCAAGCTCATAAAGGTCGCTAGATTGAGCTCCCTTGGAGTCCAAGCTACCGAAGGCAACCTGAGTGGCAGCAAACATGTTTTGCCATTGGTTCTCTGATTGTGGGGAGGATTGTAAAGTTCCCTGGATCGCAGATGTGAATCCCTTCTTCATCGACTCTTTGATGAAAGGATCCAGTCTGTCTCTTGGGACCTCGAGTGTCACACTAACCACCTCTGGAATGTTTTGCCATTGCTGCAGAATCCCACTTCCCTGAGGACCGACTAATGCGCCGGGCGGATTTCGCAGGACGTCGACCGAGTAGAGACCCATCATGTGCGTCCACAGATTCAGCTCTTGTGTGTAAGTATGAGAGAATGCGAGCCTTTCATCTCCATCTATGAGCTCTAGCAATGCGGTCATCATTTGGTTCCAGTCAGTCTTGACCCGGGACTTCACAAGACATAGAAGAGCGACAAAGCTTGCTCGGTGATAGGTAGGCACCGACGGTCTCGAGTTGGGTGTTTTGTTCATGCTGGCGAGCAGCTGCGTGACATCCTCGTCGGCGAACATTTTCAAGTAGATTTGGAGGAGGGCATTTGCCAGGTGAGCAGGATCAAAGTGGATGAGCGCTAAGCTCTTCTCGGCCGTAGCAGAAGGGTTCATTGGCCTTTTCCACGCAATTCTCGCGAACAACTGAGTTCCATTTTTGCTGGAACCCATTACAAGTGCTTCATCGCCCGAGGAGAAAGAAGCTGCATTTGTCACGACCTCCACAGGTGTCAGACCAAGAAGCGATGACACCGTAGTCAAGTCGCCGCACAGAATGTTTTCAAGGAGCTCGTTGTGATCTCCGTGCGCTTTGACGAGTTTCTCTGAGAACAGTGTAGCAGAGAAGGTATTCCGAAGAAGTGGCGAAGTAGCAACCAGCATGTTCAAGGCTCCGAGGTGATCAATCAGGTTGGACGTATCGATGATATCAAACACGCAAGGCGCAGAGCCATTGGCGTATTCTTCGTCATTCAACTCCAGTGGCTCGAAGTGGTATCTATCACGGTACCAATTGGCCTGCTTTGATGAACCGGTGCTGCGCACATGCTGTAGCGCGTACGCAAGGGCCACTGCATCTCCAACGAAGAAGCGCAGCTTCACCAATCCAGCAACACAGTGAGCCCGGAATGATCGCATCCAGCTGCTGAACTCGTTTCGCGCAGTCCAAACAATATCATCACCCGTAGGCTTTTGCGGGGATGCGTTTGCTAGTGGCGACGGTTCCTTGACCGGAACGTAAGCGGCTCCAAGGTGGAAACCTGACAGTGGATCGATGCCGTAATGTAAAAACATGTTTCCATCCTGCGGTGTGAACATGGGGTTGTATTCAGTGGCATCGGATCGGGCTTTTGGATCACTGTCGGTAGTGCCGAACTCCCAATAGTCATTGTACAGGCCGCCGAGGTCAGACATCGCGTCGAGGCAAGCGGGCGCAGCCGCGCGTGCACTTGTCACAACATTTCCGCCCTTCCCTCCGAGAACTGCCTTCTTATACTCTTGTGATTTGCGGATGCCGGACTCAACCTTTGTCTTGTAGGCGGAGAGATCATCTCCCTCTCTCTTGGCTCCGTAGAAGCCCCACATGCCTCGTACCCGTTCAAGGGAGATGCGGTCGCAGATTTTGACATGTGAACTATACTGACTCTGGTGCCATGAATCCAGTGAGTCGGACAGAGATAACAGCTTGGCTGTCTGGCTCTGCAACAGGTCAAGTGAACCTTTGTCGATGCGGAAGTGATAGAACAGATTCCAGATGGTGTCCTCGTTGGTACCCTCTACGTCATCCAGAATCAAGGATAACAAAAGCACATTGCGAGCTGTTTCCATGTTAGTTCAGCTTGTTGATTCCAAATTGAGGGGGCCATCGTACCTATCACAGCGGTATCCACATCGCAACAAGTGAAGTCCAATTGACGCTGATCACGGACTTCCTGCTCGTTGTTGATGGTAAAGAGAATATGACGCAGATCTCCACATCCGAGAAGAAGGATGTCTGCTTTTTCTTTTGGTGGTAAATCCTGGGCGAGGGATACTGCAGGGGTGTTTCCGATGGGGTAGAAGAATTGCACCAGATTGGCGATCACCGGTGCCAACATGATGAAGGGTTTGATGGTATTGACAAGTAATATCGTTTGAGCCTCAGTTGATGAAGGTGAGACTGTTGATTCCAGTCATTGGCGATGCAGAAGGGGGAGAGAGAAGAAGAGGATTCGGCCCCGCCAGTGGGGCTGCAAACGCGGGTGTTTTGATTTTCTTCTCGACTTAACGAGATCAAATAGTATTGTTCACGACTCCTCTAGACTTCTACCTCACTTGGCATACTTAAACCAGCATAGCCTCGGTGGAGAGAAGCTTGAGCCTCAAACTAGGCTTAGTTTAATTTTCAGCCATGCGGGGACCCTGGACTCCCCGTTCCGCTGGCCTAAATACCCGTGGACCTCACCTCCAGAATGCTCTTTACCGGACATATTTATCGCAAGAATTGATTCTTCACGCCAAACACTTCTCGTTATACTTTATGGACATCTAGTGTACTCAGCACGGAGCACAGTACTGTTATTCGGCGGATCTGCCCTGTTGGGACCGGGGTTAACGCACAAGGTCTTCTTCTCGTGCGCACGAATTGAATCGCCACCAGGGAGGTATACATCGAGGATTATGGATTATGTGCCCGTTGATGCTGCGCTTTGGAAAGTACACAAGTTCACCGTGAGCCGCAGTGGAACTGGTCCTGCGCCACAACGTACTGCGCCAAGATCGACGAAATGTCATTTTTGGCCCCCAGCAGCCCGTGTCAGTCTCAATCAAGTTGACAGCACATAAGAGGCCGTTGACCTCCAATCTCATCAGCTCAGCATCATACAATGTCCAAGCAGAGGAGGCCGATCGGCCGTGGGAGGTCGATACACAACCCACTCCCAGCCTCATTGGCCAGTGCGTAATTCTCCGCTTTTGCTCCTCTTCACCCGCTGACATCTCCACAGGCGAATGTGAGAAGGCAAGCCAGATCCTGGAGTCCTTTGTGCACCCGCGCTTCACAGGACTGGACTCCGGTATCCCGCGCAAGATTCTAGCGCCGGCAAAGGTTAGCTCTGGTCCTCAATGGCTCTGTCCTCAAATTTGAACCCCCCATTGATCTTTGTGTAGGGCCTTGTGATCATCACCTCTCTTCGACTTGGCTTTCTTGGCTCCGGTCGTGTGGGATCGGGTTTGGTCATCACCCGCCTGCCTGGTGGCGGCTGGTCGGCCCCATCTGCTCTGATGACCGGCGGCCTTGGATTTGGGGGACTCATAGGCTTCGAGCTAACGGATTTCGTGTTTGTGCTTACAAGCACTGAAGCTGTGAAACATCTTGCGAGATCTGGATCCCTTACGCTGGGTGGAAATGTATCCGTCGCTGCTGGCCCTATTGGGCGAAGCGCCGAGGCAGCCGGCACGGCTAACAAGAAAGGCGTGGCGGGAATGCTCTCGTATGCTAAGACTCGAGGGTTATACGGCGGTGCTTCGCTTGAAGGTGGAGTTCTGATCGAGCGAGCTGATGCGAACCAGAAAATGTACGGACGCAAAGTCAGTGCCAAAGAGCTGCTCCGTGGTGATATTCCGCCGCCTCCTGAGGCTGCATCCCTCATGCAGATTCTGAACTCGCCATTGATATCCCCCAATTCCCCAGTGGTGTCCCCGGCTGGATCCGTCACGGCGCATGATCCAAATACCCCAAGCCAGGTTCGAGCAGAATTGCCTTCGCAGCGACCAAATCAGCCGCCGCAAGGCATCCCCGAACTCACTCCGGAGGTCTCTACCCAGAGGGCAGAGCTGGACACAGGCGCTCACCACGAGATTTTTGAGTTGCCTGCTAGTGAATCGCAGGATCATGCTCATGAATTAGACTCTGCTGTCTCGCCTTCATCGCAGTATCTGTCGCACAATATTACCGGAGGTTCATCACGGATGGTATCGCCGCTGTCTGCTGTTGAACAGTCTGAACCACAAGCCCAGGTGAACACAAGGGCCTGACATTAATGAGAATAATCTAGATTTGAGTATTAGTTCAATCAAGTTCACTTGCACTCGCCGAGAATGTTTCAATGTCCAGTCCACACAGCCTTGGAGAATCATAGTTTTGTCCATGGGCACTAGTGTTCCAGGCAGCGAGGATATATAGAAGAGAAAGCAAAAAGAAAAAGCAAAAAGGAAGTGCTGGGGTCACCCCAGACTTCCTTTGGGGGAACCGTGGCACGAAACAGGTACCCATCCCCCGGATGGAATTTACCCTGGGAGTGTACCCTCAACCAGGGAGCTCGACCACTGCCGAGGGTCGAACCCTTAGACCACAGGAAAACCCCCATGACTAGTTTTGCTCCTTATCTTCTACTTATGGGAGCATTGACAGTAGCTGCCTAAAAGGAGACATGACTTCGCAACTTTGGAGCAGGATATTATACTCCGCATTCTCAAGTTGACCTACGAAGGTGTATAGCGGCCTCCGGAGCTGGCGCAAATGCTTAGTCACAGTAGCTAATTCCGTCCCAATTAGGAAAAGTGTGGGGAAGCTAAACACCGCCAGCTGCACCGCTCACACAATACCTTACTCACTGTATTTTTTCATCCCGACACACTTACTTTAGCCCTGGAGCTTTGCAATTTCGTCAAGCTACCAAAATAATACAAACTGCAAATTTACCCTTAAGAATCTTTGGTAAATCAAATAACCAGATCTCCAAAAGGTCAATATTTTCTGTAGTCTGAATACCATACGCCTCAAGCTGAGCTCCGGGGATTCATCTACTCCGGTTCTTGAGGTTCGGTAAGAGTAATTCAGGTATTGTAATTTTCTGCCTGTTCAAAGCTTAGCACACTAACCCTCAATAGGACAGAATTGACTATGATGACTGGGCATTTGTGCCCGGGCCGCTAAACACCTTCGCGTTGATGTGAATCTTTTGCTAGGAACTGAAAATACGAGTAACCCTCGGATTTCAATATCCAGCCGCGCAGACGTAGTCGGCAAAGCCGCGACGCAGGCATTAGCGAAAAAATGACAGAAACGGGTGCGATTGCCTGTGCGTCACTCGACAGATAGCGAAGTTGGATCAGTACAGAGTAGTGGATTCACGACCCGCTGTCAAGTCTAGATCCGAGCTCTATTTGGAAATGCAGAGGTATGTACGAGTATTCCAAAAAGACGAGTGGATATTCGCGCTCAGGCCCTAAGGAAAGGAAAAGGGGGCAAAGGGGCACGAACAGCGAACCATAAGCCTTTTTGCGACCAAATGTAACTGTATCCAATGGCACTTGAGCAATGGACAGGTCAAAAGAAAGGTCCCGAAGTTGAGGTTCCTAACCCTAAGGTCAATAGGCTGTCGATCCGCGAACGTCAAGCGAACCTTGAACCGATTCGAACCCATTCCGCTGCACAATTGCATCACCGGTCTAAATTCGATCCCGATCGCGGGGACTTTGGTCGCAAACCATCGATCGATCGATCTGCGCTCTCTTTGTGACCTCCCACATTGCCATTGTTCATGCTTGGGTACTTTTGATCTAAGTGTTGTCGTGGTTCGTACAAGAAAAACGCCGTGGGGGAGCTGATCAGTTGATGCATCACTCTGAATTAGAATATGTAGGGAAAAGAGTTCCAGATAATGCGTATTAAAGCGCACTTCGCTGTTCTTGCTGCGCCGGTCGTTATTCTTTTCAATGTTGACTATGGCGCCCATAGATCTTCACCATGGCATTACCAGCCCCGACGCCGAGTCTCTGCGCTCATTTTCAGAGACACTTCCTGAAGAATACCACGATTGGATGAGTGATTCGGGGAGATCCTCAAGGTAAAAAAAAAATAATTGTACTGATTTCGATCGCATTGGCTCACCAAAGTAGAGGCGAGCAATTGCTGGATGATTTTCCTCAACCGCCGCGAACTATGAATCTAGATTCGATCTTCGAGGAACAAGTCTATCCGACACCAAAACCATCCATTAAAAATTTGCGCCGACATGCTACCGCCACGGAACTTCCTCTGCTTCAACAATTGAATCCAAATGAAGGCGCTCCAGAGTTCAACCCGGTACAGGAAACTGAAGAGAACGGGTCGTACGATCTGATCGCACCCTATGATGGCGGCGATCTACCACTCCACAAACTGGAGCGTCTCGCCGACATTATGTTCTCCTCTGAGCATATGCTTACGATCCTGAACAATCCGCGATATCTGACTCGGTTCCGCGAATTCCTACTGGAAGAGCGCCCGCGTTCAATCTCCACTCTTACATACTATCTCAATGCGACGAAAGCGCTGAAAGCCATTGAGTATGCCAATGCGCTCGTCCGCCTATCTGTCGACGTGCCTCCGCCCGCGGTGCAAACAAGCGACGAAACCGTCGGGGTGACGGCGAATCGAGTCTTGGAACAACGGGTGATAGATGGATTGCTGGCGCTGACTGCCGAAGAACTTCCGGCGTTCATCACATCCAGATGTATCACGATCACAAGTAAAATTGTGGAAGAGCGAGTTCGAGGAACGTTGCCGATGAAGTTCCGCGGGACTTCAAATGCGTTAGCAGAGGTCTTTTGTCTTACGGATCCTTCGCGACCAGATAATCCAATTATCTTCGCATCAGAGGGTACGTTCGGGTTGTCAATTCGCATCTTGGTGATAACTGACCAGACTAGAGTTCCACCGCACAACACAGTATGGCATGGACTACGTGCTTGGTCGAAACTGTCGATTCCTTCAAGGACCCAAGACAAACGCTAACAGTGTTCGTCGCCTCCGCGAAGCAATTCATGCAGGTCGCCACCACTCAGAGATGTTTTTGAATTAGTGCGTTTGATCCATGTGACCTTGAGGATTCCGTTTGCTAACTCCCTCAGTCGGCGTGATGGCTCTCCATTCATGAACCTCCTCCAATGTGCTCCCCTATGCGACAGCCATGGCCGTGTCAAATACTTCATCGGTGCACAGATCGATGTTTCCGGTCTCGCGATGGAAGGTGCTTCGATGGAGTCGTTGATGGAGCTACAAACCAAATACCGTGATCCAGAGGAAGGGAGCATCGTGGAGCCACCACCACCCGAAGAGAAGGATGAGTTCCAAGAACTGAATGAATTGTTCAGTCCCCGTGAGCTATCCTCTGTTCAAGATCACGGCGGGCACTTGTTCCAACCCATCAAAAGCATGGGATCGCCTCAAACCCCTCGATCATGGCTGGAGCGCGGTAACTCGCTAGACAGCGAGACTGAAGCCATCCGCCTGCGCGATATGAAATCACCCTTTTTCAGAATGTCCCTGGCTGGTGTTTACGAAAATGTAAGATACAACTCTGCCTCGATTGTGCAATCTCTAACCCGTGCAGTACCTCCTCGTTCGACCATACCCTTCCCTCCGGATCTTGTTTACCTCCCCCGCCCTCCAGATCCCAGGCATGCTCCAATCGCCCTTCCTCTCCCGAATCGGTAGTTCCTCGGCTGTGAAAGACGACCTTGTCCAGGCTATGATGGTTGGCCGCAGTGTGACTGCTCGAATCAAGTGGGTCACACGAGCGAATCCTGAAGGACGCAATCGTTGGGTTCATTGCACGCCTCTCATGGCGAGCAATGGCCAGGTTGGCGTGTGGATGGTGGTGGTCGTGGACGATGACGACGAGAAAGCAATAAACTGGCGCGCCTAGCTTAATAGCCCCTATTTCTGTTCGCATGTATATAATTGTGTCGCATTTATAGATCCAAAATATCCCCCGTTTTTTCCTTTAGCTCTCATTTGGTTAGATCGGCATACTGCAGCACTTGATCTAACCGACGTGGATCTCAGCCGCACTCGTATCAAAAGTACGGTCTCGGCCTGGGGCCAATTAATATATTCACATCCTCCATACATACATTGTAGATGTCATTCTGTTGATCTGCGAGATAGCGCTGTACGCCAGACTTATATATGCATTTCAGGAGGTTTATGAGACCAATAATTACCCTCGTGCAATCGAAGTTTATGTCTCACGTGAGACAATGCACGAATAGACGGAATCTTTTTCCAATTAGCTGCAGCTTATCTAGCTGACATTGATGAGGAGACCTGTCAGATTCCCACATTCTCCGAAATCTGTTTTCTCTTTTCGTTTTCTCCCCTGAAGTGACACCTGCCCCGGGAATCGCACTGACTTCCCCGAGGATAGATTCAACGCCATCACCGTTTGCCGATCCATTGAGTGACCCGCAGAACAAGACACTAGTTACGCCTATTCCAACTCGAGAGAATGGTCGCTGCAGCCGTCCAAAGTAGGCTTCCTCGTACAGGGATCGCGACTCTCCTGGCATCACTCGATACACCAGGAGAGATACAGCTACCTGATGGCTCAATTGTGGCTATTGGGTCGGGCGATCCAGTATACCGGGTCATCTTTCGCTCAAAGCGTGCGTTGAGGACCCCAATGACTGAAATTGGGATCGGCCAGGCCTACCTGAATGGCGAAATTCAGGTACAGGGGGATTTTGCCGCCCTGTTCGATGCACGACAGAAGCTACCGGATAAGGTACCATTGCGGCAGAAGTTTCAATTTGTGTATGACTTTCTGCGCACTTCGACCAAGATGAATGCCGAAGCTGTTGGAGATCACTATAGCCTTGGGGATGACTTTTATCTCAGTTTTTTGGATAAACGGTTCAAGCTTTATACCCAGGGGTTATTCAAGAACCCGGAAGATACGCTGGAGGAGGCATCGGAGCGGAAACTGGAGACCATGTTCACTGCCCTAGATCTCAAGCCGGGTATGAGAATACTGGACATCGGGGGTGGATGGGGTTGCGTGACCCAGTACTGCGGAGAGCGAGGTGTGCATGTAACCACTCTCACTCTCACACACGACAGTGCTCGCTTCATTGCACGCATTCTGGATTTGAATGACTATTCCGGCCAAGTTTACCTGCAAGATTTCCTTGAGCACAACCCCGAAGAGCCATATGACCATGTTGTCAATTTCGGTGTGATCGAGCATATCCCAAACTATCGCAGGTTTGCAGCCAAAGTGTGGGAGGTTCTCAAGCCCGGTGGTCGAATGTATCTCGATGGTTCTGCGGCCGTGGAGAAATTTGCTGTAAGCTCGTTCACGCGGAATTATATCTGGCGTGGGACGCATACCTTCATGACTCTTCAGGATGTTCTGGCGGAGCTCTTGTTTCATGGATTCTCGATCTTAGATGTTGCTAATGAGACCCGGGATTATGAGCTGACAATGTTGGAGTGGGCTAAGCGGTTTGAGTCTGCTAAAGACGATATCATCGCTGGTTGGGGTGAACACAACTATCGTGTCTTCCGATTATTCCTGTGGGGTGGAACACATGCTTTCAAAACCAATGCGTTGCAGGCTTATCATGTGGTTGCTGAGAGGACTTCGTCGCCGGGCCCGCGCCCTTCTATTCCTCGTCGTTTCCGACAGTTCTTGGGAAACTTGCGCTAATTCGGTCAAAGGAGAATGGCGGAAATTGTAGTACAGGATTCACTAATCATATATGCAAGCTGACAATTCAACTGTCTGTGAGGGTCAGAGTTCACATATTATAGATTACAAAAATGACTGAACTCACCGAGAAAAGACATGAGCCATTTGCCTTTCACCTAGTATTGAAGGCCAAGCATCTCGCAGGTAGAGTCCCAGAGTAGACAGGCCCAAAAATGAATAAAGAACCAAAGCTACCGTCATTCCGCAAAGCACACCGGAGTTGTCAGACCTATAGACCATTTCAAGCTCCCGATCTCCACAACCAATGCACAGTATGCCACCACGACAGATATCGCCCCATATATATATGCATGACGTCTGCGTAGGCCCGAAAGCTCTAACACCCAAGTGCTGACTGTTGTCAGACATCCACAAAATCCATCCATAACGCCCTGGAGAACTTGACATCCGATGATGCTTCCACCACCATAGGCAGAAACACTGATCGAAGCATGCTGTAGGGAGTATGCCATACCCAGCACCATGGTGCCAGCAACATTTGCGACAAATGTTCCGAGAGGGAACGAAGCCATCCGCGCGTTCATTTTGAGTGAGAGGAAGAACCGAGTCAGGCACCCGAGGGGAGAGAACACCAAAGAGAAGAGTACCGGGCCTCTCCATAGTTCAGCGCTCCAGATCGTGCTATCTTGGCCATAGTCGGGCAATAGGATAACGAGGCAAATGACTGCCACCCATGACAGGACAGCCAGAATAATCATCAGAGGATTGAGTATGTTCAAGAATTTCCTGGGCAGGCTAGGTGTCCATGGTGAGACAACAATAGCGAGATGGGCACCAAGGAACAATCCAACCAGGGATAGTCCAATCTCTGTAAATAACACTGCCAGCATAGCCATGAAGCTGAAACCTCCGCTTGGGGCTTTGGCTGTAGCGGGAGGCGTTGCAAATAGCGACAAGGCAGTGTATTGACCAAGAGGCACAGGAAGAGAGTTGATAGTCGCCAGAAAGATGTCTCGGATGAAGGTAGAGAAAGAAGTGAAGCTTCCGCAAAAGCCCGTAGTCAAACCGACATAAAGAGGGATTGTCTTTTTTGGTGGACTCTGAGATTCCACCCTCTGCAGTGCCGAGTTGCTCTCTTCGTCTGGATTTTTCGGATCGGGCTTCTTGGGGAGGAAGAGATTCTTGTCTTCGCTAAGGAATCCCATGACCATACTACCTCCAACATTGGCCCAAAGAACACTGGTGGCGATAGGTGCACCTGGGTAAAACGTCAAACACTCCACGGCGATTCGTAAAAGGGTGCCGAGAAATGAGAAAAATGTAAGATGGCTGACGATGTATATAGTTCGCCAAGTGTCGGAGGCATGATGCCCACTCGGGACATTTGAGGCTTGCTCTTTTGGCACACGATTGCCTTCATTGGAACTTGGATGTGCTTCTCGGTCCTCATTTGCATTCCGATTGTCCAAATAATCCTTGGTGTCGGAAGGTTTTTCTGGGCTGGTATGGATGGGCGCTGGTGCGACGACCTCGTCCAGATTGGTTCGGGAATTTGACATGGCGAGGCGAGAGAGATACTAGTAATTTAGATACTCTCAAGCATGTAAATCCACGACATTTGTGTCCAAGATATCACGAAGTTGAATGGAAAGCAGTTGGCGCGTCATGTAGGAATGTGGGTCATGACCGTGTTACCCGGTCTTTCCGTCTTTTCCGCTTCACCTCCCTGCACCACCTAACGAAATGAAACGCCAACGCGTCGGAACTGCGTGTATCAAGTGCCGAGACTTGAAAGCCAAGGTAAAATATTCAGCGCATTCTGTCCATCCCCTCTAACAATGTGCAGTGCGACGGGCAACACCCAGTGTGTTCAAGATGCGAGGGATATGGCTTTGACTGCTCTTGGCCCACCGAAACGAGAAGGGGAAGGAGACGAATGACGCAAGCGACCGCCACTGCAAGTCCCGATAGAAATCGACAGCTGTCTTCTCTTTCGCCTCGGGCAACTCTCGAGCACCAATCGTCTGTCCACCCAAGAGTGGATGAGTCGTACGAGAGCCTGGTATCTTCCATCAAAACAAACTTGGATAGTACTAATCAAAATGCACTTGATCTGATCCTCGAAAATTCTTGGCTTCGGGAACTTGGATTCCATGACCTCCAGGAATCTCGGCGGATTCCTGCAACTGCTCCATCCCCAACCTATGTGGGGAAGGCAAGTGATATACATTTCATCCACAGCGTCAACCGATGTGTAAATGGACGCGATTCTTCTTCTGATGACGTTGGCGCGCAGAATTATAGTCAAACTCACGTCTCACAAAGCCCAATGGCCTTGAGAGATCCACTGCTGCCGTCGAAAGATGAAGCTGATCTCTTCATGGGTGTATACCTTTCCACAATTCATATTGCGTATCCTTTCCTACCGAAGTCTCCTCTTTTGAAGGCATTCGAGTGTTTCAAATCTGGAGATATCAATCAACCCGAACTTCGCCCATTGCTAGCGATTTTCAGTTTGTCGCCCTGACTCGCATTGCGGTGATTATATGAAATTGGTTTGTTAACCATTGCTAGACTTCATATTTGCCATCGGCTCATATTACACCCTCTTTCCCAGAGGACGGGGATCTGACAACCAGTCTCATTTCCGTTACTATGAGCAAGGCCTGTATTATTCACAGCAACTCAGCGCAGAATCTTCCCAGTTTGGCGTCTGGGCTCTTTTGACCCAGTGTTTCTTTTTGCTTGCAGTTTGTCTCACTGACAGGTACAGTGCCCCGAATCCGCTCACCGTATCACGGTTCAAAACTGACTTCTACTTCAGGTGCTGGAATGTACTGGGTTTCGCGATTCGAATGGGCCAAAGCATCGGACTCCATGTTGAATCTTCACCTGGACAAGGGGACTCCGCCTCGTGGAAAATGGACCAGGCTCACGGGCGGCGTACCTGGTACTCGATGTATGTCTTGGACCGGCTTCTTGCTCTCCAACTAGGCCGGCCGATGGCTATTCACGAAGAGGATTTTCAGGTCCGATTACCTTCACAGAACGATATGTCTCCGTTCGTGGCCCCCGATTACGATGAGCATGCATCGGACAATGCAGCAGAGAATACCAACATGATGGACTATTTTCTGGGGGTGATTGGCTTTTCCCACATCCTGGGATCAGTCGTACGAGCCCTCTATCGGCCATCCCAGGTTGACTCATCTCCATACCAGATGCTCCAGAATGCGTCAGAGCTGAATAACCGCTTGATGGAGTGGAAAGCGAACTTGCCTCGCCATTTACGATTTGATTTAGGGCATACCTTTGAGAAATCTATCTCTTTCAAACGCCAGGTGAGTTGAATCGCAAGGCGCTCGACATATCAACATTTTTTCCCCTGACTGACAGTGCCTTTAGCGTAACATGCTCGCTGTGAAATTTCATCATTTGCGTGCACTCATACATCGTCCATTCTTGTGTCTTCCCCTTCTGCAAGTAAACAACCAACCCTTCATCGATCTTCTTCTCCGGGACAAGGAACGAATCGCAGAGGCAGAATGGATTTGCATACACGAGGCACAACAGACTGCCCAACTACTTCACAACGTCACCGATGAACGAAGCCTAGTGCACGATTTTCCCTGGTGGCAAATGATATCTTGTCTGATCTGCGCTAGCTCTATCCTCTTTGTGGCAGAGAGCTTTTATAACAACAACAGTCTCGTCCATACCAAACCATCCGCTCAAAACCTTCGAGATGATGCAGAGACATGTCTGAAAGTCTTCGAAGCGTTGAGTGCAAACTCAGCAGCGGCACAGAAGGCAGCTGATATACTAAAGGGACTTTCGCGGATGAATCGAGCAACAGGGAAAGGTAAGCCTTTCATATTTTACATATGGTGAACTATACTAAATCAAGCGTCTATCAACAGCGGCCTCGAACTCGACTCTGCAGCAGTATACGTCGAACCCAACTGATGCACCGGCTGTGCAAACCGATCCCGGGACGACTGTCGGTTCAGGATCCCATTTACCTGATCAGGTACCTGATGATGAATTTTCGCTTTGGGAATGGCCTAGCGAAATTTCAGGGTCCATGGAGTGGTCTCTTCGGTTTCTCGATTGCCCGCAGAGCCCGCCTGATCTAAATGCATCGGATACGAACATCTGATAATGTATAACACGAGTAGCGAATATGACCCCGAAAGACAAGCCGGATAGGAAAGTCGGCTCAGAGGGCTGAGCTTCCCATACCTCAGTCAGCCTTGGATCGCGTCCGATGTGATCAATCGGGCAGTGCAGTTGCTCGCCAGCATCCTGCAAGCGCCAATCATGGCAACATGGGAAGAGGGCTATTTTTGAAGTGGGGACACATGCAGGAACCACCGATGAAGACCCGGAATTCCGAGCTGAAAGGGAAATCTGCCAGTCATATTCTATTATAGTCGATTATAGTTAAGGGATTGGCGAACTATATGAGGGACATCTAAGGGTTCTACGAGGAAAGGTACAAGAGCCATTCAAGTTGAACAATTCCTAACTGCCATGATATTTCGTGCTTCTCATCTAAAACATCCAAATCCTTTGTCTCAGACTAAATCGAATGATATGACTTCGCTTGTGGGGAGATACCCCGGAGTTCCGCGCTCCCAACTAGTTAGGCCATACCTGGGTAGCTCAGCTACCTCACTTTGAGACATCCCCTAATGCTCTCATTCAACTAATGGATTCAGGCCACCCAGTATGATGTATTCTAAATCAAAATGATTCATTCACTGTAGCTGCGATACAGGACGCCTGGTTGAAATCCATAGACTGCTATATAAAGGGCTTGGGAACTTGTTCCCTAAGTCCATCACAAAATCAATTCCCAATCATCCATCGCTTCTCAATACTTTCAAATTCCCAATACTTCCCAATCGAAGAATTTACCACTCCAAAATGAAGACCTCATTTGTTGGCATTGCCCTTTCCCTCGGCGCCACATGCGCCGCTGCCGGTAGCCAAGACTATCCCTATAGCATCAGCAACCTCTCGCTCAAGCATCTGGTGGAGGGTGACACCTTGGATTTTACCTTTGAGGTGACGTCCCGAACGCACGTTGCTGCTGGTCAGACGACCACTACCTGCCACACTGCTTGGTGAGCCATTTCTCGGGTCCTCTTGAAACAACTCCGAGCACGTCCTAACAAAGTGTTTTAGGAACAACGGACAAAGCGGAGCGGGCCCCAAAAACCCAGCACCTTGTGCAAATGCGGATTATTCCTTCTGGTTCCCCACGGGCGCTCTCCACGTCGAGAAGTTCGAGCTGGTCGTCGATGGCCCTGCTGGCGAAGGCCTGGTCACCATTGCGGAGAGTAGCAAGTATTCGTGTGCTCGCACCGACGGTCTCAACAACGTTGATGAAGAATGCAAGACTAGCAAGGACGAGGGCTTCCTTCTGGCTGCCGTTTAGGTACTGGCATAAACCAACCCAATGGGTTTTTCTCATGCCCCTGCATTTTCTCCGGAATCTCGATTCAATTGGGAGCCCCCACTTGAACTGAATTTGAACTCGAGTACAAATTGCTACGCGTTCTTCTACTATCTGCCAATTATCAGCATAATACACTCCTTTAATTGCGAAAATCTATTCGTAGAAGAAACGACTAATCTCACGTCCGGCAAGCTTAGACCCATCGTAGACCTCTTTAATATCATTTGCAAAGCAGATATTCAATCTCCCATTTTCAAACAAACCCTTAGGATCATCGGAAATTTGTGTCTACAGTATTCTAGAGTTGATGACTTCAGATGAAAGAAAGTTTCTGTCTAGTCCGCTAGATCTTGCTTTGTCTAAATCTGGTCACATCAGTTAAATTCCATGACTAGGTTCGCTTAGATACCATTTCGCAACCTCTTGCGAATACAGAAGAAACGGCTTCCTCAGAGCTCTTCTGCACCTGGACAATGTCAGCTCTTAACTAAGCAGATATGGAACCCGTGGACCGAGTCCTAGCTCGAGACCTTGAACCCACATTCCAAATTTTCGTCGGAAATACACGCTAGAACTGGTACTAGTCATAGTTGGTTCTACCGCGAGGGCAAGCCTCTATCATTGGAGGATCGTGTTTTATCAAGATTTGGGTAATAGAAGACCTTGCCAACGGGAAATGTTTAAATGAGAGTGACGATGCTATTGAGAGTTTGGTCCCAATACGATTTGCAGACTTGAAATGTGAAACTTCGTGGTCCATGGAACTACCCCCGGGGCCCCATCGAGTCGTGGATACATCTATGGCTGATAGAAGCCCAAAAGAATCTCGGAAGACGCATAGGAATGATCAAATACTGACCAGTCTACTATTGTCTAGAAATTAACTACCGAATGTATTTTGAAACTTTTCAATAACATCCAACGTGCTTCAGGAATCTTCAAAGATGTGACGAACGTCCCCAGCCGCAAATATGTCTGTCTTCTTCTCTTTCTGCACATGCGGATCGATCTCTACAGATACTACGCACATGTGCAAGAAATCGCAGCTATTATCGCTCTCAAGGTATTCAATATAAAATTAATAGTAAATACTTCAAACGCTATGTAGTACAATAGTAAGACATCAAAAAGTTAATGTGATAAGAAACTCAAACTAGGAACCTTGGAACAACCATAGAACTCTGGACTGATGGGATTCCATGTATTAAATACCTGGAGCGAGTGTGGCCCCGAACTTAAACATACTACTCATCGAAATCTACTCCTTTCTTATAAGTACCACAGCAAACGTCAAATGGCAGCCAGAACTTCATATACTTGGACCGTTTTCGACATCAAAACTCCTGACATCACTTCAATTTCAATTCAACAAAGTGAGTTCCACGGTGGCCCCATTATCTAACAGTATCTGTTCAATCTGTCGATGTCCTTTATCTCTTGCAGCAGCAAGGGCACTCCTAAATCGCCCACCCGACAACAGTAGGTTCGGGTCAGCTCCCTTCTCAATAAGGAATTGGAAAATCTCTATATTTCCTCCATGAGCAGCAGCAGCAAGGGCACTCCCAAAATCCTCGCCTGGCAATAGTAGGTTCACATCAGCCCCTGCTTCAACAAGTATTTGGACAATCTTCATATCTCCTTCGTAAGAAGCAGCAGCAAGGGCGCTGCCAAACATTCCATCCGGCAATAGGAGATTCACGTCAGCCCCATTGTTGATGAGAATGTGGACAATCTCCAAATTTCCTCTATCAAGAGCAGCGGCAAGAGCTCTTCCGTAGAAGCCTTCTCGCAAAATGTCATCGTTTGTTGCCGCTCGTCTCATAAGATCCTCGCAGATGGGTTTAAAGCCTGCCTTGGCAGCAAGCTCCAAGGTGGATTCACCATGGTCGTTCGTTTGTAAGACTGTAATTTCCGCGTTGTCCCACCAGTCCTGTAAGAGAATGTAGAACGAGAAGCAACACATAGTTGAAATCGAGACATACTCTGGAGATATACTTGATACGTCGAACAAACTCGAATTGCCCAATGGGTGGGGTCGGAGAAATGTCATAAAGGATCTTCGACGCAACCTGCCAAAGCTGCGAACCCAGGCGCGATATTGGAAACTGCCCTGGGCAGGGGAGCCAAGAAACGTCTTCAAAAAGCCTGCCAACATAGAGTCTGCCATTCGCCCTTCTTTGATGGCTTGTTTCTCATAGATTTGAACATGATTGATCCAGTAATTTCGCACATATCCTTCCAGAGGATGAAAAAGCTCCCACACGCCCGGCGTTTCAATATTATCCAAGTCATATGAATTTTCACCACCATCTGTGAAGGTCGGGCTCTTGTATACCTCTATCAGAAGCTTGAGACAAACTTTGGCAGCATGGGAATGAGCCTCCAGGAGCCCCCAATGGTTTTCTTCGAAATATTCTCGAACTGACAGGTGGGAGAATCTCCAAAATTGTGTTTCGGAGTCGATCACAAGTAGATTGCTGCAGAGGCTCAGTAGATTTGATTCGCTGACTTGGTCCTCATTGGTGAAAGATTCATCAGTATTGATGCAAATTGCGAGCAAAGATTGATGGCTAGTAAGAGGTGTGCAGGCACTTATCAGCCATTTGCACGCATGATAGACGAGGGCTTTTCGATACGGAGCTGTCAAAATTTCTCCGTATATCTCATCGTATGCTTCTTTCAAGGTTCTCGGAAGTTTGCCAAGCCTTTCCTCGATGTCTTTTTGGGTCGGCATTTCGAGCACCTGTTTGATCTGTAGATACGCCCACTGGAACCTGCTTGGTGTGAGCTGAGTCTGAAGAATGTCCCAATTGATTAGAACTTACATCCCCTGGCTACCTTCACAGATGGCCTTGACGACTTTGATCTGCAGGTCTGCAGATATCGGCTCCCATTTCCCAAGCTTGTCTATTTCGGAATGAACAAACTTTTCAATATCGCCTTGATTGTTCATCGCCTGGATCACAATATTCTTCCCAGGGAACTGCGTTTTGATGTCATTCTCGGGCCGACTGGAAATGAAGACCTTGAGCAACTGTTCGGATTTAGATATCAACTCCTTTATCACTTCAAGGAGCTTATAGCGCTCGAGACCATTACACTCATCTAAGGCATCAAGAACTATCACAGTCTGAGAATATTCATTTACTGATTCAATCAGCTGCTTCTTGCATGCCTCGATGCCCAAGTGAGATCCTTGGCGTCTTGCTTGAGTGCTGAGGACCTTCAATCTTTTCCGTATATGTCCAATGGTTCCAACGACGGTTGAGAGTTGACGAACATAGCTCTGAAGGACGGGAAGAGGCTCTCTTCGATCCTCTGCATTTCGATTGCAATAGAAATAGGCGAATCCCGCACTGTCCGAAGAACCCTCGAGAAGACTCTGAACATGGTCGATGACTTTTGAGGTGAGATATGTTTTTCCGGCTCCCACTGAGATGGTCAGCTTTCTCGGAAATATAAACCGATGGCCTCCAGGCCACCCAAGACATACTAGAGCCTTCGAGTCGAAGCATTGCCGATGACTTGTAGTTCATCCATTCACGAAATTCTTCAGTTTGTAGTAGCCACTCGCACGTGTCGAGAGTGCGAGATTCTACCCTGATACAGTGATCCTTTCCATAAGGTATTGGAGAAATCCATTCTAGCAGGTCGCGTTCTTCGTTGGCGTCGATTTTTTCTAGAACCAATTATCTTGAACAACATCAGTAATGCCTCTTCTGGAAAGGCTCTCGCTACTTACACCTACTGCCGCAAGATAGGGATATCCGATGACAGAGCAAGAAGCTCATTAAGATCAGATCGAGTTGACAAATCACAAAATTTAACACAGTCGTCTGCAGTTTGCGATAAGTGCCTTTGGCTCTCGGAGAGCTTATCGATATGAACTCGGAAATCTTCAAGCTTAAATACATCACCAATCTTGAAACTTCTCTTCTGACGTTGCGCAAAAGCTAGGAACGACTGCAATCCAGCATAACATTGGATAATAGATGTTTTGAGTTTTTCCAAAACATCTTTGAACGGGCGGAGAGAGGGATTTAGAGCCATATATAAGAGCTGGTACATATCACAACTTCCGAGGAGCGAAGTGGCTTCGACTATGGTAGTAAGAATTACTCCCTTTAGTTCATTATGTGCAGTAATCTGATTTCTTAAGCTTTCTTGTTCAAATAATTCGGGGATGCGAGTTTCATATTGTAGGAATATAATACTGAGATCAATGGTACACTTACCATAATAACAGCTCGAAAAGCAGTCCATGGCAGGGCCGCATGGATAGGGTCAAAGCTGACAGCGACATCTCCGATGGGAATAAGCTTGTTCAGTGCAGATAGAAATTTGCCAATAGATGTCGTTCCATCGTGATGCTCGGCTTTCAAGGCCACATTCATTCTCTTTTGAATATCTTTAATCAATCCCTTCCTGTTGGTTTTGTTATTGTTCAGATCACCACCAAGCAAATCTTCCACATCTTTCTGTTCCTTCTCTTTTAATGACCTGGCGGCTTCGTTCTATAGATCGTAGTTGTTGGCATACGGCTTCACTGCACTCGATTCTTCATCTGTTTGACTGATTGGAGGGGTTTCAATGTCTGATCCTTGAGAAATATGATTGGAGGTTCGTTGGGTGAGGAGTGTCAAAGTCTGATTATAGACTAAACATTATAAATATGTTAATGTAGGCTACGGATGCAATCTTTATACCCACTGAGTGGCTCAGACCGGAACTTTGAATTATAAGACTATCCTTGTCCTCGGTAAGGTCCTTTTTTTTCTTCTTTCCACTGTGGCGGTATAAAAAACGGATTCTTGAATGTATAGATCGATAATCAGACATCGTCTCGTGGTTTGAAACTGATGTTCCAAGAAGCTAGGATCATTCAGCCGACCCTATGAGTAGTTGAAGGAAGAATGAAAGGGGACTGAGGTCCACAGATATTTTGCTCTGCATAGGCATATATCAGGCAGGTAGGCAGCCTCAAGTTTGGCTTGGCGCTTCCATAAGACATAAACGTGTTTCTTCTAATATAATTGGTCCAACTATTCCCAACCTATATTGTTATACCAACGGCCCTGACCTAGGGCCCTCGCTCCAGTTCTCCAGGATATAAATAAACAAACAATAACAAACAATAAAGATCACCTTCCAAGTCTGTCGGATGCCCATGATTTGGAGACTTGCTGCTTCTGTAGCAATTGTCCTATGATCCCTCGATGTCTGCATTGATATAATAAAGTAAAAAGTTCTATACACTAAAGGATGAGCCTCGGGAAAGCCTAAGGATGGCTTGAAGGTCTCGAGTATTTCTCGAAGCTGCTATATATAAGAGCGTTCGAAGGGAATCCGGCGATAAATAATTTGACTAATGTAAAGCGATATCGGAGAGTAACAATGCTACTAAGACTTTAGTTCCGACGCGATTTGCAGACTTGAAATGTGAAACTGCATAATCTATGGAACAATCTTCGAGGCCCCATCAAGTCGTGGATACATCTATGGCTGATAGAAGCCCAAAAGAATCTCGGAAGACGCATAGGAATGATCAAATACTGACCAGTCTACTATTTTCTGCAACTTAAGTACCGAATGTATTTTGAAACTTTTCAATAACTTCCAACGTGCTTCAGAAATCTTCAAAGACGTGACGAACGGCAGATATGTTTTCTCCAGCATCGAAAAGCAGCCAGACAACCACCGTTTCTACAATAGCTTCCCAAGCCCAAAAAATTCAAGCAAAACCCCCAAATTGGGCATACTATCTCATAACTGGCGACTACCAAGATTTAGACTATGACCTGGAGCTACTAAAGAAAAGCGACCTGAATCTCCTTCAGTGGCATCGACTACGGGATATTCTGCACAGGAGCTCCATGCAGTCCCCGAATAACTGGCCATATCACACAATTCGCGATGTATCTCCCCTCCTTCTAAGCACTGAAGAAGACCTCTGTGAAGTGGTCCAGGAAGAGATAGCCATTCAACAGACAGATACCGGCTCCCTCAAATCTGAAGGTTCAACTCGTCTCGATTACCTGCAAGAAAAATACTGGGAATTGTCACAAAAATGGTGGCGCTGGCGCTTTGCCCTAGAGCCCGGCGCCCAAGAGCGCGCCTTCGAGTTATGGCGGTCTCATCCGAGATGGTACATGCATCGTGAGTTGATCAAGGAATGCACCAGCCGTCAAGGTTGTTGTTCGCGTGATTGTGGCTGTTGTGTGAGCCGCAAGATCGATGAATCCCGCCATCTAGGTGTTGGACACTGCACATTAGAATGTGCATGCTGTGAGAGGGCTCGGGGTTTCAAGATTTCAAGCAAAACGAAGGAAAGAGTGAAGAAGATGTACCAAATCGAATATTCTGCTGAAAAATCTGCTATTTTGGACTATCGTTCGCTGAAGATTATCCGACTTTCCATGTTTGGCATTACCGGAGGCAATTGGAAGAACCCATTTCATATGATCGAAGATGTCCCCCCAGGCTATGACCAGATATCGAAGAACGCACAGTGACTATCAGCCTCCAAGTTATATTAGCTCGAGTACTTAAGGCTATTGCAATTAAATCTCTTGCTTAATTCTGCTTCTCTGACATGAAGGTCTAACACCTTCTCCGGGGTAATATAGAGATAGGCCTTGTCGACTTCTAAGGGGTTCCTCTGAGCAAAGAATTAACACGAATCAGCGAACTAGAAATGCTGTGAAAATTCTATCAAACCCTAAAAAGTGAATCGCCACTGTCAATCATTTTCTTCTGCTCTGAATAGCTTCAGAAACCGAGGCTGCGGTAGTCTTATATAGTAGTGATCGTCGACCCGATCCACACAACCATACATACGAGCACACCGCAACTCATCACGATAATCCAATCACTGGCCATGATTCACCTGGATCAGAAGCTACACCGTCATCTGCATGGTAACTGCGGGGATCCCCATTCCATCCCTTTTTGCGAAAGTGATCCTACATGTTCGTTGAATCTCGATCTATAGACCCGATCCATGGATGCAAATATCGGACAGGGCAGATCGCGATGCGACCCTCGATCGGGTTGAATAGCATAGACCCCCAAAGTTTCCTAGGCGTAAATCTTCTAAGGTTTTATATAATTTTCTCCAAGGCATTTTAATCTATTCTCCAAAAACCCCACCAAAAATCTAATATAAAAAATGGAAGCACAAGTCGGAGACATCGTCGTTACAAAGTCCAAAAATGGTACGTGAAAATTTAGTTGAAAGCTTTTGATCCTAATTCTAAATGTCACATAGGACAAGTTCTCAGAGGGGAAATTACAGAAGTTCGAGGAACCAATGGAGCTCCACCTTACCTTGTACGTGTGATGGTTGACTGCATATTGATTTTGCTAAGTATTAACCAGGTCCGATATGAAGATGGACATGAGACAATGATCTACCCTGGACCCGAGACTGAGGTAATTGCTGCTCGCAATTATTCGGGCTAAGCGGATGTTTGAGAGAGAAAGTAGTCATGTCCATGAAATTCATTTCTATTCTTGTACGAGTATGTACTATGTACTATTCAGTAAATCGTGTGTGGCTGTATCATCAATCATTTCACTCTAGTCCCCAACCGCGCACTCGTCGGAACACATATGCTCTATCATTTCGTAGGCCAAACTCGCCCCAGTCATCGGTCATTCTATTGTAGCTCCAGAATCCCTTCCAGACCAGCTTTGTATTTTTCGGTGGGTTGGGAGGAGCTGGGCCTGCCTGAGCGGCTTTGGGGATCGTGGGAGATCGCAAAGATAGATGCATTGTGTGCACGTACCTAGAGTCAACACCCTCTGTTTCAATGAGGATATCCCGGTGATCGGAGAGGAGCGGCTTTTCGCCAGATCCCGACTCGGGCTTCCAGGCCAGATCGGAGGGTTCAGGTGTGTCAACAAGACAGGCTAAATGCCAGCGACCCCTAAGACCATGCTTTAATGCAGCCATGGCAACGGCTGGCACAGGTTCAGTCGCTCCAGATAAAGATTGACCCTGGTCAGAGGCGTTGCGCTGATGCTTGCGATTACCTGGAGTACGGGCTGCCATCACGTTCTCCTTGCTAATGTAAGGGACCACATCGACTGGCTCGGTGGAGGTGAGAAGTGATACGACTGATCCATCTGGGTAGAACCGCAGGTAACGGTAGTACGTCACAATGTGGATGGGACTGTTCCATGAAACATTCGAATAGGCAGCAGTGGCACCGGGTCGCGTATAATTGACCGTGCTGATGTAGACTCCTGTGAACCGAACCCGAGGAAGGGTTTGGAAAACCTGGCTCCATGAAGACAGCGGCTGAGGGATTTCCACAGGTTTGTCTTTAGGGAAAGGAGTGTATCGTGGGCCAAGGGTGTAGATTGGAAGCCCAAGCAGGTCGCATGCAAAGTCGTAATGCATTCCTCCAAAGCCAAACTTTGAGTCTTGACATACTCGCTTCCATATGTGTTGTTCGTAGGCAAAATGGTAGGTCAACCGCTTGCAAACTAGTGCCATGCGACCAAATGTCGACGGGTCATCCAGAGCCACATGGCGGAGGATTTCCACGATCACATCCGACGGCACAGCGGCGATTGGGCATGGGGGTGGCGGGGTGTTCTCGATAAGCGGCTCTGCTTGTGGGATGGGAATATTTGCAAAGGATGCAATAAGCTCATGTGTAGGTACAGTCTCTACCTCTGCAGGTTGTGGTTGGGCCGTTGCTGCCGGAGCGGGCGTGGGTTGGTTCGGTCTCTTCCATACGTGGGAATAATGCTTGTTGCGGAAGGATTTATCGACGGCGGAGTCAAGCTAAATCAGAGTCAGCTTGTAGAAATGATGATATTGCGTGATGAGGCTTACTCTGTATGCTTTCCGGTAATGCGAGAGGCTGTCACCCAAGTTGCCTTCTGCCTCCTTTTCTACCGCCCGCTCAAAATGTTCCAAGGCAGAAGTTGGCTCGACCACCTCTCGACGTGAGAAGTCCTCTGCAGCTGGTTCCACGCTCAGCTCTCCGACTTGTTGGGCCAGCTCATCTGGATCGAAGGAGGCCAGTGGAGGGCCCTCCTCTTCCACCTCATTGCGGTGAGAGGCCTCATGGCGTGTGGGCGGAAGACGAGACAAGGGCGGGGCAGTCGGTGTCGGAGCCGGAGGGGTACTAGTCTTGGGTCTTGATCGACGAGTTACCTCCTCGCGCCACTGTCGGCGAAAGGACTCGAGCTCGGCGTTGTCTTCCATGGCGGGGGTCCGACCTCGGAGATCAGATTGATAAGCCCCAAATGAAGAGATTGGGGGAAATTTAGCACAGGAGCACACAGCAACACACAGCAACAACTTCCCATCAAAGTGCCATTGATTGAAGAGCAGATCGGTGCAGAATCCAAGTTCCCGTTCACTGTCCGATATCCAAAGGCTTATCTCCGCCCGCCGCCACCCGTCAAACCCCGAAAACCTGCCAAATTGTCAAATTGCCCTTTGTCTTTTGCAAGAACGCGTTCTTTTTTTGATTTCGTGTGCATTGTATTCTGGACTTGATGTCAACTGGGTTGAGCTATACCTCTCCCAACCCGAGTGATTTCAATACCTCTCTAGGGGCGTCATGGACGTCACAGCTTGACGATTCTACAATGGCTATCTCAGAGACAGCCACTCCTTCGCCCAGCACGCAGGCCCCCAGCAATCCGGCCCCTGTCGACAATATCACTCCGGCCCAGCGAATGGTGTCTGCGACTGCCGGCAATGTCTTGACCGGATTACTAGGTATGTGGAGGGGAAGAGCGCTCTCCGCGATCCAGCACTAACGGAAATCAGTCACACCTTTGGACGTCGTGCGAGTCCGTTTACAATCTCAATCTCAAATCCATAATACCTCACCCTTTACCTCCCACACCACACAATCCTTGAAAAATCCCCCTCCAAATCTCGGCATCACCTCCTGCTGTCGCGAAGTCTTCTGGGTCGGCAACGATGCGCAGATGTGTATGCTAGGGCCCCAGGCCGCGGCTGTCGGGAGTCGCCCACACCCAGCGATCGATTGTGCGATCGAAGAATCCCAGCGACGGACTTTCACCTCCACCCTTGACGGGCTCCGGAAGATCGCACGCAATGAAGGAACCCTGACGCTGTGGCGAGGACTCAGTCCAACTTTGATGATGGGTATTCCAGCCAACGTCATCTATTTCGCAGGATACGACTGGCTGCGCACAGACGACCGGAGTCCTATCAAGCAGCGCTTTTCCCCAGGCTATGCGCCGTTGATCGCAGGCGCCTTCGCCCGGGTCGCAGCCGCAGCGGCAACCAGTCCACTGGAAATGTTCCGTACCAGGCTGCAGGCGACCCCGGGCACAGGGGCGGGCCATTTCAAAAATACCATCAAAGACCTCCACCAGATGACTCAAGCCAAGGGTTACAGTTCTCTTTGGCGCGGTTTCACTCTGACTATGTGGCGCGACGTACCTTTCTCAGGCCTTTATTGGTGGGGATACGAGGAAGTCAAGAAGATGCTGATCGCGACGCGCCAACAGGCGCAACATCTCTCGGGCGAGGAGGAAACCACAGCGCAGGCTTTCATCGACAGTTTTATTTCTGGAGCCGTGTCTGGGTCTTTAGCGGCTCTTGTCACCACTCCATTTGACGTTGGAAAGACGCGACAACAGGTTTTCCGGCATATGGATGACCATGTGCCCACTGGCCCCCCTCCCCGCACGGCGCTCCCCCCGGGCATTTTAGCGCCCGAACAACTCTCCCTGCCAAAGTTTCTCATGCACATTTTCCGTGAAGAGGGCACAGCCGGTCTCTTCCGCGGTTGGACGGCACGCTGTCTCAAGGTGGCCCCGGCCTGCGCAATCATGATCTCCACCTATGAACTCGGAAAACGCATGGCCCGCGAAGTGAACGAACGCCGACATCTCGAGAATTAATTCTGTATCATATTGCATGCGATCTCCCGATCGCTCTCTCTCTCCTCTTAGGCGTTTTCCGTTGGTTTTTGTGGTTTTTCTATTCTTATGATCATGAGCCGAGTCATAGATTTGGATGCATTGTGGATTCAACAATTTACCCTGTACATAATGAAGCAAAAAACGCCTTACACCTTATTTCTGTATCGCTTTGACTCACACAGCCCGATGATCAGACCCGCAGATGATCATCCAGGCAACATATGAGGCTCGTGATTTAAATGTCTTTGGCCCCCGCGAGACAATTTCCCCCAACATGTTCAACATGACTTCACGACCCCCTGTGGAGCGAAAGCGTCCATGGTTTGAACACGTCGCTGTCACTAAAGACACTAATGTTGAGTATGTTCATCTCCATGGAGCCAAACACTGCCATCTAACCGCCGCGTAGTATTGTCGCGGTTCCGCCCATCGGCGCGCAACACCGTAAGACATGGACTGCCCATGGGGCGCATTCTTCCTGGCTCGATACACACTTGCTCCAACATGTTCCCCAGGCTCGGGTACTGCTCTACGGCTATGGAGAACTAGGCGACGACAAAATCGATACATTGGGTCAGCGGCTACTCAACCAACTCCTCGACGAGCGCAAACATGATGTATACCTTTTCCATCGTACTTTTGTCAATCCTCTGCTAACACCCTGTAGACACCACGACGCCCGATCTTCTTTGTCTGTCACAGCACTGGCGGCCTCGTGGTAAAAGCAGCCCTGGCTCTGGCGTCGCGGGCCGAGCCGACCCAGTCCATTCTCAACGGCTGCCATGGCATTGCCTTTTTCGCAACCCCTCACCAGGGATCAACATATCTCTCCGCCGACGAGTATGCCACCAGTATTCGCCATCTCTTGCATCTCGAGCGGGAAACCCCCGTAGCACTTCGGAGACAATTTCGTCCACGTCAAGAGCGACTGTGGCATCTGTCCAATCAGTTCAAGACTCTTTCTGCAGATATGAAAGTATGGTCTTTTCTCGAAACTGTGGACTCGACTATGCATGTCGTCGACGCAGAGACCAATAATATGCTAGAGTTCCATGTCCCTATTACTTCGATCCGATCTGGATTACTGGACATTGAACACGAGACCGAACTACCCTTGGCAACCGATCACGCCGGCACAGCAACTTTCCACGGCCAAGATTCAACACGTGAAAGATTCCTCAGCGAGTTGAGCAGCACTGTGAACATTGCAGTTGATTTATCCAAGCGTGAAGACACGCCGTTGGGCGTGGAGCAAAAGGTCATGGTTCAGATAAACGGTTTCTTCGAAGACACAGCGTTAGGAGTCAGTGATGAATGTCCGCTCAAGCTTTGGTCAACCAAGGTGACTTTAGATGAATATCTGTCCCGGGGACCATCCACCTGTCTTCGTGAGAGACTAGGTCGAGTACAGCCCACTGGTTTGGACGATTCCTCAATCAGCAGCTTCGATAGCCCACGCTCTTCATATATCGCCTCTAGTTCGGATTGGCATAATCATGAGGCACATACCGAGGAGAAACCACGGACTCTACGGCCTCCGCTCCCATATCGACCAAGCTTCGAGGATGGGTCTGGTCCATCTCCTCGGATTCATATCACCGAAGCCGATATGGATGAGTACTTCAGTGCTGCGCCGAGTGAAAGTCCCCCACCTCCACGAGAGCGAAAACGAAAGAACACAATCTCAAAAGCACTGGGGCTGATTCCTCTCAAGCGCTCTCACAGACGAAGTACATCCGACAGCAGTTCCCAGGGCAGCGGCTCGCGACCAACATCGTAGGTTACTCCCTCTATCCATTAATCAGGTCATTTCTCATAATATGCCAGGAGCTCCACATCACAGCAAGTGCAGAATGCCTTCCTAAACATCCCAAAGTCGACGCGCGATCGTATCAACCAGCACGCAGAGGCTTCCGATACACCTCGATCAGTCCCGCGATTCGATCGACCCGAGCCAGACACAGAAAAACTCATGTGGATTCATGTGCCCTATACACATACCGGCTGGGTTTCGCAAGTCATCCGGCGAGCGTGCCAGGATACACAAGAGCCTAATTTGTAACATATCTGGTGATTTCAACCTTCTTGTAACGATGCTAATATAATTCCAGTGTCAGGAAGTTCATCAATGACGAGAACTGGTATCTTCGGCTGAATAGAGCTCGTCACCTCGAGCCTCACGCGCGATTTGTTAAGCCTGCATGCATTCATTCGAGACAGATGGAAACTTCACCGGGTACACGGGCTTCCTGGGATGATCCTCAGCTTGCGCTATATGTATGTGACATCCCCTTTCCCATATACTAAAATGGTTCTAACATCAATCCCACAGGTTCCATATGTGAGTAACACCCAGGTATACAAGTCCAATGATACATCATACTAACCACACCAGCTCCATTGGGACTCATATCGCAACCTAATTCAGCGGCGAAAGGTAGTTGAAGACAGGCTCCGTCAAGGCCGTTCAAGACCCATACCGAACCGAATATCGAAAGCCAGCCTGGAAGCCCAACTCATCTGGACATATCTAGGTTGCGAGCCACCAGTGCATCTCCGTCGCACACTAGATCAATACGGGTATCCGAATTTACGATCAACCGTTGCGCGTGACGACGATCAGATGCTGTGGAAGCGAACCCGCAGAAAGGCTCATGTCGATGAGCAGTTGAATGAATATTTGGAGTCTGCACAAGATGATCCAGAAAACGAAACTGAGCATTGCGAGTTTATGGACGGGAATGTGTTGATGGTTGATCAGCTGTGGTTGTGGATTGTTGATGAGAAGACTGTTATTACATTCTTCCCTAACCAGGAAGCTACCACTTCAGAAGGGAAGTTGTTTGAGCAGTCGAATCTGCATAGCAGTATCTATAACGAGTTGAATGGAGATTTGGCTCGTCGGTTTGAAACTGCCGGTGATCTGGCTGCTTTGATCATGCTGCATGCGACGACTGTTCTTCTTGACAAGACTTTGCATCATGATTTGCAGGTTTTGCGCATATTTGAAGAATCTATCAGCATCTTGGTGAGTTTGATGCTTTGAATGTGCTCCTGGACCTTTTTGCTAACACCATATAGACTGAGTCCGTGACGAAATCATTCAAGCGTTTCCGAAACCGAGGATTCACCAATCGACCAGCAGACCATGACCGCACAGCAGACGGGAAGATAATGACAGCTGCCCAACGTGAATACCGCGAACGCCAAGTCGCCCGAAGAAATCGAGAAGACCTCTCTGTTTTGCTTGAGCTACGTGACATTGAAGATGAGCTGGGCACTATCCTCAAGCTACTTGATCAGCAAGACGGCGTGATCCAAAGCATGACCAAGTACTTCGACGACCGAGGAGATGGAAAGTCATTCCTTGATCTATCCCAGGCACGGATCGAGGAATATCGATCCCAGATCAGTGAAATGAAAGAGAACAGTCACTTGGCTCAGAAAGCTGTATGTTATATCTCCTGCCAAGACAACATATATACACTGACAGATACCAGGTCGAAACCCTCCTTGATCTCAAGCAGAAACAAGCAAATGTCGACGAAGCCAAAATGGCACGGTGGCAAGCAGAAGTCACTCAAACCCAGTCCCGAGCAGTGATGGTCTTCACCATATTCAGTGTAGTGTAAGTATACCAACGCTTACAATTCTGACGACCCCAAACTAATGAAATCTCCAGCTTCCTCCCCCTCTCCTTTTTCACCTCACTATTCGGAATCAACGCCCGCGAATGGAGCGGCGAGCCCACAAATCCAACCCTAGGCACAATGCTCGAGATAGCAGGTCCGATTCCCACATCCCTTTTATCCATACTGTCCCAAAACTAACCGTCCCAGCCCCATCCTCATTCGCCATAATATTCCTCTCCCTCCTCCTCGCATTCAGCGAAACACTCCGCGAAATAGTCTCGAAATCACACAAGATCAGCATCGGGTTCACAAAGGAGTTCATTCTCCATCCTGTCCAGACACTTCTTCACTGGGACACAATTACAAGCAAAATGCCTACCCTTGTTGTCCCAGAGGATTCGGAAATGCGAAAACGACTCGATGATTATCTTGGCTATAGGCGTCGGAATATGCAGCTTGATGATGATCTTTGGAAGAGGTGGCATGATAATTTGCATCCGCTTGTTACGCAGCCGAAGGTGAAGAAAGGGAAGTATAGAGTTAATCGGGATCGGGGGGAGGTTTAAATTACATTGCTAGGTTCCATGATCTTGTCTTTAATTGGATTACTGGTCAGGGATGATTATAGGGTGTAGAATAGCCGAATATACAACAGTCCTATACGATGGTGGGACTACATGTATAGATACATACTTAAGAAATAGCGCGTATGGATGCGATGAGGTCGCCTTGAATGTATTTCGAGTTATGATACCATAAGCCAACACCGAAAAAAGGAAGTCAAAATATTTGATCAGAATTGAACATAACAAACTGCTGGACATGTGGGGGGTATTTGGAATTTGGAAAGACGTTAATCCAGAAAACAGATTTCTCCCAATGTGTGGGGAGGAAGTGTTTTCGATAAACATGAAGATGGATAAGAGAAAGAGTCAGAAACAAGATGAAAACTGTTCGGGTCAAAGGATGACGGTAAAAGACTGTTGTTCACAGTCACGGCGGGAGTCAAGGGCAGACTGAGGCATCTAGCCCGTGTTATCCAGCCCCGTGGACAGAGCCTCATTGCTCGATAGCAGGCATTGAAGGAATATTCATAGCCGAACAATCCATAATAGTCTGCATCATGCGGCCGGAATCCAACGGTTTGGAAAGATAGTCATCCATACCGGCTGAGATACACTTATCGCGATCCCCTAGCATTGCATGCGCAGTGAGGGCAATAATAGGCGTTCGAGGAAGGCCACTCATCTTCTCATATTGTCTGATGTTCCCCGTTGCCTCGAATCCACCCATGACAGGCATTTGGACATCCATCAGAATCACATCGTAGCGGTGAAGTTGAACCTCTTTCACAGCTTGAAGTCCATTATCCACGACAGTGACGGTGTGGTTGAACTTCTCAAGAATTCGCACTGCAACCTTTTGATTGACATCGTTGTCTTCTGCTAAGAGAATTGCCAGTGATCGTGTATACCCTGACGGCGTACGGGTGGCACGGTTTCCTAGCGCAGGCAGAATACCGTTCCAGAGGTCAATTGGACGGCAGGGTACTGTGATGTAGGAACTGATGCCAAGCTCTCCTGCAGCTCGAAGTGCTATGGAGACCATAGTCGAAGTAATGACCAGCGGGATTGGCTGGAGGTTTGTGCAGGCCCGAAGCTTGGCTGCAGTTTCCAAGTTCTCGACAAGGATGGCATCAAACGAACAAGCCCAGTCGCCCTGGAACTGGCCACACTCCAGCTGCTCTTCTGTTACGACCATGGGGTCCAGCCCGAGCTCATTCAGCACCGCCAGAATCGGGAAGGTTCGTGAAAGGCCGTGATCCAAGAAGAGAACTCGTTTTCCACGGTAAGGGAGAATCTGATCTGCAAAACCGACCGGGGGTTGGGCAAGTTTTACACGACATGTAAATGAGAACGTGCTTCCCTCGCCCATGTTCGAGGACACCCAGATATCACCGCCCATGGCGGAAACGAGTCTTTTTGAAATCGCCAGACCTAATCCTGTGCCACCAAAACGACGAGTCATTGATCCGTCTGCTTGTTGAAACTTATCAAAGATCATTCCGAGCTTGCTTTCGTCGATACCGATGCCGGGATCTGAGACGGAGAACTGGAATGCTGTTTCGTCAGAAGCACACTTTTCGTCTATGGCTCGTTTGATTTCAACCCGGATGTCGCCGTGGTCGGTGAATTTCACAGCATTTCCGACTAGGTTGAGCATCACTTGTCTTAATCGGTATGCGTCTCCAATCAAGTAATCCGGGACCTCTCCGTCAACTGTATAGATCAATCCCAATGCTTTTTCGTTGGTTTCGACGGAAAGGGCTTTCAGCACACTGAACACCGTAGTGCCGAGACTGAACGGCATCTTTTCAATCATCAATTTGTTTGCTTCGATTTTCGAAATGTCAAGGATATCATCAATGATGGTCAATAGACTGATGGCAAGATTGTGAACCATGTTCAAAGTCTCTCTAACAGGAGCTTGCAGCTCATCGGTGTCTAGTGCTAGACTCGAGAGGCCAATGATCCCATTCATCGGGGTTCTAATCTCGTGGCTATGTCGATGTTAGCATAATGCGATGACTACAGGGAAGACGTCTTTGGGCAGCGATATGGCGCACCTCATATTGGCTAGGAATTCAGACTTGCTTCGGTTGGCCAACTCGGCCGCCTCGCGAGCAGCGGTATTTCGCTGGATACTGTCTCGCAGACTCGAAATCATTTTGTTGATTTTTTGTTTCAAGTCGTCCATTTCTCCAGAGGCGGACACAGTGATCAACTTGCTGAAGTCGCCACTCATCGCTGCTTCGCTGATCTCGCCAAAGGCACGGACCTGTGAAGTGAGGTTGTCGGCCATCGTATTGACATCTTCACTAATGGATCGCCAGATTCCGTGAGATCCTGCAACATTGGCTTGTCCGCCAAGTTTACCATTGACGCCGACATCCCGTGCTACCCCCTTGACTTCTCGAGCAAATTCCCCTAACCCATCTACCATGCTATTGATCGTCTCTTTGAGTGTCAGGATCTCACCCTGGGCGTGAACCTCGATTTTGGTACTGAGATCACCGCGCGCAATAGCCTGCGTCACATTCGAAATTTGTCGAACCTGGAATGTGAGATTTTGGGCCATGGTGTTGACATTGTCGGTCAAATCTCGCCAGCGACCCTCGACATTTTCAACCTGCGCTTGTCCACCCAACGTGCCGTCAGTTCCTACTTCTCGAGCCATTCGGCTGACCTCGAACGCAAACTGATTCAGCCGATCAACCATCTCATTGATAGTCAGTTTCAGATCCAAGATTTCTCCCTTGACGTCTGCTGTCACTTTCTTCGTAAGATCGCCCCTCGCAACAGCAGTGGTCACATCGGCGATTTCTCGAACCTGTTGCGTGAGATTCGATGCCATCCGATTCACGTTCTCGGTGAGGCTTTTCCACGTCCCCTCCACCCCGTGCACAACAGCCTGACCACCTAGCACACCGTCCGACCCGACTTCACGGGCCACCCGGCTAACCTCGAATGCGAACTCGCGAAGCTGATCAACCATGGAGTTGATGATATTCTTCAGCAGTAGAATCTCACCCTTGCAATCTGCCTGTACCTTGCGTTGTAGGTCACCTTTCGCCACAGCCGTCGTGACAGTCGTGATATCACGGACCTGGGTGGTGAGATTATTGGCCATGGCATTCACATTGACCGTCAACTCATGCCAGATACCCTGAATGCCTTCGATCTTGGCCTGACCACCCAACACACCCTCAGTGCCCACCTCCCTCGCAACCTTGGACACCTCCTGACTAAAAACCTGCAACTGATCCATCATCGTATTGATGGTCTGTTTGAAAGTCGCAATATCAGGAGACATCTCAAGGGGATGCATCCTTGCGCGCTGCGAAAGATCACCATGCGCGACCTGGGTGATGATCTCGCCGATCTCCCGCAGTTCCTTCTGAAAGGCCTCATTGATATGAGTGTGTTTTCGAAGTTCTTTACGCAGATGTGAGCATTCATGTTCGATTTTCCCGATGGAGGAATGCGCATCACGGCGGTAGATGAGTTCGTCGACGATGAGGGAGATGAATTCGCGGGGGACGGAGATTTCGCTGGATTGCTGGTGCTGGAGAGCAGCTCGTGCTTGCATTAGATCTGCATCGCTCACCCATGCTGGGCGAGCGGCGTCAACCATGGCCATACTTGGTTTGTGAGGAGGTTGGAGACCACCTGTTTTTCATTAGCAATAGGGCTGGCTGGGAGGAGGATGGTCATACCCAGTGATCAGAAGGAGAGGCTTGGAGACCCCGCAAGTGCAAAATGCATTCCCCTATGAAGTACCTAGGCAATAAGAGGATCAAATAACAGAATAAGCGGAGTTGCGAAGGAGAAAAACAGACGTCAACCCCCCGTACCCGCACTTAGTGTGAGTTTAAACAATCCTTTGTATGACTATTACATTTTGTCCGTCTAGGCCTGAAGTGGCTGAGCCCCCTTGGTAACATTAGCCGACCCGTGTGAGAACATTTAGGACGATTACCTCGAATACCTCGAATCCTCTGACTTGAGCACATTGAATTCCTTTATACCGTCGATCTTTGCTTCTCAATCGTGGGACGCGTCGATCCCGCCGATCCACTGTCGAACGTTGGTTCGGAGTATTTATCCTGATGGCAGGGAGCCTTAAAATATGGAGTATAGAAGAAAATGGAGGAATACAGTACGTGAACACGTTAAATGCATCAAATGAGACTTCAGTGAAATACATATATGGTACAGAGGAGCCTCGGTAATTTTTTTTCCCGGGCTCCAAGAGGGGAGAGATCAAAATAGTCCAAAAGAATACAGGTATGGGAAACAAAAAACACCATAGAGACACAAAGAAAAGACATTACACAAATATCCGAGTATCAGAACAGGCTGGGATGCAAAGAGGAAGGGAGTCTAGAGTGGGAGGGTCAGGGGCTTTAGAACATGCCACCGCCCATACCGCCCATACCACCCATGCCGCCCATGCCACCGGCAGGGGGAGCGGGGCCCTTCTCCTCAGGAGCCTCGACGATGGCAACCTCAGTGGTACCGAGGAGGGAGGCGACACCGCTGGCGTCAACCAGGGCGGTGCGAACAACCTTCAGGGGGTCGACGATACCGGCAGCGATCATGTCAACGTACTGGCTGGAGGAGCTGTCGTATCCGCGGTTGAAGTCCTTGGCGTACTCATCGGTGAGCTTACCGACGATGACGGAACCCTCAAGACCGGCGTTCTCAACGATGGTGCGGGCGGGGCGGGTGATGGCGCTCTTGATGATGCTGACACCGAGCTGCTGGTCGAAGTTGCTGGGCTTGACACCGTCAAGACCGTTGGCAGCGGCCTTGAGGAGAGCGGTACCACCACCGGGGAGGATACCCTCCTCGACGGCAGCGCGGGTGGCGTTCAGGGCGTCGACAACACGGTCCTTCTTCTCGCCGACCTCAACCTCGGAAGCACCACCGACCTTAATGACGGCGACACCACCGGAGAGCTTGGCAAGACGCTCCTGGAGCTTCTCCTTCTCGTACTCGGAGGTGTTGGGGTCAGCGATGTAACCGCGGATCTGCTCGCAGCGCTGGGAGATGTTGTCCTTGCTACCCTCACCGTTGAGGACAATGGTGTCCTCCTTGGTGATGGTGATGGAGCCGGTGGAGCCGAGCATCTCGGGGGTAAGCTTCTCGAGCTTGATGTCGAGCTCGTCAGTGAAGACGGTACCGTTGGTGAGGACGGCAAGATCACCAAGGATGCTCTTGCGGTTGTCACCGAAGCCGGGGGCCTTGACGGCAGCAACCTGGAGCTGACCACGGAGCTTGTTCAGGATGCAGACGGCGAGAGCCTCACCCTCGATGTCCTCGGCAATGATGACAAGGGGACGGCGGAGAGTGGTGGAGGCCTCGAGGGCGGGGAGGATGTCCTGGACGGCGGAGATCTTCTTCTCGGAGAGAAGGATGAGGGGCTTCTCGAACTCGACCTTCTGGGACTTGGGGTCGGTGATGAAGTAGGGGGAGGTGTAGCCACGGTCGAAGCGCATACCCTCGGTGACCTCAAGCTCGTCCTCAAGGGTCTTGCCCTCCTTCACGGTGATGACACCCTCCTTGCCAACCTTCTCCATGGCGGTGGAGATAAGCTTGCCGACGTGGGTGTCACCGTTGGCGGAGATGGTAGCAACCTGGGCGATCTCCTCACCAGTGGTGATGGGGCGCTTGTTCTCCTGGAGGTAGTTCACAACGGCCTCGACGGCGGCCTGGATACCGCGGCGGAGGTCCATGGGGTTGCAGCCGGCGGCGACGTTCTTGACGGTCTCGGAGAAGATGGCACGGGCAAGACAGGTAGCGGTAGTGGTACCGTCACCAGCGAGCTCGTTGGTCTTGGAGGCAACATCCTGGAGGAGGCGGGCACCGAGGTTCTCGAACTTGTCCTGAAGCACGATGGCCTTGGCGACAGTCACACCGTCTTGATGCGCGTTAGCTTTGGTTCTTGATTCCTTCATCGTTCTAGTGTTCTGGGAGGTCGAACTTACCCTTGGTGATCTTGGGGGAGCCGTAGGGGGAGTCAATGAGGACATTGCGACCCTTGGGACCGAGGGTGGAGGTAACAGCCTTAGCAAGAGTGTCGACACCCTTGAGCAGACCGGCACGAGCCTCAACGCCGAACTTGAGCTCCTGGTTGTTTGTTAGCATGCTGATCCCAGTATCAAGTCGGGATCGACGGAAGGGGACGGCAGTCATCGGGATCGCCGATTCTACGACCAATTGACCCATTAACATACCTTGTGAGCAAAGCGCTGCTGCTGGAGGTTCAGAGTAGAGCGGGTGAAAGGGGCACGCTTGGAAGCGGCGGAGAGGACCGAAGTCCGGGAAGAGAGAGCGCGCTGCATGGCTGAAACAAATTAAAAAAGAATTAAAGGAAGAGAGTAAACAAACAACCCAAGAGCAAGACGGGTTGAAGAAAGGATGGAGAAAAAGCTGGAGAGAGATGAAGCCAAAGCAAATTTGCGTCCCCAGATCGGAGAAGGAGCTAGAATACCCGTGTCACGTGCATCGTCCCGAGGGCATCGGGGAAACGGCTACTTGGCTTGTTTGACTGTCTCCTTATCTTGTACACTCTATACATTCTGTACAAATAATTGGGATCACTGCTGATTCTTTCATTTTCATCATCTTTCCAATTGAAAACGGCACACCATACAGTATTGCCAGTCCCTTCTGTATATCTGTCCACACCCGAGACCATTGTTGTTTGTATACTCCCTCCGGAAGGACATCCGGCTTTCGGCAAACATCCGTTTGGCAATTATTAGCGATATGAGTACCCTCTCCCTAAAGTTTCCACTCCATGCCATATATATACGGCCAGCTCGTCGCAACCGATCTTGCATTCTTTCAACTCTTCATGCCTCCTTAACCACCGCCCTGATCACCGCTTTGATCATTCATGAATTTCATGTTCTCAAGGTTGCCCAGGTACTCTGTATTTACTTCCCACGTCAGAATGCTTCAAACTTTGGGTAGTAATTACATACTGCTGTATTCCAGTCATTATAGAGTACCTATGGAATTTAATTCGATATCCCTGGATATTCCTATGAACTCTGTATCAAGGTTTCTGGCACTACCGTGGAATCTATTCCTATGGAAGTTTCGCAAATGATATTCCAGCTGTTCCAACCTCTGGTATGTTTTCACGTCTTGCAGTTAGGGCTATTCACTAGATCTGCTCGACCACAAAAGGTAGACAAGACAACAGACCTTTAATCTGTTGCAGACAGCGCACTATATACCAGCACTCCTACTTAAGTATGCCAAGAGGCTTCATTAAGCATCATACTAGTTAAACAGAATCATTGGGTCTGTGATACCAGATCCAAAATCTTTGCATACCTAGGTAGCATTCTTTTTCTCTCCTTCTCTTTTCAATCCTCTTTTTAAATCTCTTCGTTCACCCATGTCTGGAGTGATATATTTTGATGTGTTCGATCAATTAAGGGCATTCGCCAAAAGCAGCAAAAAAGCAGCAAGGCAGAAGTTGCGTTTTCCTGCTGTCACCGCGGAGGATCTGCCCGGACTTCACACCTAACAGAAGACATTATTCCTCTATTCAAACGGACATCAAATCAGCGGACGGAATCTTACGACGGATGCTCGACGAAGTCATGGAATTATTCCCGCTGCCGGACACCAATCAGACAGACAAGACCCAATCCGACAACGAAGGCACAACCTTGGGACAACAGCGAAGGATCAAACGAATCGGGCCCAGCTTCAACGGCTAGAAGATATCTGGCATTTGCGCAGTACCAGATATATAGTGGCATTGAGAGTAAGTACTTAAGTAGCAGAAATTCTAAAAATATGGCCTACAGCTTGTGTTTTTGTATGATACAATTATCCTGCTACCTACTATTTATGAATATATCTTTATGAAACAGCAACATTGGATAAAGACTGCTGGACTACAGATTATTCTGCCAATCATAAGCCAGACTTTATGAGGCTTTACTGACCGCCAAGTGACCATCTTTACTGCTCAAACCAAATGAATGCCAACTGATCGCCTTGACTGACCACTGAATGAACGCCAACTGACTGCCTTGACCGACCGCCAAATGAGTGCCAACTGACCGCATAGACCTAATCATCTACTCCGTACTACAGGGTATATCTACTGGGAACACTGTTTTTTTAGGAGAATTCTCCACTTTCAATTAAGGGGAAACCCCCCATTCCCAATGTCCATGCCTCCATGACAAGATAACATGAGAACGGGCAGGATGGTCGGGATTGGGGCTCACCCCCCGCCCCCGACCATCCCCCCAATTGATCAGAAATCGAAAAACAAACGCAACGAAACAGAAAACATAGAAAAAAAAAAAAAAAACCAAAGCAAAAACAATCCCCCCCCCCCCCCCCCCCCCCCCCCCCCCCCCCCCCCCCCCCCCCCCCCCCCCCCCCCCCCCCCCCCCCCCCCCC